GTTGGTTTGATTTTGATAATGTGCCTACATGTATGTCTATTTCTGGCAGTATGTTTGCATTTATTTTACATTAGTGCATATCAAGTCAATAAAATATTATCTGTCATTGAAACTTGTTCGAAAAGTCATTCTATAAATTTGGGGGACACCTGCTTCTTCAGTTGTATATTTAGGATCTAATTCGAACAACTATAATAGGACCATTCACAATCTCTCTGGTCAGTGTTAGGAACAAGACGACGCGTATTTAGTATTATATCTGTTTGATTAATATTTTATTCAAAATAACCGAAAATCCACCCACAGATCTACTTAGAGTAGGGTATTTTGAAAACTACACAAAATGTGTAGCACTGGTTAGCTGATGGATCGGCAGATTTGACTCAAGTCAAATTTAGCATTGAATATACCAAAGTCTGCCGGATCAAAATTCAATTAGTATCCCACCAACCGAGATTGTCAAAGCATTAATGTTTCTAAAGTAATTTGATCATTATCAAATTATTAAATACCGTTAAATAGGCTACTCTTCCTGCTACATTTTTCTGGGGTTAATCCTTACATTGAGACTCTCCGCTATTATTGGAGATACCATGGTCATAATTATGTGTCTACGCACAGAAGTAAATCTGTATCTTGTGTAAAATCTATACGATATTTCAAACATTTAAGCCCCGAGTGTTTTGGACGAGTTACGGTAGTTGTTATCGATTAACGCATCATCAGTTTTTGGAGTCTACATCATGTTATGTTTTATTAGGCGTAATCTCGTCTTTGCTTTGATAGTGTCACCTATATTTACGACGGAGTTTGGTCACACCTGGTAATTTTAACCACCCAGTCCCAAAGCTTAATTGTACTTAAGGGAAGTAGTACAAAATGGGTTGGCGTTTAATATCATATGAATGAATGAATCGTAGCAATGGATTTTTTAAATTGGGATAGGAAATATGACTTATTCATCAATAATTTTTAATTCATATTAAATGACAATTTTACAGTATATAGAAGAATATACATTAAGTATATATACATTTAGGAAAATAGTGGGTCAATTATACGAAATTAATCTGAGCAAATCAGACAATAAAATTTTGTTTGATGGATAGTATTACCGCCCAGATCTTCTGATAAGATGTATCGGATCTGTCAGTGGGCTAAGCATTTTGATATGACTATATAATTGTTGAAACAATCATAAGGTTTGGGAATTTTTGGAAACCTCGAATTTTTTTCAACGCTTTTCTAGCACAGGTAAATAGCCAACAATCGTTCTATGGATAAATATCTAATTACATGGTCTAGAAGATTATGTAATTTTTAAAAACCTCGAATTGTTTTCTAGCACAAGTAAATAGCCAACCACACACAGTAATTATCAATAAAAGGTTTAATATAGAATTTAAAACCATATACAATCGAGAGTCTTTATTTTAAAACAATATGGACCCAAAATATTCAGATCGATTAATTTTAACATAGGTTCTGGCCGTATAAAGTTTACACTGTTTTTACACTGCCCTTTGTATATATCTTCTGCAAATAAAGTCATAATAATCTTCTACCATATTCGTACAAATCAGCCCATGCTTAATTACTTTATAACAAGGGTCTTTTGAGAAATTATGAACAATCTAGCTTGTACATTTACATGCTCATTACAAATGCAAAATACCGAATTCGTCTTATGTTGTTTTTGTTTTCTCTGTAAGAAATATGGGTTTATTTTAATAAGTCTATGATGACAGAAAGTTTTAATCTGTAATTCTGACAATCTGATTAAAACACAGATCCTATTTCGTTGACGTGAGTGATTGGTCAATGAAAAATTCTGTTACGGCGAGTTCTTGACCTAAAGTGCACGGAATTGTGGGTATCCCACTTAAAACATTAACGCTAATTGGGGAATCAAATGTATGACGCCAACGGGTCAAAGGCCGCTCGTATGACCCTTGACACGACCTTCCACTACAACCGGTCAGATCTTCATGTAGTGGAGGCCATCGAAAGTACAAAAAAAAAAACGAAACGAAATATAGATCTGTGTTTTAATCAGCTTGTAATTCTGATGACAAGCCTCATGTTTATCATATTGTAATTGTCTGCGTTACCCATAATATTTAATTCTTTCAGCCTATCACAAGATACACCCCTACCAGTCAGCTCCCATCAGCATTCACATTAAGTCGTCAAAACTCCACAGATTTGTTTAACTTGAAGACAGATCTAGATTCCAAAGATGGCGTGCAGCCATTGGAAAGTTTCGAATCCTGGTCCTTAGATTCCAGAGACAAGAAACCAGGCAGACGCCGAAGAAATACCTTGTTTCTGGTGCTAATGACAGCAGCAACCATCTCTGTTGTAGGATTAGCCACTGCTATAGCACTGTTTAGTTTAACTAGTGATAAACAAGGTCAGTATATTCGATATAAGCTTTGAATATCTCCTGGTATTTTTATATCGTGCCAATGAGGTTTAAGTACTCCATTGACATCTGATATATTTCAGATCACTTGAACTGATGAACCAATAAAAATTATCAAATTGTCTGGGTTCATAGTTGTCGTGAATTATAACACCTAAGGAAACGAGGGTTAGTTTGGGGTTTATAGTCCTTTGGCGTGTATTTAGCTGATATAAATAATACTATCACTCAGGGGGGGGGGGGGGGGTGTATGGCGTAGTGGTTTAGAATGCCGATCACACATGGGAACAGAAATTAGATTTCATATCAGCGGAGTACAAAAATTGGCTTTAATACTAATGTGCGCATTAAAACCATAAAAACTAAATATCAGAAGATCTATTCTATGATCTCTTATCCTATTATAGATAGGAATCCAATAAGAACTCCCACAATGGATACTTTTCTGTAAGGCCTTGGCCTAGAGAATCACTCTTCAAAGATCGTCCTTCTAAAACGAAACAGGCATATATCACCTTGCGCTATGGCACCTAATGGCATTCAACTGGGGCTATTATACGATGCCATAAAAGAAAATAGTTATTGATAATTTTTTAAATGATGTTAACAGAGCAAAATAAATACTATTTTATTATCGTTATGAGTTTTAAAAAAGTTGATTTAATATACCATAAAGATTTCTTACTAGCTGAAATGATGCTGCATATTAATAACAATTAACATCTTGTGTTTTGCTATAGGCCCATTCGCAGTAAGACAAGGGGAGATAACTGATCAGAGTTTAACCTATAACAGCGCCACCATATCGCCATCCGGCAATTATTTCTTTGATTCTACAGCAGATTATAATTCTCACACGGTGTCTAGTGAGTATGAAACATATAGTAGTAGTGAAATAGATAACCTTTTGCTGCACACCTATTCTCTGCTTACTCCGGCATCGCTTACCTCAAGCTTACACCTCTCTGCTTTTAGCTTTTCTATATTAGAAAATGCTGCCAATGAAGATATTAAATCAACGCAAGACGGCCACTTCGTAGATGCATCACATTCAGTGGCAAATATATTGGTTTCAGGAAGTGTATCAAAAGGCCAATATGGAAGTATATATCATTCTGTTACTAAGTCGTATTCTTCTGACAAAGGACCTGAAAAGACGATGCCCACATCAGATTTAATTAGGCCGTCACCAATGCAATCAAGCGTCAAACAATATCAGAAAACACAAGCAACACCCTCGGCTGTAACCTCAACTATACCGGTGTATAAATCCATAACAAAGATAGCCTCATACACTTCCACATTACAGCTACCGCTAGAAGCATCGCCACCAACAACCTCAACTGTAGCCCAGCTGACATCTAGACCCCATTCCATGTCAATGCCTTACGCATTCACAACCCAGTCAACTTGGAGTGCACCAGCAGCAACAATATCCCAACGGGTATATAGGTCAGAATTTATATCAGAGTCATCTGTTTCCACAATGCCGTCACCATCGGCTGTGGTATATGTATGGGAACAATCATCAGCTAACAATGACACAACTGTTACACCAGCAAGAATAACTTTACGGATATCGCCCTCAATTAACACACACGTGGCATCCTCATCGGATCTGACAGATGTATCCATAGTCCCGCAAGAAAATAAAGAATTTTCTACAGTTTATATGCAAGCGTCTACCAATAATTTGTTTGAAGCCACAAGTACCGTCGGCAACACACCAAACGAGGGCAGTAGATACTTCGTTGGCGGTTCAAGTGGGATTATTTCTAAGACAAGTATTCAGTCTAGTTCAAATAATACAAATGTCCATACCATGAATGTGGAAGATAAGCCATCAATAAATTCTAATTGGGTCGGTGCTACAACTAGCCAAGCTAGTGAGAGCAACAGATATCTGATGAATACCAAATTGATAGATCCAAGCTCTACTAGTTCATTTACTGACAATAACACAGAAACAACAATTTATTCCACAGAAACAACAATTTATTCCACAGAAAAATACAGCTCCATTTGGGGTTTTAACCCACCATCATCAATTCATACCTTTAACTTTACAGAGGCGTCAAGTGTTGTTGATATATTTACCAGTCATGACGTATCCAGTTCTTTTGAAGAACAAAGATCGAGTGCGCCATCGCATTTTACTGAACTGTCAAACTTTGTAGTATCTTCGGAATATATTAAATTACCGGTTTCCCTTTCTATACTAACCTCAACTGCTGTTGAAACCCCAGGTTTTCCAGTTGTAACTACTTACGTTGACACATTCAGTTCTTTTGAAGTATCAACCAATACTGATACACCAGGCACCTCTGTAGCAGCTGATCCTATATTAAAAACTCCATCTATAACGTCTGTATACACAGCTTTGGATTCCCCTCTTTATACTGCATATAGTACTAAAACATCTTTTCCTCAAGCTTCTACTAATATCCTAGAGGAAACTTATAATCTATTCGCTTATTCAAGTGTAATGATGAAGACGTCTACTTCAGGATTAATTACTAGTGAAGTTCCAAATGAACAGATTGATGTATCCCCAATATCTTCAAATGCATTACTTATGTCGATAACGCCAATATTAAGTTCTACCATTTCAGTTGATAGTGATAATGGTGGTAATACTAATCTGAATGGTTTGCAGACTGAATATATTGGTAAGTTGATGTGCATATATAAAAAGTTAATATAAAACCTGTTCTTATAAAGTGCAGAATTATAATGTACCTACTTCGTAGGGAAAAAATAATATTTGCTTTTGTTTTTCAGTACCCACTTCAACTTTAGTTGTGGCCACTGAGGCATCTAAAACCAGCCCAACAACGTCGCCAACTACTTCCCCAACTACCAGTCCAACCACTAGCCCGACAACTAGTCCTACTACAAGTCCAACTACTAGCCCGACAACTAGTCCTACTACAAGTCCAACTACTAGCCCGACAACTAGCCCAACTACAAGTCCAACTACTAGCCCGACAACTAGCCCTACTACAAGCCCAACTACTAGCCCAACAACTAGCCCTACTACAAGCCCAACGACTAGCCCAACAACTAGCCCTACTACAAGCCCAACAACTAGCCCTACTACAAGCCCAACCACTAGCCCAACAACTAGCCCTACTACAAGCCCAACCACTAGCCCAACAACTAGCCCTACTACAAGCCCAACCACTAGCCCAACAACTAGCCCTACTACAAGCCCAACTACTAGCCCAACAACTAGCCCTACTACAAGCCCAACCACTAGTCCAACAACTAGCCCTACTACAAGCCCAACCACTAGCCCTACCACAAGCCCAACCACTAGCCCTACAACAAGCCCGACGACCAGTCCTACAACTAGTCCAACCACCAGTCCTACTACCAGTCCGACCACCAGTCCCACAACCAGCCCTACCACCAGTCCGACAACTAGTCCTACTACCAGTCCAACGACCAGTCCTACTACCAGCCCGACCACAAGTCCCACTACTAGCCCTACCACCAGTCCGACCACAAGTCCTACTACCAGTCCAACGACAAGTCCCACTACTAGTCCTACCACCAGCCCGACTACCAGCCCGACCACAAGTCCTACAACCAGTCCCACCACTAGTCCTACTACCAGTCCTACTACTAGCCCAACCACTAGTCCTACTACTAGCCCAACAACCAGTCCTACCACTAGCCCTACCACTAGTCCTACTACTAACCCGATAACGAGGCCCACAACGACTCCAACAACAACACCAATTCCTATCAGTGAGTAAAATATATCTGTATATAAATTCATAAATTGCGTCTAAGTTTGAAAATATATAGTACCATATACTTGTTAACAATTATGTTGTCCACATTTATTTAATTATAACAACGTAAACAGCGAATGTTGGTAAATTTAAAAGTTTACCGACAAATCTATTTTAACCCAATAATGTGAACACTGAGGTAGTATCAAAATCTAAAGATCAAAACCTTATTCCAATGTATCTACTTTCTCGAAGAGAGCGAAGCACGAGACGAGCGAGTCGCGTTATGTACATGACGTTCGAGTGAAGGCTCGCAAATGCATTTCTTGCAGCTCTCGACTGCCCGTCTGGTCACCCTCATTGAACCGCTCTCTCTTTTCTTTTATTTGAGGGTTAGTCGAAGGGAGCGAAGCGCGAGACCAGCGAGTCGCGTAACGTACATAACGTTAGAGTTAATAGCCCGGCAGAACTATGGCTGAACCTGGAAATTGTATACAAAGTTTGTTTATGGTTGATTTAGTAGCCTAGGGTGTCCTCTTTAAGAATCTGCCGAGTGAGCCGGGGTCACCCTAGAGCGTTTTGAGAAATTCAAGATGGCGTCCAAGACGGCCGCCATTTCAAATAATCCCCTATAACTCCCATAATATTTTGTCTAGGATGATAATTATGGTGGCTAACCTTATGTTTTGAGACCAAGGCATACATCGAAATTATTCATTATGTCGTGTGGTGATTAGATGATAGTAAAATCCAAAATACCAGACGATATGGTCCTTTAACTCGATAGCGGCGGTTGGGGACGATTATTTCACCAAACCAAACTATGTCGAGAGACAAATTATATATTTTTTGACATCTGAGCATATGACTGAGTGATACGATACGACCACATACATGCCTATCATGGGGTCCAGGGCCACATGGAATGACCCTGAATAGGGGGACACAAGCTGTGTTTTGGACATTTAAAAAAACAAATTCTATCCGCAAAATACGAAAATAACCTCCCCAAAACTGGGTAATATTCAGTTCAATCCTTTAGTCGTGTGTCTGACTGCGACAGCACAGGCGCAAAATACTGTGCATTCTAAGCCATCCCTAGTACAGTTACAAGAAAGCATACTACATGGGGTGTCAGTGTCACTCTTGCATCTACATCTGATGAGCCACAGGAGTAAGTTGACCGGTTGTAATGTTTTCCATTTAGTGTCCTTTGTTCCGACAGATTACGATCTGAATTTCAGTGAACGCCACACAATAGCATGGTGATGACATCTTTTTGCGTTTCCTGCAAATGCACCATTCATTGGAGCAAGACTACATGGTTTAGGTGGGGATAATGACGATATATTTCCAGTTTTGGATGCCTATATCCTCCAGCGTGTTTCAGCCATCGATTTGCAAGAGCTCTGTCCATAACAAGCTGACATGAATCGCGTTACAATGGAATCACAAATCAAAGAAAGAACAACCGTTGACATTGGTCAAACTATGGAGAAACACACGTCAGTTATCATTGAAATCCTGCCAGTTCATACTCTTACTCGATATGATACGGTTATATGCTGCTACGCCGTGGGGAAAGGAACAGCTTTGGAAGTGGTGAGAGCTTGATTTTATCCTCTCTCACTGTATTTATTTTCCAAGCTTGTTATGGACAAAGTTCTAGCAAAATCGATGCCTGAAACACGCCGGAGGGTATGGACATCCAAAACTGGAAATGTATCGTCATCATTCCCACCCAAACCACGCAGTTTTGCTCAATGAATGATGCATTTGCAGGGAACGTAAAAAGAGCTATCACCAAGCTATTGTGTAGTGTTCACTGGAAGATAGTAATCCGTCGGAACTTGTTCCGGAACTGTATTGCTGGGTGAAGGATACTAAATTGAGAACATTACAGCCGACCAACTTGCTCCGGGGTCTGTGTCATGTGGATCGTCAGATGCGGATGCAAGAGTGACACCCCAGGCAGTACGCTTGCGTGTAGATGCACTAGGGATGGCTTAGAATGTACAGTATTTTGCGCTTGTGCTGTCATAGTTTGTAGCCTGAGACACGACCAAAGGATTAAACTGAATATTGCCTAGTTGCTCTCAATATTAAAAAAAACCCAATTTTTAACTATTAACGATTCATAAAAACTAATAAATTTATCACATTCCGCCGAGTACTTTCGACCGTTGCGGTCTCTTCAGGGCGAATGATAATGGAAGTGACAATACGTCGTTAGAAGTACTCGGCGGAATGTGATAAATTTATTATTTTTTATGAATCGTTAATAGTTAAAAATTGTGTTTTTATATATATATATAATATATACGATAAAGGTAACACGACAAAAATGTTGAGATTTTACTAGATGTTGTTGATATGTTGTCCCTTTTTATTTCATTGTTTACTATATAATCGGTACTACGCTATTCTTGTTAAAATTTCAACTTAAATTAAATGAAATGGGGTTTTACGTCCTACTGTTCTGCTCTGACTGGACTAATGTGGACGGGCATACGCCATACAGTGTGCTATGAGGGACATTTTGCCCGGTCAGCGGCACTATCGCCTACTCTTACATCGAATTCCGACTGCCAAGGGATGTATACACGGGACACACGGGACCTCCGTCCTGCACCAATGACAAGGGGGGACCCATCAGAAAATCCCGACGAACACTCTCGGCTAATGCAGGGATCGAACACGCGACCTCCAGGTTAGTGAGCCAGCTACTCACCTATAAAAATGAAATGGGGTTTAACTGGGCTAATGAAGACAGGTATACGCCATACAGTGTGCTATGAGGGAAATTTTGCCCGGACTGCGGCACTACGGCCTACTCTTATATCGAATTCCAACTGCCAAGGGATCTTTTACGAGCACGCCAATGTGTACACGGGACCTCGGTTTTTTGTCCCTTCCGAACGACTAGACAGCTGTACTTGTCAAACCGTTACTTACAAGGGGGGACCACGCCGCAAAATCTGGATGAACTGTCTCGGCCAATGCAGGGATCGGACATCCGACCTCCAGGCTAGCGAGCCAACGTCTAACCCACCTGGCCACCGTGGCCCCTAACTCACCTATAATTAATAAGATAATAATCATTGTAAGTAAATAATACTAGCATTTGTTTGCCATTTCAGATATAACCATGCCTACAGTCACTGCGTTTATTAACCAATCAGCATCTATCGTCTGCTACTATGATGGTTTTGATAATTTCGAAGTTATAGCTGTTTTTATGAACGCTAAGAATGATGCAGGTTCGGTTTGGCAGCCACAAGCTGCATTTACAGCAACTGGAAATGTCACTATATTTCCACCAAGAGGCGTGACCGGAACTAATGAAAGAGTTGGTGATTTGTTTACCATGGCCGTAAATTACAAGAATGCTACCTGTACACAGAATACACAATTCCTCTGTACATCTAACACAAACAAAAGGGTATTTGGGAATATGATTATCAAGGGTAAGACATTTTGAAAAATAATGTATTTAAATCGTAGACTTGGGATACAGGCAGGGGACTGTACTACACACAAAACGGAGAGTGACAACTTCAAAAGTAAAGGGAGTCACCGTGCCTAGGTGGGTAATTAAGACGCTGGCTCGCTAGCCTGAAGGCCGCGTGATCGATCCCTGCATTGGCTGAGAACGTTCATCAGGATTTTCCGGCGTGGTTTCCCCTTGTCAGTGGTGCAGGGTGGAGGGCCTGACAAGGACAGCTGTCTAGTCGTTAGGATGAGGCAAAAATCCGAGGACCCGTGTACACAATGGCTTGCACGGAAAAGATGGAATTCGATACAGGAGTAGGTCATAGTGTCGCTGCCCGGGCAAAATTCCCCTCATAGCGTATGCTCGTTATCATTAGGCGAGTCGGACCAGAACAGTAGGGCGTTAAACCCCATTTCATTTCATTTCATTTCGTTTCAAAAAGTCAAACAAGCATGAATTGTTTTTGACAGACAATTAGGAGACAGCAAGAGAGACCAGGATAATGGCATGTCTTAATCTTAATAATTCAATCGCGCTCAGATTGGAAAAACCCACCAGGTTAAGTGGGCGTCAGAAGGCTTATTCCTTGTCACATACAAGCCTTAACTAAATGCCAGACCATATAATCTAAACTCTAAAACATAAGAAACTTACGTGATCTTCTACAATTGGCTACTCTTTAGAGTAGGTTTTAATTCCTACATCGACGATTTTATTCACATTATGTACACTTCAAGAATTTGAAATTTTAAAATGTTATTTGGTCTTTGTGTGTAGGCTATGAATGATGTAAAGTCGATTATCTAGAACCGCATCACAAAATATTACACTTAAGTATGCAATTCTTTATTGCTATCAGGTCATTATTTAAGATAATGTATGCCAAGCTTTTTTAGGGCTATACCATTTGGAAAATAGAGATTTGCAGCGTGATATTGTGATCACGCGATTTAAGCTGTTTAGCAGTATCTTTCTCTGACGTCATATAGAGGGTGACTTGTCTATCTTTAAACGTTAATGCTACTTGGTATAGATATACCTGATGACTTTGGTGGCGGTCATGATCCGTGACGACTCTATTCAACCTTGAAATGATAATACCACCACTGGCCCGAATCTGTGGTAGTGACGGCACTGCTACTCATTAATCTTACGGAACTCTATGAGTTTCAGCTTATTCAATTCTTAATTTTGTTATAAGCAAAAACTATTTCTTTAGTCGTATAAGTCAATTTATGCGTTCAATTAGCTTAATAATTTCCAGTATTCTCCCATAAACCCTCTCCCACTTATAATTATAGGTTAACCTAACTGCCAATTTATTTTTGTATTATTATTCATAGAAAAATATATGCCATATCCGAAAAATGTCTTTTGTACATTAACAGTTCCAACTAAAGAACCTGTGGTGACTTTCCCAGAAGATATTGTCGAAGGTATATCATATTCATTTACATGTAAAAACCTCCAAAAGAATCCGGAAGGTCAACTGTTGTGGCTGCAACAGACCCAAGCAGGAGATAATTTTACAGAAGTCATCTTTCCCGCCGATAATAGAACCAGCTCGAATGTAAAGGACTGTTACTACACACAACATAGTGTAGTCAAGCACGTATTTGATATGGGATGGAACGCAACATCGTTGCGTTGCGATTCAAGTAATCCAGCTGCCCAATCAGTTTCTCAAGAAATCTTGGTCATTCCAAGTAAGTTTATTTTGTTGGTTCTTTTTGAAATTGTATGCAAAAGAATGACGATTAATTAAACACAGCCATATAAATCAGCATCAGTACATACAGATATAGAATTATGGATTAGAGGATGACTGGTGGGTATCAATGTGTACAACTTGTAGTTTTGGGGAAACACCCTTCACCTCCTCACCAGAACCGTATTGCACTGATGATTCAGTTCAGTTTAAAGATAATCCTCCTAATTCCTTAAAGAGTATGTTTGTAAAATAATACTAATATCAAGGAATCTGATCATGTAATGTATACTGTATGGAATCTATTTGCATATTATCTGTGGAATCTATTTGCATAGAGGTGTGTATGAATCTATTTGCAGGGTTTCTGTGTATATATTATATTTGCATATGGTGTTTTTATGAGATTTTATTTGTATCCATTCCTCTGTATGAAATTTATATTTAAGTTTATCATTCCTGTGTATGAAGGAGCCGCAGTGACTCAGTGGGTTAGACGTTGGCTCACTAACCTTGAGGTCCCGTGTTCGATCACTACGTTGGACGAGAAAGTTCATCGGGGTTTTCCGGCGTGGTTCCTCCTTGTCACTGGTGTAGGACTGACGGCATGGCAAGGGAAAACGTATAGTCGTTCGAATGGGACGAAAACCCAAGGCCCCGTGTACACATTGGCTCGCACGTTAAAGATCCCTTGACAGTTTGAATTCGATGTAATAGTAGGCCGCAGCGCCCGTCTTCATTAGTCCAGACGAAGCAGAAGAGAACCCCATTTCATTTCCTGTGTATGAATCTATTTTTATCAGTATCCATTCGGTTATTGAATATATATTTATTCTCTGTGTGGGATCTATATTTATCTGTTTTGTGTATTGAATCTATATTCATCAATTCTGTGTGCGAATCTATATTTATCTGCTTTGTGCAAGGAATCTATTTGTATCTGTTCTGTATACATAATCTAGGTTTATCTATTCTGTGTAAAGAATCTGTTAGGGTATCTATTTTGTGTATGAACATATTTATTTATCTATTCTGTCCATGGAATCTATATTTAACTATTCTATTTATGGAACCTATGCATTTTAACATTTGTATACAATATATTTTTTGTGTCGCTATTACAGGTGACTATTGTGCTTCAACTCCAGTCGGCCAGAAGATAAACCATCCGTATAATTGTAATAAATATATAACGTGTTCAACAGGTTTAATACTTATCAGTAAATGTCCGGATGCATTATGTTATGATCAAGTCACAGATGCATGCGGTAATTAATCTTTTATTATATTAATTGAATTTTTTTGATTGGTGTTTACATGTAGTACATTCCATTTCACACATCTTGACGCCTAGTGAATATCTATATACGAGGACCCGATACTGAAAATTTGGGTTTATAGCTAGCACACACATTGAGGCCCAATGAATTTCTCTACACGCGATAAGCTAATATTGAAATATTGAACTATAGAATCAACAAGGCCATTGGCGCATAATGTCTTCGCCCCCCCCCCCCCCTTTACCCTTTTGTCCTCTAAACATAACACGGAATCCAGGAACTTTAGTGGGTATTTGAATCAATAATCAACTCGTGGCCTATTATATAGCACATATTTAATCACGTGTAAATCTTCATTGTTTAATCTGTTCCATTTTTCAGTCTGATTTTATTGAAAAACAGTAAGTTAGTACTGGTTTTCTACTGTATACCTACAACTACTGCTTTTGCTTGTATATTCCATGTCTCTTACATCTTTAAAGCTATAGCGTGAATTCTTAATATAAAATAACATACCTTGTCATCAGATGAAATTAATTTATCAACTGCCGTATTCCTGCCTACATAACAGTAGAACGTGAAACCCCATTGCATTTCATTTGATTTCCTGATGGTGGCCTGCATCCACATAGTTTCTGTGAGCTTACGAAGTTATCGCCCTTATCATGGCAAACGTATCAGACTATATTGCTGGATATCCTATATGACATGTAAACTCGCTCAGCGTTTAAGAAATTCCGTTCATAAACTTGATTGTATTGTAGTTGTTTATGCCGGAAATCTTAGTACATAATGGGTTTTTTTTTTTAAACTTATGCATCAGAATGAAGAGACCATCATGTTTGATTCAAGATTTGCAGTCTACCATGTATTTTTGACGAAGGGGGGGGGGGGGATAATTCCGATCCACACTGACTGTATATTAAAGACAAAATACACATCTATAGACTACTACTAATAAACATAGCTTGCTAGTTCTATAGCTTACTCTATACACTGCATAAACCATTATTTTATCTTTATAAAATTTTCAAATAGATTATTAGTTGCCTTTGCTTTTCTCCTATTTTATGTGTCTTTCTCTTGTCATTTTTACTCAAATTTGAATACTAATAACGATTTTTTTACCATATCGTATCCATTCTATCTAACTATGGTAGCTTTTCACTTAATCGTCTATTCTGTTATTTTATATATTTTCATTCGTATATTTCTGTTTAAAATTGAAAATGTCAAATTCAAAGCTTTCGATATTATTTAATGTTGTACCTGAAGGCTCAGTATTAAATGATTACATAGTTACGCATTAAACTCAGTTTCCTTTGATGTCAAAACAGTGAAGGTATCAGTATTTTATGAATTATATTTGACCACTGGACTGGTGCATAGCAAGCTGTATATAGTGCACCAAGAAATGTCTCATTTTAAGTAAACTTTGAAAGTCCCTTTATAACAAACTATTGGCTTGATCGAGAGTTCAGGCATTTTTGACCATACCGATACTATAAAACTGTCATGGGTTTGGATATGCTATACTGACGATATTACCGTAAACACTTTATTGGTGAGATTTGAACATCGTCCAAATGTATTGAATATTATATTTTTCGTTAATCTCTTCTTAAATTTAAATTTTAGGTGAAACTAGCGATCCTTACAGTTGTGCCGATAAAGCTACGGGAACTTTTGTTCCCGATAAAACATCTTGTATCAAATATTCTTGGTGTGTGAATGGTTCACCAATCACTCAGAGTTGTGTTGGTGGCACATTCTTTACTCTTACTGATGGTCCGTGTAATTTCAACAGGACAACAGCCTACTGCACAGAAGAACAACTGAATGCAACGACCTAATATTTATAATCACTTTGTAAATATGTAAATGATTCTTCCGTATACAGTATAATGTATGTGGGATGATGTATAGACAATATAATAGATCATAACTATATCTTTAATATCATTTTGGCGGATAAAGTTTATCCACGCGTATCTCCATATAACTAAATCTGAATTGCTTGAATAACAATGTAAAATATGCACGACACGCGTACATTGAATCTTAACACTGGTATATATCATCATTGAATTGATTGGGGTGGATGACGGAGTGGTCTAGTGTGTGTACTATAGATCAGGAGACCTGTTACGTATATGCAAGTTATGGGTTTGTTGGTGACCGACCTGTGTGTTTTCTTAATATGTACTTCTGAAGAACATTGTGACGCAAACAAGCATTAAAATAACCAGTGGTTGCCAGGCAAAATAAACCCACATTTTGCAAGAGATGGATAGAGAACAAACTAAAAAATAAAGCAATTTTTCGTACAATCAGGGACCATAATCCTGGAAGTTATGTCTGAAATACGCGAATTTAAAAATGGGACTGAAATATTTGGCATATAAAGATATATTTGAGTTTCATCAAAATCGAATAAAAATTTTGACTTCTAGAGATTCCACAATCTTGATATTACATACTTTTACACTATTTGCGTACGAGGGGCGGTCATTTTGTCCGGCAGTTTTGGTCCGATTTTCACGAAATTCGAACTCAACCATCATTGGGGTGTAACGGTGACATTTTCAAACGGTTTTCTAAATTGGATAATAATTGTGACCTCTAGAGGGACCACAAGCTAAAAACGCGATTTTTCGTACAATCAGGGGCCATAATTCAGGAAGTTACGATCTGATGTGGGCAAATATCGTCAGGAACCAAGATCTTTGGGTTATAAACATGCATTTCAAGTTTCATCAAAATCAGATGAAAATTGTGAACTCTACATTGTTCAAAGGCTAAAAACGTGATTTTTTGTACATAATCCATGAAGTATCGATCCGATACATGCCAATATCAACAGAAACTGAGATCTTTTGGAGATAAATCTTTATTTCAAGTTCCGTCACAATCGGATAAAAATTGTGAACTGTAGAGTGTCCACAAACAATTGTGGACGGACACGGACGAACGTCCGGACAGACAGGGGCGACGACAATATGCATCCACATGAAAATGTGGGCGTATAGAAATACACCACATTTGCCAAGCATTAAATTCTGGAACAATTTAAAGACAAATACATCTGTTGCTAAAATAATTGACTTTACTGTGAAATTTGTGTCTATAATTTTATAATTCCTGATCGTTAAAAATATGGTACTTCCCGATAGAAATGAGTTTTGTGGGTCAGAGAGAGAAAGAGAGAAATGGGGTTTAACGTCCACTCGACACAAACTAGGTCATTTCGGGACTAACACATGGTTCAATTTTATTTCAATAATTCGCTTGCGCGTAGGGGTTTTTAGCCGGGGAATCGAAACCCCATCAGTTGACTCAATGACAGACCGTATGAACAGCGCGCGCGTGCTAACCATTCGGCCATCCACCCCCTTTTGTGGGTCAAACAGATGACCAAAATGCTTAAAACGGAAATGAGAAAACATATTCACTATGATTTTACTTATAATGACTTCATTCTATACGCTTAATAGGCGATGCATGTAAATATTTTATTCTTATTATTTATTTGTTGTATAGGCATAACCCCCTGGCTTACATAATGATATAAATGTATTTTAAGAGCGTTCTTTTTCGCTCGCATAATTTTTATAGCGCAAAGTAAAGGGGTAGTATAATACTTTCTTTTTAAATGCGAATCAAGCTAATATAAATGTTTCACCAATATCTCAAAAAGTACAATACACGTGCGCTGTGTTTTTTATTCCAGTTTGTACACTTGGGTATAAAAGGGGCAACTTTGTCCCATTATTATTCTTTCTTTATCCAAAACGCATAAATATAGCAACGTGATAGAAACTAATGTGACCTTCAAATACCAGTGTTGTCTTGTATAATTTCTTTGATAAAAATGTGGTACATTTTCAGATGATTTATTTTTGGGGCCTAGAAATTGACACAAATGAGTCGCAACGCATATAATAATGTAATATGAATGTATAAAAACTGATTTACATTCAATTGTTTCCGTTTTTAATCTAATTTCAAGTTCGGCGAGATGCGCCAGAAGTCTCAATCGAATGGCAATATCTACCGTCTGGTTATTCCAGTCTACACCGATAATATTTATTGCGCATAATCTTCAGATAAGAATATGGGTCACCGTTTGACATGACTCGTGGAATATGTCTAGCCTCGTTCTTCGAGATCACAACAACAACATTGATTTAAAGTAGCTAAGTCTCTAACTCAATATCATCCAAAATCCTTGACATTTTTAACACGAATTATTTGTCAATTTAAATCAACATTGATGTTGTGATCTTACCGGGAAAAGATGGGCTTCTGATATCCAATATTTAAGACAAAATAAACATTTTACCATTGGTACACGAATCGTGTACCATAATGCGTTTCAGCGCCATTTGTAACAAGGGACTCGAAGAACGAGGCTCGACATATTCCACGAGTCATATCAAACGGTGACGCTATATTCTTATCTGGAGAACATGCGCAATAAATACTATCGGTGTAGGCTGGAATAACCAGATGCTAGAGATTGCCACTTGATTGAGGATTCTGGCGTATTTCGCCGAACATAACTGATATAATTAGAAATTACAGTAAAAACAGAAACGACTGAATGTAAATCAGTTTATATACCTTCATATTACATTATTATATGCGTTGCCAGCCATTTGTGTGTCAATTTTGTGTCAAGTATTAGCGAGTTAGTCCCTTTAAATTGAAAAATAATTCGTGTTTTCAATGTCGAAGACTTTGGATGATATCGAGCAGCTACTTTAAGATTTACTAGCATTCAGAAAAAAGATAAACTTGTTTATTTTAAAACAATTTATTCATTTATATATCATTTAACACATGTAGATAGTCATAATGTATTTGGAATAAATGTTTAAAAAATATATGATATATGGTTGTTATATTCCAATTTCCAATCTTTATTTGGAGCCACGGTGGCTAAGTGGGTAAGACGCCGGCTCGCTAGCATGGAGGTCGCGTGTTCGATGCCTGCATTGGCCGAGAAAGTTCCTTTGTGTTTTTCGACGTGGTTTCCCCTTGTCAGTGGTGCGGGATAGAGAGCCTGGCAAGGAGAGCTGTCTAGTCGTTCGGATGGGACGAACTAGTCGTTCGGATGGTATGAAAACCCGAGGCCCCGTTCACACATTTGCGTGCACATAAAAGATCCCTTGGTAGTTGGAATTCGATTTAAGAGTAGGCCATAGTGCCGCTGCCCAGTATAGGAGCAGGACAGTAGGACGTTAAATCCCATCTGATTTGATGTCCATCTTTATAATATAGTATATTAAACTCCTAATATCATTCCGTTTGGTGCAGAAAAGTAGGAATGAATGCGATGAGAAGCTAACTACCCGTGGGTGGATTGGTGTTAAAAAAAGTGCAAGATATACAATAATTAGCGTAAATCCCCACTTCTTCTATTAAGGCATCTGAGCAAGTACTCAATATTTGTGATACGTTTGCAAACAACTTAAACCCGGCAGTCTTCATCTGGAAATGGAGACCGGTGTCCCAAACTGTATTATACGGCGTCTGGATAAAACCAGACCTTTTTTTTAAAAAATAATAATGTGTAGGTGACATTTACCGTCCGCTATCAAGTACAGCACATGGGTCATTCACTGTATAGACCTCTCAAGAAACGGGAATCGATTATCAGGTCACCCAACGAAAAAACTGACCCGAAATGTTAAAAGGGTTACGTGTCCGGATAAGCACTTTTGACGTTCACGTCCAAACGACTCAATATTTTGAGCTGAAATTTTAAGACAAGGTCAATACACCATTCCTTTATATTTTGGTGCTTAAATTTCATACGTACTCGGACTTTAATTTTTGAGACTCTGTTCTAATCGGCATAGTCCCTTTAAGTTAAAGTTCACTAACATTGATTCTGTAGATAGTCATAATGTTTTTGGAATAAATGTTTAAAAATATATGATATATGGTTGTTATATTCCAATGTCCATCTTTATATAGGATATTAAACTCCTAATATTTTCCCGGTTGGTGCAGAAAAGTAGGAATGAATGCCATGGGAAACTAAGTACCTGTGGATTGGTGTAAAAAAAAAGCGCAAAATATACAAGAATTAGCGTAAATCCCGACATCTTCTATATTAAGGCATCTATCATACTCTCGCCTTAAAGTTCACTAACATTGGCTCTGCAATAGCAATAGCCAGCACACACACCGATTATTCCGCAGAATGCACGAATTTGCGAAAGTAATTCTTTATCACATAGGGTTTAATTTAGAAGATTGCAAAACAGTTCACGGTATGTATACGTATGTATTATGAGCTTTGTCATCAAAGAGGTGTCGCGCTGTAAATATTTCCTGCAGAACAGGATTATGGTTGACTAACGGATGACCGGGCATTGAAAGCAGTATAACCCCGAAACCGGAAGCGGTAGGCCAACGCCACCAGGCCTATGTTACTCCCCGTTCCGAGCAACCTCTAAACACCAAATTCCAGCCTCGGGACAGCCCTATACTACAAGACAGACAGACAGACAGACGGGCAAACAAACGACATTTACAAATTTAATATTAGCATAGACGGTTATCAAGGGAGACACTGTGAAAAACGACATTCGCTCCCACCTGGGGTTATATCGCAGACAGACGTGACATACTCTGCTCCAGTTTATATGTAATACGACTAAAGTTTGAAGCTTCTTTTAAAATTCCAATCCAATAGTCTATAAGCATATCGGTATCAACACCAAGGATGTCTATACTGTGATGACATCGCCCCTTAACCGGCAGATGACATCATACCTTTGTCATCTATATGAAACATGGATGCTAACGACGCTACACATTTTTGTTGAAGTGCATTAAAACACGTCAAAAGGCTACATTCTTTCAGAACTATATTACTTTCAGTACACTCAACATAGAAACGGCAAAAGTGGTCTGGATGGGGAACTAAATTAGTACCATTTGTGTGTCCGTCACAAACTGTGTCTAAAATAGAAAACAAGAACAATTTAGGCTATTTTAACAACATCGTTGGTCAACATTAAAAGATAAAACGATAATAGCCTATATCTGTTTCTAGATTATTAGAAATGGCGTCCATCGAGTTTTTTGAGAGGGGCTCTCTATGAATAGGCCCTACATTTAGTTGCGTTGCATTGTTTATTATTCTTAAATCACCTTTAGACTTCAGGAAATTTCCAAAGTTATAAACCGTAGACCGAAATAGTGTCCAGTTTGTTTCCAGCAGGATCTGGCAATGACAGAATCTATTGGATTTGTACGAAAAAAACGAGGTCTCGTGTACACATAGGCGTGTACGTAAACGAACCCATGACAGTTGGAATTCAAAATATGAATAGGCCGTAGCGCTGCTATCCAGGTACAATTTCCCTCATAGCACACTGTATGGTGTATGCCGGTCTTTATTAGCCAAGTCGTTGCAGAACATTAGGACATTAAACCCCATTTCATTCATTCATTCTTGCGTTGATGGGGCTTTTAACTCAGTGCCATTTCCAAACTATGAGCGTACATTTGAAATCGAGTTGTGATTACCTGGCAATAGAAGTAAATACACCATTTCGGATGTATTAGATCTGGAAACACCCTTATCGTCAACTGACATTACTGTTACTCGAAGTATGGCATTGTTCCAGGTCGAGTTCAGTGTCACTTGGAACGAGTTCGTGAAATCAGTAGAACAGTTCTTTCTGACAGGAGCGTGATCCACATCATTCACATCAATAGGAATAAAGCCAGTATCGTTTGTATGTTGTATTTCCCACGTTACCCGTTCAATGACGTCTGCGGGCCCAAGTGTCCATTTAGCTGAAATTGTCACCGGGGTGTTTTCTATCAGTGTGGTCGGTATAAATATCTCTGGAATTACATGAGGATCTGTAAAATGATTAGAGAAAAGGTGTTTGTTTATCTATGTTTCTGTTGTATACAGACGCTTCCCAATTCCATCCAATGTGAATTTCAAGACAATTTTTAGGGGATTTTGACAGTTTGGGAACAAACACTGAGTAGCCTAATATGTACTTCCTAAAAAAAGGTCCTTTAACCTAATCTACACAGCCATGTTCAATCTCCCCAGAAATGTCATATTGGCATAGTATCAAAATAAAAGTACTGGTGTAACCTTGTCAAAATAGTGATATTTCTAAAAACCTATTCTAATGTGTGGACTTTGGGGAACAGGTAATGGAATACATGATTTTTATGACAGACTGTTCTGTCCGAAACATAGCTTCTTTTCTGGTGGTAATAAGGGATATTTGGGGGAGGGGGGTGTTGTGGGGTTTCTTTCAGTCCATTTTCCACGATAAATTCGGAAAAACGTGTATAGTCTAATCATTACAGGCTGATAGGGTGTAATTTACTGGTCTTGTCGTCACCTTTTATTATGGATAGTCTCAAGATATGGCAAATAAACTGACAAAATACATATTCCCCATTTATGACTGGATTTGTTCTCGTCAAAGATATGGAGATATCAGAATACTTGGTGTTGGTGATCAATCCAATGTTCGGGAACCATATTAAATATAATTAAATCCCAAGATCTCAGAAGACTACTTACTACTTACAACTGCTTCGGCATCATCATAAATTGTGGAAATGTCATCAATTACCAATCTACAACGATACTTTCCATGGTCCGAACATTCAGTGTTTCTTTCTAGTAAGTTGAAAGTTACGTCACCCCCAACAGTAGTAACCATAGATGTAATATTTGGCATGTTAATGGCTACCTTAGTTTCACCGTGTAGAGTGGAGAGGAGCCTTAATTTACCAGTTTCCACGTGCATCATTGTTATATATTCCCAGTTAAGGGCATTCTTAATATTGCAGGTTAAATTCATAGTCTGTCCAACAGCCACACTGACAATATTAAGTGACACTGAGGCTGGAAAAAAATCAAATAATGTTACAATCTGTTACTCAGAGTAACGTAAAATATGTCCTGAAAGCAATTTTCACCTAAAAGAACGACTAATCGAAACTTTTTCTAACTCAAAATCCCACTGTTCCAAATGCCAGGTCAAGATTATTAAGTTTCCTTTGCACAAAGCGCCCATTGCATTCACGGTGCACGCTGGGTCGCTTGGGCATAATTAAGTGCTGAATTGGGTAGTTATCATCCTATGTGTTTTCGATTAGTAATTTAAACATATCTATTTGACCGTAAATGATTCTGATGCATTCTGATATTTTTGTTGTGTTACACAAGGTGCATTAGGAAAGAATGGGATGCTTTTAACTTATCCAAGTCGTACTTTAGTGACTTTAACTTGTCCAATATTAAAGATGCATTATGTAAGATTTGGATAAAGAGCTAACCGTTCTTGCTATAATAGTTCCAAAAAAGATTATTCAAAATTAATGTATTGACAATTTCATCAAATTATTTTATTCTGGCATTTTCATTATTGTTTGAAGTTTTGACATAGCTTGTTTATCGTAGCAACGTTACTTATTAATCGAGACTCAGTCTCGCTTGTTCATTTTTAAATTAAAACATTAAATGGCGATTGTATTTCCATCCGTTTACATCTGCATCATCCGATGGTCTAGAGAGTAGATTATACGCTTGCCATGTAAATAATTGTCTAAATAATAATTTATGTAACATTTGAAGCCAAGGTAGGGAGATTTTCTCTTAAATAATGCATTGTTTAATTTTTGTGAGTAAATTTATACAATTCAATATTTAAACATACATTATGCAAGAGCTAAATCTGTCTATTGCAGATCTTTCTTTGGGCCTGAAATATTATCTAAATTATTAATTAGACATTAATTAACTTATCCAGACCAGATGGCATCGCTAGCCTGCGATCTTAAGTGGATTGTGAGCCGATTTACTGCATAACTTTCCTTTTCGATTAAACGATTAAATGGATAATAGAGACTATGCTGTTTATCGTACTGACTTTAGTAATGATGATAGAGGTTAGGCAGAAATTTCATTCGCTTAGTTCTCGGTTCATAGTGGATCAATTTGAATGAAATTTTCAGCAAATTACTTTTACGTTATCTAGTTTTTAACTATTATAGTGAGAACTGCCAGCTCGTTATCGAATCTCCCATAATGTATCTTTAAATATTTGACATTCATGATCAGTAAGTATCTTTTACGAAGGCCCATTAGTGCCAAGCAAAAAATAATTATTAATCCGTTTGAACGAGTTAGTATCTCGTTTGAACGAATTAGTATCTGGTTTCAACGAATTAGTATCTCGTTTGAACGAATTAGTATCTCGTTTGAACGAATTGGTATCTCGTTTGAAAGAATTAATTATCTCGTTTGAACGAATTAATTATCTCGTTTGAACGAGTTACTATCTCGTTTCGACGAATTAATTATCTCGTTTGAACAAATTAATTATCTCGTTTGAACGAATTAATTATCTCGTTTGAACGAGTTAGTATCTCGTTTAAACAAATTAATTATCTCGTTTGAACGAATTATGATTTCGATTGTACAGGAGCATGGAAGGGACGTGCAGAAATTGTGTTTCAAGTAAAGATAATATGATTTAATTATACGCGTAGGTTATTTATTATTTCTAGCGTTAGCGTCAGAAGAAGGAACTACACGTGTAAAGAGGGGAATTAGTATAGAATACCTTGGAAATTATCCAATTTGTTTAATGTTAGCCTTAGCCACAACATTGTAGTGAAGTCATTGTTTTATGACATGTATATGCTTAAACAGGCATTACGACAGGTATGTGTATGATATTGTAAGGACGTGGATTTGAAATGCACCAAATTAAGAAATAAAATTGTAGATTGTGCCTTAGCTGATTTTCATTAGTTCAGTGAACAGAACTACAAGTATACGATTGTTTGTCAGCGATGTTTACATATTAAGGAATAGTTGTTGCTAGATGAACTTATTTCCAGTGTTGATTGCCTTGGAAGAGAGAGGATTTGGGTGAGTTTCTAAGATAGAGGGGTGGGAGTGTTAAAAGAAATAACTAATTTGCGCATGCAGCATGCAAAACGTATCAAGAGAAGTAGTGCCGCAAAATTTATCGCATTGAACGTCGCATCCCTCCCACTAAGGAACCGTGCGGAGAAGTGACGCTGCCGTTGGCCGACTTCCTCGATAGGACAGAGGAATTGGAGTCGAGGGTTGCAGAGGGGAACGCTGGCTCAAGCGAGGAACGGCTGTTCCGGCCGCCCTCCGTTTGATTACCGGTGAAAGCCGACACAGAGGCCTTCCCCTCTTGGTTCACCTTGAGCCTTCGTTCCCCTCTGCGGCTCTCGGTTTCACGTCCCCTGTTATCTCGAGCAAGTCGACCAACAGCATCGTCGCTTTGCCACACGGGACCCTAATGTTTCGTTTTGCATACTGCTACTGCATTCCACGTTTTTTTCGTGTCATCCACAGTTTTTTGTGACTACAGACTTAACAAGACTCGCGCCATTGAAGTAGACGTCGCAAATTAGTTGTTTCTTCTACCCCCTCTATCTTAGAAACTCACCTGAATCCTCTTCCATCCGTTGTATTGCAATGCAATCAACATTAGGAATACATTTACTCTGGGATAATCCTTTACTGCAAAGTTCAATTTATGTAAACCCCGTTGACAAACAATCGTAGTTCTGTTCACTGGGCTAGCGAAATTTCAGCTAAGGCACAATTATTTCTTAATTGGGTGCGTTTCAAATCTACGTCTTTACAATATTAAAGATAAATTATGTAAGATTTAGATAAAGAGCTGGTCGTTCTTGATATAATAGTTCAAAAATAGATAATGCAAAATAAATATATTAAAATTTTCATTAAATTACTTTATTCTGAGAGACGATATTAGCCTTTGAAGGTTTGACAAGATGTGTGCACGGAATGTAACCACCCTACTGGTTATTCGAGGCTTAACCCCGTTTTACCATTTTTCAATAAAATCATTAAATGGCCGAACCGTTCTAATCTACTTAAATATGTTAATAAAGGTCTAATGCAATAGGCAGATTTAACTCTTGCATAATGCCTGTTTAAGCATATACATGTCATAAAACAATGACTTCACTACGATGTTGTGACTAATTCAGGTTAACATTAAACATATTCGGCTTTTAAAACGTTGGTAACTTCCAACATATTCTATACTAATTCTCATTCTCATAAATGTAGTTCCTTCTACTGACGGTAACGCTAGAAATAGTAAAGACCTTACGTATTAAATGACATTATCTTTACTTAAAACACAATTTCTGCATGTCCCTCCCACGCTTCTGTACAATCGAAATCTTAATTCGTTCAATTAGATGATTAGTTCGTTCAAACGAGATAATTAATTCGTTCAAACGAGATAATTAATTCGTTCAAACGAGATACTAAATCGTTTAAACGAGATACTAACTCGTTTAAACGAGATACTAACTCGTTTAAACGAGATACTAACTCGTTTAAAACAAGATAATTAATTCGTTCAAAATAGATACTAATTCGTTTAAACGAGATAATTAATTCGTTCAAACGAGATACCAATTCGTTCAAACGAGATACTAACTCGTTCAAACGGATTAATAATTTTTTTTGGTTTGGCACTAATGGGCCTTCGTAATCTTTAAAAAGATAATTACTGAATGTCAAATATTTAAATTAAATATTTGTAAACTTAATGTTAAAAATTCTGGCTATTAAATGCGGATTCGGGTCGTATATACCTGGTGGTCTAATTGTTATGGTTTCGGTTGTTTTTGGTAAACCAGTTGTTGGTGGTAAACCAGTTGCTGGTGGTAAACCAGTTGTTGGTTTTGTAGTGCTGGTAACTGGTGTTGCTATATATAAAAAAAATAAGTAATGGAAATACATACAGTGTACAAATTGTAGATTTCAAACATCGTAATTGAGCGTTAATTAATTCGTTCAAACGAGATACCAATTCGTTCAAACGAGATACTAACTCGTTCAAACGGATTAATAATTTTATTTGGTTTGGCACTAATGGGTCTTCGTAATCTTTAAAAAGATAAACACTGAATGTCAAATATTTAAATTAAAATGTTTACATTTTCAACCTTTTTGTAAACTTAATGTTAAAAATTCTGGCTATTAAATGCGGATTCGGGTCGTATATACCTGGTGGTCTAATTGTTATGGTTTCGGTTGTTTTTGGTAAACCAGTTGTTGGTGGTAAACCAGTTGCTGGTGGTAAACCAGTTGTTGGTTTTGTAGTGCTGGTAACTGGTGTTGCTATATATACAAAAAAATAAGTAATGGAAATACATAAAGTGTACAAATTGTAGATTTCAAACATCGTAATTAAGCGTTAATTAATAGGCATCGTAGAACGAATGTCTAGCAATATATACAAGAAACAATACTATTAAGTAGGCTTTTGCTAAAGTTCGAGTCGTATATTCGCCCTCTAGTGTACCTGGTTGTTTCGGACTTGTTGTTATGGTTGCGGTTGGTGTTGGTAAAACAGTTGTTGGTGGTAAACCAGCTGTTGGTTTGGAAGTGCTTTTGGTTGGTGTTGCTTTATGAAAACAGTAAGTAATGGAAATACATACAGTGTACAAATTGCAACATTTCAGACATCGTAATTAAGCGTTAATTAATAGGCAGTGAAGAACAATTGTCCAGCAAAGCACAAGAAACAGTAAAAGACAACATCACAATTAAATGGGGAATACTCACTAGTCCGCGGGGGAACTGGTTCACTAGTCGCGAGTGCACTAGTCCACAGGTTCACTAGTCCGCCGCTATAAAAAATACTATATAAGGGTATCAATAAACCAAGCAGGTATGGTGGCTGATTGGTATCAGGTAGTGATGTCGCCCTCCATAAGGCGACAACCAAACAACGAGACATCACGACATTTTAACCCGATATCACGACATTTTAATCCAACAATACGACATTTTAACCCCACACAACGACATTTAAATAGTTGTAATGTCGGATTAAAATGTAGTGATGTCGGTCATCTTCCTCGCAATATATAGTATGATTATTTACACTAAACCCGCGGATTAGTGCACTCGCGGACTAGAGAACCCCTCTCAATTAACCAACCTTTACTGGAAAAGCCAATGTTCTTTTACAACGACGCAAAAAAACATATTATTACCCGAATATCTAGATATAAACAAAACTCTTAGCGACAAGAGCCTGTCACGTATCTACCTAGTAACGAGTGATATTAGCTGTCCCGGAAAGAATATGCATTTTTAGCTTGTAGCTAAAGCAGAAATGAGCATTCGGGCGCTTAAGTACCTGATGGTCTTTGACTTCTTACTATTGCTTCAGTTGTTGAGATGACCCTGGTTGGTTTTGTGGTACTTGTTTTGACTTCGACTGGTGGTGCCACCAATGGTGGAACGGGTGTAGACAAAACATATTCTACAGATTCAGACGTTGTAACCCTAGGTGTTGCTGTCATAATACAAAAAAATGAAAATAATAAAAATATTTGTTTTCAAGAACTATTTGTTATTTTAAAAGGTTGCGTTATAATAACTAAAAACGATAATACTCACTGGTTACGTTGCCTGTGTCTGTAGAATTGGTAAGTTTAGTCCCAGCTTTCATACGAGATGGATTTTCTGAAGAAAATTATGAAATAACATGGGTTAAAAACATGTCCATTCTTTATACACAAAACGTAGGCTTAATCATCATGGGGGGAGCCACGGTGGCTCAGTGAGTAAGACGTTGGCTCGCTAACCTGGATGTCCCATATTCGATCCCTGTGTTGGGCGGGAAAGTTCACCGTGATTTTTCTGTGTGGTTTCTCTTTGTCAGTGGTGCGGGACCGAGGACCTGACAAGAGACAAAGTATAGTCATTCGTATAGGACGAAAACCCGAGGTCCCGTGTACAAATTGGCGTGCACGTAAAGGGTGATGGATCCCGCTATCCGTGCAAAATTTAACTCATAGCACACTGTATGGCGTCTGCCCGTCTTCATTAGCTCTGTTGGAGCAGAACAGTGAAACGATAAACCCCATTTCATTTTATTTAATTTCCTAATCATCATATTCCAAATGGATGTATTTAACTGCATTGAGCTCAGGTTTCACATTCATATCCTTCTGTAGTGTCTGGAAAGTCGTGGGTTTATATATTTTGCTTGTATTTTCGAAATCTAGATTAGGTTCAATAATATAAAACATTTCATATGCATGTGTAAAAAAGTCCAAATTAGGATTTATCACCCACTATCCAGTAAATACATTTTAAATTTGCACTTTCATTTGAAGCGCTATTCACAACTATCACTCCATTTCGATATAAGTTGTAGATATAAGTAGTGACTTATACGTGGCGGGGTAACGTACGCGCTTTCTAGAGCATCGGGTACAACTTCTCATTGGGGAGTTCATAAAGCGAACAAAGTATTGACAATCTTGAACTTTTGTACGGGTGAATCTCCGAGTGGCCTTTGGTCTCCTATATCAAACAGTCAGTCTGATCTCTCAAATCTAAGTTCAGGCGCTCCGTGTGGTTATAAATGACGGCGGGTGTCGTGTTCTAGGCGGGTTATGCTTAGTATTTTAGAACACCACGTGATACCACTTCTCAGTTCATTTTTATTGAACTTCTTTATTTGAGTTTTGGACGAAATCTTACCGATAATTAGAAAATGGATGAGTAGGGAAGCTGCAAGCGCCATTATACAAATGGTCGAAAAACCCATCACTATGCACAATCGTGTTCTACATCTTCGTTTTCTCTTCATTTCGTCGTGGCCTACGGTGGGATTGTGTGGATAAACAAATCTGGAGTAAATTTCAGTTGATACTTGTGGGCTTGAAACATGGGTGTGGCCAGTTACTGGTTTTACAGAAACCGGTAGTTCTTCTTTGATATCTGCCGGCCTCGACATAGGTATCTGAAAATGAGAGGAACGCAAGAATTTGATCAAATGGCTTTAACAATGTCAACACCAGAATGGAATGTTTTCATAAACTTAACAACAAATATGAGCAGGAGCGTTCAGAAAATAGCTAATACGTTATGTTATACTTCAACTGTAGTTTATTTACCTTAAACCTGACTGTTTCTTTTAAGAATATATCGGTGCTCGTTTCTTAAAGCGGAAATTTCAAATTTTTAAGTTATGTTTTTAAAATTTATTAAAATAAAGCCTGAAAATAGATGGTATCCATAAACAGTCCTACCTTGTTAAAGAATAATCCTATTAATCCTATAATTCACTATTGTCAGCTGAGAAATTGGCAAAAATATCATTTTCCTCTTCATTTTCAAACGTTTGAAAAAAGCTACTCCATGGTGGAGAATAGAAAACAAGGGAGGTAATTGGGAGGTAATTGTGTTATTATTTCCTGTATAAATGAGTTTTAAGTGTGAGAATGACACCTATGGTCGTACAATTGTGAGTTGACAACCTATTGAGCAAAAGACATAGAAATAATTACGTTTTGACTTTCTTAGAAAATTTGAAATTCTCGCTTTAAAGCCTTTGTATACAGTGCTTAGTTACATTTTTAAACGTTGTCTGGGACGACTTCTTTAGATGCTGTTGTATCTGCCCATATAGACGTTAATTTATGTGAAACATCTTTATGGTGACGCATAGCTATTAATGTATTATTAATTCACTTAACGACACGACAGAAATATCGTATGCGTGTTTATTATACTAATTATGACTGGATGTAATAACATTGCTGTCATCGTGTCTTTTTGGATATAAAACAGCAATAACTCAAACCGCTTGATGTTCTTAGCCAATGCCATAATTTTATTTTTTTTTATTTTTTTTTTTGACCAGTGACACCTAAAAAAATGACTTTATAATAACATATGTATATTCCTGGATTTCTCCATATTTACAACTCGCCTCAACAAATGTGTTTTGCATTTGAGGCCTTATCCTTTATGAATCATGTATTCGCCAATGCTTGACGGTATACTCATATATGAGTTTCTATACAGCTATTGCTATGGCTGTAGACAATGTCAGAGTAGGTATAGTGCAGACAGAACTATCCATTGTCAGATTATATTCTTCTCTGTCCAAATGTCCAGCCTCCACATCTGTAATATCTATATTCTGTGTTTAATAAATGTCTTCTTTTTCGAATTCCAGCGTACAACCCGGCATTAGAAAAACTAGGGGCTGGTTTCACCAGTTTAGTTACAAAGACACTACCACGCCCTTGTGTTAACCCTCATGAATTTTAGGGGTGCTGGGGGCAGGTTCAATAACATGAATTCAACTATTTTACCATAGCTAGCGTTTTTAAATGTAATACCTTTCCAAGGGTAACCAACCAAAAGAACTACACCTAACAAGTGTAACCGATATTCATTACTACTGAACACCAGAATTGTGGGGTATTTTGGATAAGCTACACCATGCACTGCCAGTGTTATACTGCATTTACACCAAAGGGTTAAACTTTTATTGGGAAATAAATCCTGAACAGTGTTTATTGGGCTGCAAAAGTGCAATCAATATTCATGAGGACTGAACACCAGGAGAGGTGTAATTGTAGTCGCTAAAGGATGTTTGGGATGAGCTACCCCTCTACAAAGGTTTTATTGCATTTACACCAACAGATGTAATTATTTTAAGGAAACATTCCTCCGAATAAGATGTCAATTTTACACCGTATCTTGCGTTACAAAAGTATTTGTGTACTCCAATTTGAGTGTTTTTTGTAAAATATGGCATTAATTGCATTAGTAACATAACTTTAAATCATTTTAAATTGTGTACTTAAAAGTAATATATAAGTCATTCAGAATATTATCATGTATAATAATCTTAATAATATTTCATAACGCCTAGATTATTTTAGCTTGTATACACTTAAAGACGTGAAAATGTTCCAAAACATTACCAAGTACAATATCTTAATTAATTATTCTTAATTCAGGTGAGGTGCATAAATGAATAAACCACATTATTCAGCTAAGTTGTAAGGATATGTGTATTGATTCTTCATGATTTATATTCATTGTGAATTGATACAGATTGTCTAATTGCCCAACAGCAGTTGAATTTGAATCAATCTGATTGATATTTGTCGATTTATTGTCATTGTAAAATGAAGCGAAGTAGTCGACGGTCTATATGTAATCTGGGTTGGGCTAACACTCTATACCAGTGGTACGCTTCGCAACCTTTGATTGCCAACGGCACACCTTGGAACACGTGAAAAAATAGCGGCACACCTGGCTAAATATATATGAAAAATATTTGAATTTTGCAAAATATAAGCATACAACCGTAGACAGAGACTATTCATAGACACATAGAATGACTGAAACTAAATAAAGAAAAACACAACTATGAACTATCAGTAGACACCTGTTATAAATACTCAATTGGGATCACATGGTTTTTCGCATTTTCTTATTGTGCCGTTCAAAATTTCGCGGCACACTTATGAATATCTCGCGGCACACCTGTGTGTCACGACACACTGGTTGAGAATCACTGCTCTATACTAATTATCATAGAGGCCTATAGCCAATTTCAAGTTTTCTGAACTTAGAAGTCGTTGGCTTGAAATAAATATCGAACAAAATACACCCACGTCGGTGTAATAATTAAAATGGAAGTGTAATTTACAAAACATCCTTTAGGGGTTAATGCTTAATCTACACCCACGGGTGTAAACTAGCTTCTACCTGAATTGGTGTAATTTTCTAAACTAGTTGGATGTTATCGGTTTACGCCACTAAAGGCTAGGAGTTACCCCTATTTAGGTGGCAACTAGTTTCCACCCGAATTGGGGTAAACTACCTTATTATTTTTAGCAATGTATGACTAGTCTCGGTCTATGGTTGTATGCCGTCTGACTTGCCATGTTTTTACTTTGCAAAATTCAAATAGTTTTCATATATAGTAAGCCAGGTGTGCCGCTATTTTTTCATGTGTTCCAAGGTGTGCCGTTGGCAAAAACATGTTGGGAACCACTGATCTAGAGTTAGCTTGAAGAACTAACAAGAGCATGTCAGTCTTTCTAGTACGACAGCCCCTAAATCTAGAACATAATTTTAAGCGTGGTAAAAATACCTTTGGGTCTAAGAGGGAGTATAATCCAATGCAAATTCGATTTATATACACCAGAAACCAATTAGGTAACGTAATCATCCTAGCACATTAAGGATCTCAATTGCCTTTTGCGCAATCACTGCTCAATCAAGATGGGATTTCCCATCAATGTTTAAATCTAAAAAGTATATTATAGAAATTGGAACATTTCAGATCGCTGCACCACGGTGACCACGCGGGCGTTTTGTTAAATGGTAACTTGTTTCAATAACTTCAACCGAACCTACAAATCAAATATTACAGATTCTAAATTACAAGCAAAAATAGATGATATCACAGATCCTCGTCTATGTTGACATTCAGTATGACAAGTTATTATGAAAGTTCTTAACCGATTCACATATAATTCGGCACCACCTCCTGCCTTCTTTTAACATTGACATTTCGCAATAGTAAATGAAATGCCATGTAATGTTCTATTTATCTGCACCAACCTGGTTAATGAATAACAGTGTCGGGCAGTTAATGTGTTTCCACCTACAATTTGTCTAATTCCACCTGCTAAAGGTGGTTTAACGTAACCTTTCGTACCATCCGAAGTTCTAGGAACTTTGCCTTTCGGGACCCTCCGCATTACACCATTGACAAAAGAAAACCAGGAACTTTTTCGGCCAACACCAGTCATTGAACCCGGACCCTCCTGGATATTCAGCCAGCGGCTTACTCAATTAGCCACTTGAGCAATATTGGTATCCATCCATAAATTCAAATCATGTCCAGTCATTGCATGGGTTAAAGGGGAATTATGTAAGATGTAGATAAAGAGCTGGTCGTTCTCGCTATAATATTTGAGCGTTGTTATCAATAATTGTAGTTTTGGCAAAATGTGTGCATTGATCGTAACCACCGCACTGGTCATTCAAGTCTTAGTCTCGCTTCTTCAGTTTTAAATTAAATCATTAAATGGCCGAACCGTTTTAATCTACCTAAAATCGGAGCAATCCGATGACATCGAGAGTTGATTATGGTCTTGTGTTAATAAATGTCTAATTAATTATTTATATAACATTTAAGGCCCAAAGAAAGACCTGCAATAGGCAGACTTAGCTCTTACATAATGCCCAGTTAAATAAATAATATATTATGGTCCTTTAACGCCTACTATATCTGAAAATATCTCAGATTTTCTCAAATACCCGTTTGAAAATTCACAAATGTTTGTTTGCATTTTAAGACGTCATCGAGCGATTAAAAGGGTGAATTTCTTGAGTATGTATAGGATTGGGTTGTTTCAAAAGAATTCATACAGATTAACTAACAGGCGAAATTATTTTTATAAAATCAAAACTTAATTCTACTTCAAAAATTTGGGTCAATATTTTATTTATATATTCTATTATTTTTAAATAATTTTCAAAGAGGGTGGGGAATACTACATGTAGTGTACTGTAGATTGTCTTTTCAACGATATGCTTGCTCTTTAGTCGAGTACCAATATACAAATTATTTCTCTTTGCTCGGCATGCCAATGGGTCACAAGGGCCACAAGGGCCTAAACCCACCGTTTCATCAATGATGCTCATTCAGTTTCATTTGCAAATTTATACCAATTTCCTATGCTTCAATAACTTTACGAATTGATGTGATAGATTTGTAACATTTTCATCTACCAATATTAAAAACTATAAAATAAAACACGGATAATACTTGAATGTTAACATGTTCGCAAATCTCCCTACGACCAAACAATATCAAATATTTAGAAGGTATACTCTGATGTATTTTGAATGGTTTCTCAATCATTTTGTGGTCGGATTAATAAGCAGCATGAAATTTGTATATTAGACTACATTAGTTTGTTTACCTCAAAGTTTTAAACATCTATTATTAATTAAATATCATTTAAATTTATATTTTAGTATTTTATATTTACCAATTATTGTAGTGTAAGTCCAAATCATACCTGCAGAAGTTCTAAATCTCTCTTATTATTCATTTTATTCCCTCTTAACTTTAACGCATAGTCCACCTTTGTCACCATTAAAACAATTATACATGCTGTTGACTAGAGCGCAAATAAATAATGCGTCCTAAATTTGTGTTCGTCTCCACTTTTCAGCTTAAGAAAATTAATGAACTGGCACCAAATTTGTTAAGTTTATATCCTCTTAACGACCTCTACGTTAAGTTTTACATAAAAGATATCAAATCCATTAGGATGATATAAACATAACCATCATGACTGACAAGTAATAGTGTAAACTGTCCTCACTCCCACTCTGTAATCATTAGATCTTTTCCGCGGTGACCCCTTCGATGTTTCCGCATATTACACTTTTCACTAAAAAACGAGTTTATCTTAACCGACTCTGTCATATTCTTTCGCGAGAAAATATAGTGACAATTTGAATGTCCGGGAGATTTGTCAGGAATAACTAATTTGAAGACCCCCCCCACCATCCTTTGCATTTAAAAAAACATTCCAGTTCTTAAAAGTAAAGCTCGTTGCAATTCGACTTTAAAAACCAATATTGGGTACGGATTGCTTTAAAGTTTATCGTAAACAGTATACTTAATACTATGTAACGTAAAATGGTAAATCCGTCCATATAAACAAAACATATGTCCTTATTCTTTTTAATGTTTTATCTTAAAACTTCGATGCAATTCAACATTTTACTGGAAACGTTTTCTTGTTTTACTTACCTGTGGTCCGTCTTTAGACTTAACAAATTCCTGATATTGGCGAACAACATCTCCATCAAAGAATTGCGCCCATTGTGCATGCTGGTCAGCCATGTCTAAATTTCTATATCAACAGTTTATAAATCCAATCAACTATTTGCACAGATTAAATCAATAAATGAAATGGTCAAAACGTTCAACCCCTTAATCTTTAAAGCATTATTGTTATCCGTGTTCTTTCCTTAAAGGATTAAAAGGGTTTGACTTATAATGCCCCCCTGCTTGATGCCGCAATTTAACGCGCTGTTTATTTTTGCAGAACGGTGCACAACAGAAGATTTTATTCTTTGGATTACCTGAAGTATTTCACTATCAAACTGACACTCGACATGGTTGAATGTCGGTATGGTGTCATAAATAACGGTGTCAGTGTGCTGCTATATATTTAAAAAAATATATTCCAAGGTGGGTGCTTTGTCGCCTACGGCCAACATTCTTTTTTTAAACTGAATAAGATTAATGCCTTAATGGACACTTTCTCTTTAACAATACGGTGACATCTTGTAATAACGTGGTGAATAACATTAAAACATTGTTACAAGAGCATAATAACAAACGTGTAAATTTTGATGTGCGGCTGACAGTTTATCACAGTGCGCGAAATAGGACAAACAAATAGGGCTTCCCATCAGAAAGGTCGTCGCTGCTAGCTCTAAACTCATTCCCAAGATAAACTAAACTTACAATCAAAATTTTATGAAATGCGATAGGTTTCCTCCACTAAATTTTAAACAACTCCACCAGGAACTTCCACAAGCCTTAAATATGAACGGAGTGATCCAAAAATTAGAAATTCAATAAGATTGTTCATATGCCCCAAAAAACAAACCTGCCAAGGTTTTTTCGAGATAATTTAAACGTAAAGTGTGGAATAAATACAAAATTAACAAATTCCATGATTTCATTTAAAAATAACCAACAATACACCGAGAATTTTATCCTGCATCGCATTCACAAGCTTTAAGGATTAAAAAGTGAAATGCGTTCGAAATATACGAAATATTGAATTGGGTCGATATAGTGTGTTATTTCGACAATAATAGGGCAAGCTCAGTGCGATGAAGGGAATGTAGAATTTGATATATTTCAACGCATTGGATTTATATATATATAGACGTAAATTTTTTAACGGAGACAGATTGTCATTCTACATAACAAATCAGCATTCAAAATCCAATAAAATCGAATATTTTATTTCTGACTCAAATGAAAGTGATCTTGTCTATTTAATGTAATTATGTGTAAATATACACGTTCGTAAAATATCACCCCTATAGCCCGCCCTCTTCCCAGCAATGAAACACCACTTAAAACTATGAAACTACATGTATATATATATACGTCTCGGTGGATTATAATGTGTAGCGCTGTTTTAATATTATTCTTTCTGGATTCAATTTTAAAACATCGCTGAGAACCTGAGAGAGAGCAATGTTACCCTTTTGTAAATCCCTGTCCGGCGCCTAAGACTAAACAAAACAAATGAGCCAAATAAATGAAATAAGTGATGATTTAAAAATGTCTGTTCATTTCGTGATATTACCGACACATATAGGGGTCAACAAGTATTTGACATTTCACATAAAGAAACAGATTTTCAGGTGATTGATTGGTAAATTTACATGCAATATAAACTGTCATCCCTTTTAAAGAAAGATACGTCCGCGCATATTTTTTTTATTCTTTCGATAAATTATATATAGTTGATACAAATATAAAAGGTGACGAAAATAGGATTTACATTTCGTCATCTCAAAAGATCCACTATAACATTATAAAATACAGGTAAATGTATTCACCGAGGTTACAATCATGTCAATAAAGTGAAATGTGTTATCTCTTGATTAATTAACTATTACATTTTGTAAATACAAAAACTAACAACTAAAATTTAAAGGATTGTTTTAAAAGATAATGTAACTTATATGTCGAAGTTAAACTTGCGCTTTAACACCGTTGGCGTTACATGTTTCTGAAACAATGGTCATTATAAGCTTTATGAGCTCGTTAACCAGTATTGCTATGCGAATGGTTTGAATGATGTAACCTTTATAGATTAAATATAGTAAAATCACTAAACAATAGTATACTTTCTTCAAACGAAAGTAGTTTCATTGACTGCTCTGTGAATTATTGGTGTGCTGCTGAATTGGCTGCAGTGCAAGGCAAGGCAATGGAATGGAATGGAATGAAATGGAACGAGCAGTGCCGGATTTACCATTGTACTTAGGCGTGCTTAAGCACAGGGTCCCGTTGTATGCCAGACTGCCTGTTTAGGCATAACTTTACTAGCACAGGGCCTCATTTGTGCTTAATCCGTCACTGAAAATAAGCATGGACTCCCCCCCCCCCCCATGAAAAAAATAAAATAAAAATAAATTTACATAGTGAGACCCTAACTCCTATTTATTTTCAACAATTATTAGGATTAGTTAAGATTCTATCTGTATAAAACCTGTACATATCCCAATATGGTTTACATTGCTAAAATAAAACACAGAGAGAATCATCCTTGAAACATATGTGAAGTGAAAAGTAACTGTGTTCCATAAAATTGTGTCTAGTTAATTTTTTTCTGCCACTTATCAGAGTGAATCGCATTTAGGTACCCAAAAACATTATCGCCTAAACCAAATATTTATCGCCCGCTCAGCCAGCCACGTAACCATAATACTTTGCACGCGGTGGGCCAATCAGCAAACGAGTTGTGTAGACAGCATGGCCATATGGTGTTTGTTTATATTTTTTAGGGGTTTTAAAATAGGATTAGGGATTAGGGTTGCGCCCCCCCCCCCCCCCCAATATATATTTCACGGCTACGCCTCTGGAAATAAGGTTTAATGTCTCGTTAACATAATTATTAAGACAAACGTATGTTTATTTTAATGGTGACGTCAAGTTATTTATTATTATTACAGTATATTTATAGTGCGCGCTTCATATCACGTGTTTAGGGGCACTTTACAAAGTGACGATGTAATCATAAAAAAAAACAAGATTATGGACATGTTGACAGTTGTATATACTAGGGGTGTGTTCAGGAATTTGAGAAGAGGGGGTCCAAGATGGAGACAACATAAAGTTTGACGTTAGGCCCGGGAACTACCCGCGAATTTGATAAAATCAGAAGCTTTGAGACAATATTTCAGCTGATTTAGGTGCATACTATAGGAGTAGGCCTACAGTGGAGTGAGCCAAAACGGCGTTATATTTCCATAAATGTAGGAGAAAAAATATTCCCTGCGCGAGAAGGGGTGGGGGTCAGGACATTTCCAAAATATTATTGTCGGACTAAATTGACAAAATAAATGAGTATTCGAACGAGTAAAGCGACACACACCCGGTATCTTGAACCATACGTCAATTAAGTTTTGGGACCTGGTGAGGTGTTGGTTTGTTGATCACAGGTGTGTCGTAGTCTCCGTCACCCAGAACCTCCCAGTCTTCAACGTACGGAGGGTCCTGGGCCGTTGTCAATATTTGACGAAAAGTTTCATTGTCCATGCGGGGTTGATTATCCAGTATCTTTGGTCAAGTCAAGTAAGAGTTTTGACCAATAACGTCGACGTCATTGGTTTCGAGCCTTCTAGCAATAAATCCCATAATTCTTGCATTAACATAAACGAACATGAATCGTGACGACGAATTAGGGTTAATTAAAAAAACAAAACAACCCCCCCCCCCATAAATATGGACCATAAAGAGAGGAATTTTACAATAAAACAAAAATTAAGAACTGGCAATGCAATCAAATGGATTTTCTGAAATGGCATTCTTAAAGGAGCTAATTATAAATCGCTAATATCTGAAACCTAGAAATTGACACAAATGGGTCGCAACGCATATAATAATGTCGTATGAATGTATATAAACTGATTTACATTCAATCGTGTCTGTTTTTACTGCAATTTCTAATCAGTTATGTTTGGCGAAATACGCCAGAAGTCTCGGTCGAATGACCATCTCTAACGTCTGGGTATTCCAGTCTACACTGATAGTGTTTATTGCGCATGCTGTCCAGCTAGGATATCACCTTGCGTGGAAGTGGACGTAAAACTTTGGGAACGAATGAACGAACGGCTAAGAATATGCCATCACCGTGTGACATGACTTGTGGAATATGTCTAGCCTCGATCTTCGGGCGCCTTGTTTCCAAATGCACTGAAACGCATTATGGTGTACGAGCTTGTACCAATGGTAAATTGTTTATTTTGTCTTAAATATTGGATATCAGAAGCACATCTTTTCCCGGTGAGATCACAACATCAATGTTGATTTAAATTGACAAATAATTCGTGTTTTCAATGTCGAAGACTTTTGGATGATATAGAGTTAGAGACTTAGCTACTTTAAATTAATTTCTTGGTCGTCAACATCTTGTTTTGGGCTAGTTACCTCCCTTAGGCTTTGTTTATGATAATGTGAAAGACTTGATAATCTAGCCAATGACCTATTATTCTCAAATGCTGACAACTCATCCAGTATATTTAGGTGTAGAATATTTTTCTGGATGATAGAGACTAGTCTGTCGTTGGTAAATTAGCTTGTTATAAAGCTCGGGCTTGCACAATCCGAACGTAGCCAACGGTGAAATGAAGAGAAAACGACGATGTAGAACACAATTGTGCATAGTGGGTTTTTTTTTGATTTTTTTTTTACCATTTGTATAATGGCTGATCGACCTCTTTCTAAAATTTCAGAAATCATTTTCTTTTCATTTTTAAAGGACGACAAGAATTGTCAACTAGGATACGCGTTGACTTACAAAATAGCAGTGGTTACGATTTGTCGGGAAATCGCCTGCGCTGGGCGATGAATTTCCGGCGGAAGTGAATAATTCACCTTTAAAATTTTAAGAAACGTCGAAAATTGAGTTTCAATTTCTGTTTACCTAATAAATGTTCATCCGGCAAAAAAGTAAAAATGTTTAGGTCAAAGCAAGACGTTGACAGACATGTACGTAACATTCTGGACAGGATCAAAGATGATAAAGAGGTAGGTAGTTGCGACTGGGACAGTTTTATTTACTCTTTTCCGTTAATGGAATCTTCGCGCGGAAAAAAAAAATCAAATTCCAAGTAGACTCTAGATTTATTTCATTACTCAGTGGTTCAATCAAAGATATAATAAATGTCAATCAAACAAAAAGAGGTATTCATGCACAAATACTGCGTCATAATATGTAACAGACATTGCCCGAGTGTAGAGCGAAGCTGAAGTGATTGTTTTTGAATATAAAACCTTCATAATATATAAATATAAGGCTGTCGGTGACAGTTTTAGTTACTACTCCGGGAGCCCAGTGAGATTTAATCAAAATATTGAGTCCAAAAGGTTTAAGGTCTACAACACATATTTTACCCCTAGGCCCTAGATCATTTTGGAAAGGCAAGTCTTAAGTCTTGTAACCTGTGCAGCACCCTCCCACTAACCCTCCCAATTTTATTGAGAGTTAAAATTCAATGTCCATCCACAATTTCCTTGCAAACATTTCATACTTTACACTACAGAATGCATGACTTAAGAGCATATAATGTTGTGCTAAGAGAAAGAGCTTAATTAATTAGCACTAATTAGTGACCGTAATTAGAATTTAGGGTCCATAACTGAAACAAAGCCTAAAAGCTAGCTAACCAAGTCAGGAAGCCAAAAATATCACTTAAGAGCGACAAAAGTTAAATAAAATTGGCTCAAGACTGGTGACAAAGGTCATATTTTGAGTCACATTATGACCAATCAACCAATCAAATTGCTTATCTCTGCTGATCCTAAACATAAAATGTGCATCTTTGAACCCCATCAAGCCATTCACCTAATCAACACCTACAATGAGGAGACGGAAAAGTATGGAACACAATGATGACAATACAAATATTATATAAAAAATATCCACTTCGCATATATATAAATAGAAGTAGCATTGATGGAATACACAAATGGGCTTTTGTAATTAATCACACATACAGCTGTAAACTACTTTTGATATCTATAAATTGTCATGGGTCGGCCACAGGGATGGTATGCCTCCTTTAAGAAGCATCTCTGGTGTTGAAATCGCCCAAAACAGCATCACATTCCGAAATTGAATGTCTTTAGATAAGAGAACACGAGAAAAATAGTAAACAGTCCGTACATTCCCTTGTTTTTATTCATTCTATACTTAATAAAAACATGGTAATGCACAGACTTTTTCTATTTTTCTTTCATGTTCTCTTATCTAGTGACAGTGACAGTCAATTCTTTATATGAATTGTCAGATATCCTCTCACAGTCTCATACAACAACTTTTATTAGTGAGCAGAAATTCGCCCATATCTTGTGACTTCAGTCAGTTGTATAGAGAGATAACTCGTGTTTTCCTTTTACGTTCATCACTTCTGATTGTTGAAACCTTCATTACGCATCTATCGTAGCAATGATTTTTGTGTTAAAATTATATTTGGAATGTGTTTAACCAGTTCTATCACATATATGATAATTTCTGGATTTATGGCCTCTGATTGTACAAAAAATCGTTTTTGTTTTTAGCTTGTTCTCTATCCATCTCTTGCAAAATGTGGGTGTATCCTGCCTGGCAGCCGCTGGTTATTTTTATTGATCCATCATAACAGATAAATAACAATATCATAACAACATCACTTATAAGTTATAACAATCGTTATAAATAATAATTTTTAGGTTGCTCTCATCATTCACTGTCTGCAATAACATTCGGATCAAGATCTTTAGTATAGTTCCTCACAGAAACAGTAAATGTGATCTGGATGTAGGATATTTTGATACACAGGGCGACCATGGTACATGTACATACATACATGTACATACACTACAGATTGTTGTACGTCCAGTTGGAGCAGAAAAGAAGGACGTTAAATCCCTTTTCGTTTTGCCATAGTATGTCTTGGATCGCATTTTGAATAAAGAATTTAGAGTATGGGTACTTATGCATTGATTTAGCATTCAAAAATGAAATTCATTATTCGTATAGAATTATGATATTAGATTTCAATGGACAAATAGTATAAATCAATACGATCATATTGATATCAAACATTTCATCTAACATAAGGCTTTATTATGTTCAAATTTAAATCAATTTTATGTCATTCAAATGACAATTGCAGTGGTTATTTTGGTAATCCAATATAAATATTTTGTTGATAATGAAAGTGATGTCATCGTGTCGAGTCTTAGTTGTATATATGGAACTGATGTTGCTGAACGTATTGGCTAATTATGTGTCCATTTTAAAATGTGTGCAATGCTCATGTGGAAATCAGTTTCACATTTCCATTGGTACGGGAAGTGACGTCAGTTTAAGGGTAACATGGCACAAGTGAAGCCCGTCATTAGTGCATCACAGTTCTAGTTACTATTATTATTGTTGTTTTTTTTTTATTTTTAATAACAGAAAACATCTAGAGGATATCAGATAGCACGATTGTATTATGAAATTGGTGATTATGAGACTTCAAAAAGGTGAGAATAACAATTTTATTGTTCATATTTCAATCGAGAACATTTCAACATTATATTTAGATTATAATAAATATGCAATATTTATACTAATATTTGTTTTAAAAAAAGAAACTAAAGTTGAAATATTTTAGTATTGTAGCCTATAATTATGTGGGGGTTGTGAATGTTACAACTGATTTCTTGTTTTATAAGTTATCTAAGTGTCAACATAAGAAGTGTGGACAGAGTTTCTTTTATACATGTTTCTGCCATGGCTTTGAATAGCCATTAGCAAAACTTAAAAAAAAATTTAATGAAGAATGCTAATACATGTACAATGAAGTTTTGCTAAAGGCTATGAGAGGCATGACAGATACTACATGTATGTTAAATTTAACCTTATTGTTAATTAGTACAAATGGCCTATTATTAATATAGTTCTTGGTTGTTTGGGTTTTTTTTCATCAGATATTTAACAAACTTCTTAAACCTAAGAGAAAATGTGCCACAAGCCCACAAGTTACTAGGACAGATTTATGAAGCAACCAATCAAAAAGAAAAAGCTATTCAGTCATTTCGAAGGTATGTACCAGTATACTTTGATGAAATTTAATGCATAAAATAAAAATAAATGGAGTTCTCATATATACCAAATTTGCATACTTTTATTGGAAATAACTAACCGATAAATACCTTTCTGGGAAAGTATCTTTCGAGTGTCAACGTACAATCGACTCTGTAGTTAAACGGCGGAAAAAGAAGTTGACAGAAATAATTTGGAATTGACTTGGGTCTCAATATGTGTAAATGTACAGGTTAAGTAATAATAAATACATTCTGAAAAATGGACACTCCCACAATGAAGCTAAGTTAACAGACACTGCGTCTAACAACAGCTTACTTATAGCTATACATGTAGGTATCCCCGGCAAACACAAAGTTTTGAGAGGGAATTGAAGCAAATTTTTGATAGATTGGTTACTTTGAATATGTTTTTAGTCCAAATATATCATCAAATCACCAAGTTTGTACCCGGGAAGGTATCTTTAAGGCTTTGCATGGTTACTTTAAAGGGACATTATGGAAGATTAGATAAAGAGCGGGCCATTCTCACTATAATAGTTAAAAACTAGATAATGTAAATGGAATATGCTAAAAAAATTCAGTCGAGACTCGAATTGCTCCACTCTGAACCAAGATATTAGCATTTGAATTTTAGGCCTAACCTCGATCTTCATTACTAAAGTCGGTATGATAAAAAACATAGTCTCGATTATCCATTTTTGGATTAAATCATTAATGAGCCTTGAGCAGCAAATCGGATTCAAATCCAGTGAAAATCTGACACTCAGGATGGCATCGAGAGTTGATTAAGGTTTTTTCATGTTAATAAATGTCTTAATTAATAGTTTTTATAACATTTCAGGCCCAAGGAAAGACCTGCAATAGGCATATTTAACTCTTGCATAATGTATGTTTAAACTTTTTTCTAGATAGTGAATGAAATAAGCTTATACAAAATCTGCTATGGCTAGAGTTCTTTTATAACTCGCATTAAAATATTTCTTATCTTGTTTCAGATCAATTGAGTTAGACAGTAACCAACAAGATTTAGTAGCTAAAGGTATTCTCATTTGGGTCTTTTTTCAATGAAATTAGCTTTCCTAATGACACTGAACAAATGTTCTTTACAATGATCTTCATGAGTTGTTTCAAACAAATAATTGCACCAAACAGATATACATGAATAATCAAATACCTACTTAAAAATATATCTTGCTGTTTCCATCGTTCAACAGAAATAAACTTATAGATATAATGTAAAACAAGATCAGCGTTTCTATTTTAAAATTTTATATACAAGTACATGGAGAGTTGACCTATTCGCATAATTTGACTTTTTTTTATAAACAGACGTATTTTGAAGATTGTGAATAAATTATATTTTTGAGTATGTCAGTGAGGCAGTATAACAACTGCTTCGGTAGCTTTCAATAGTATCTAAATGAAAGTAGGATTCGTACAAATCATTTTCTAAAGTGTGAACAAACTATATCCCTTTCTCTTGATTACCTATAAGTAAAGCCTTTTGATGAAAAAAAAAAACACTGCATAAAAGTATTTTCCTTGTTGTTTACTCATCTTAATGTTTATTTTGCAGTTGGAAACCTGTTTATCAACCCTAGAGTTAATAAGGTAAGAATATTTTCAAAATTCATGTACTTGTTTTAGTCCGAGCAAGTGAGCAAAGGGAGGTAACTCGCATTTTGTTGAAAGTAAGACCACCGAATCATTGTTGAAAACTTTGTTAAAATACTTTATGACATCTTTTGTGTGCATGTCACTTCTAGCAAAGATTCTCATAATCGAATGTACAAGCTGCTGTATTGTGATGAACATAAACAATGATTCTAAAACTGGTTAGTTCGCAGAAACAACTTACACAGGCCAATAAAATAATCAAGGGCAGATTATTTGAATTCGTGAATGGACCAGGGGGTTACGGGAGTAGAATGGAACGATACCACTGAGGATAGTGGAGAAGCCCCTGTTTATGGTGGAATTGAATATTTCTAATATTATTATTTTTAGGTTGAAAGAGGAAAAGATAAAGATGTTGATAATAATATTAAAAGCATTAGACAACTAATAGCTGAGAAAAAAACTCAACAAGCCTACCACATAATACGGGAAGTAGAGAGTGAACAACTATACCCCAGCAGTAGCAAGTGGTATGAATATATTGTCGATGCCTTACATGTAAGTAATTTTGTTTGCTTAGTTCTAATGTCAAATCATTGTTGAATTCATTGAAATAGGTCATGGTCATTTTGGGATAGTCCTATTTATTTTTGGAAAACAGTGTTTTAGTTATTATGACATCACTGACGTCTTGAATACAAAATCAGTATTAATCTAAAATAGGTGATGAATATCAAATGTTTCTTACCAAAGTTCTTGAAAAAGATAAATCATGTCAATTTTATCACTAAAATGGGCTTCAAGTCTCATGAGAACTTAAAATTTCTACAGAAAGGCTATAATGCTGACAGATTTTTGTGTCCAGTTTCTCCTGGTCAGGCATGGCCAGAAAATTTGTCTAGTCGTTGGCATGGGATAAATAAAACAAATAGATAGATCATTGAAAATCCCCCTACAGTTGGTATTCTAAGAAAACTTGGCTGGAAATTGAACACCTAATAATTATAGAAATCAACCATTATCTCAATCTAATGAAAGTATTGTGTTGACAGTAAAGTCCATTCCATACCTTTAACAACTATCTGTATTCTAGCTATGAGTGAAATTTGTTTTTATTTTTTCAGAATATAAGGAAGGCAATAGAAAATGATGAAATAGAATTAATGATATATCATTTGATGTCCCTGTTACGATTGAGCTATCTACAACTTTCTGCACATGAAGATGATAAATTTAATCAGACTATTTATTTGTAAGTATAAATATACTTTTGTATGTCTGGTTTTAGTAATATTTTGAATCCATTGTTAATGTACTTAGGACAGTCAATCAAAGCAAATCATTAACTTCCAATAACAAAGCAAGTGGATTTGCTAGATCAGAATTGGGACCAGGTGTTTCAATAATCCTTGTCTTGGCACATGCCATCCACCAATTCTATTTATTTAAATAGAAATAACATAGGATATATGTACGTTTCATGTATTGTATCAAATGCATGTATCAAATTTATTTAAGATTTACTCTTTTATATCAAACTAGACTCAATGAAGTATTGTGGATGGCAGAAAATATTCCTGAAAAAAGACCAGAGTGGAAAATTCTGTTGGAGGAAATTCAAGCACAGTTTTTCTACTTTGCTGGAATATTTCTTTTGAAAAGAGCTTTCTCGGTATGTTATTTACTTGTACATTCTTCAGGTATTAGTAGTGAATCAAGAATTGATATTACAACTTTGAAAATATTCAAATCAAATGCCAAAGTGTAATCAAATAGGCAAAGTTTCACCATTAGTAGAGTTCTAAAATAGCACTAGAAAATTTCTGACATGTTTATGATACTGTATAAATCCCTTTCACAGAACTAACCAATCTCAATCCCAGAGATAACTTTACCCTTCGTTTATCTCTGGTAAAACTCGCTAGCCATTAATTAGTGTGAAACTGGTTCCTAAGCTCCACCCCCCGTGGCTACTGATTGACAGGATTTGTTAGAATGCAATGCTGCTGATTTCTCGACAATTAGTTACACATTAATGATCCTTGGAACATTTTCCACATCTTGACATCAAAAGTTTATTCGAAAACAGCTGATTTGATCATTTTACCGGGAACTACTTTTAGCGCACAATGTGAGTGATTCGGCTAAATACGTGAAATTTGTGAAGAAACACGAGTTTGATCAGTCATCTTGAATCTTTGTGAAGCGACCAATGGAAGGATACATCATGTGACATTCAAAATGGCCAGCGTGTGTTACCAGAGATAAACAAAAAAGGGTAAACTTATCTCTGGGATCGAGATTGACTGACTTATTTATAATTGTATTTAACATATTTATAATTGTATTTAACATATTTATAATTGTATTTAACATATTTATAATTTAATTTATCTTTAACATACAGTAGAACTTGTATTAAGCAAGCACTCAAGGGAAATTTAAAAATGCTTGCTTAATGGAGGTGCTCTTTGACTAGAGGTATCCAATATTGCCCCAACCCCTAGCACAAAAAATAAAGATATAGATTGCATATATTGTTTTATTCATGTAGTATAACAATAACAATACATGTACTTTTTTATCTAGTTGTGAATTCAAAGTAGTCGCGTATACATGTTTGTTTAGTAATACTAGATCTCTGACCCCCCAATATTTCTTTTACTTTCATCATACTGAATCATAGCGTCTAAAAGCGTTTCAAAATGCTGTGAATTTGAGTATTTCCAACCCAACTATTTTAGCGATTACGCGACCACTTAATAAAATCTCGGTGCTTTTTGTGCTGACATAAATTAATTACGCTTGGGTGCATTGGGAGCGAACATCAATACTTGCATCGATAAATTTGACTGTCGCTGAATCTTGCGCCGAATGAAAATTCTTTTCTCAAATCTCGAACATAACTTCTGTAAAGTTGTCATTTTGTACCAACCATCGATACTTCTGTCTACCATTGTGATGCATTCGATAATATTTATCCATTTTTGTGAAGAAAATCGATGAATTAATTTTATTTTATCAAAAAAGCACATGAACAAAAACCCATCGCTGATTTTATCACTGATTTACAGGGGGTGTAACTCTGTATGTAATATTATAGGGGGCGCTATAATATGATCGTGACAAAACTCGGTACTTTCATTTTATTTCAATCAGTATCAAATAATGTGTCGTTACGCGTGAAAACAATGATCAGGTTAGTAGTTTAATAAAACAAAATATTAATTAACAGATAATCCCGGGTTGATTGTTATTTTTACATTTCTTTTTACCTGATCAGTGGGTGGCCAGTTAATTAACTACTGCTCACAGGATTAGCGGGAGTGTTACAAAGAAAGAAAGACAAGATGGTATCATTCAACAATGGCCGTTGAATGGGCGATGTTTTGTTGAATTTATTAGTAAAATAGTGACCGCTGGCCGCGTTAGAGGAGTGACCGTTGAAACAGTAGAATTTTTACGGGGGGAATTAATCGTGATGCCCGTTGCACGCGTTGAACAGGTGCGTGTTTAGTAGAGGTTAAATTACTTAAAAATCGCTCTCGGGGGGGATTTTTGGGTGCTCTTTGAAGCAAGTGTTCGCTGATTAGGAGTGCACGTCCGAGCAAGTTCTACTGTATTTGTAATTGTATTCATCATCATTTTGATTGTATTTAACATATTTATGATTGTATTTAACAGAAAATTATACCATGGAAGGAGATTGTACCATTGGTATCGATGTGTTATTTAACAAGCTGTAGTTATACATGTATTAAACAGATGGTCAACTGGTCAAATCTTATCAAGAAAGATAATAAAATCTTCACTAATCTCTTCGACTTTAGCAATTACAGACTCACACAAGCAGGTATGTTGATCTATTCCTCTGGAAATATGAACAATTTCTTTGCATTGAAATAATGCTGTGAACTGTGTACAAAATTGACCACATGACAATATTAAACGAAAGGTCTGACACATTCATTTAGACAGCCCTTGTGTTGCTTCAGTATCCATGTAGATCTGTTTTTAAAAATCAATTATAACTTACTTTAAAATTAAGTTTCGATTGAAGTGTAGATAAATGATATATTTAATACATAAATACACCCACTTGATTGAACATTCTTTTTCAGGTCATATGCTTCAAGTGATAGATAAAAGTACAGCTACTAAACCGGTTTTACACTATATGCATCAATTAACTGCTACACCTTGGAGAAAACTTCTCTTTGAATGTCTGTTTCCATCCAGGAGAAGTGCAGTCGACAGAGAATCGTTTATTTTGTCGTCTAAAAATATTTCCCACCGCTCCCTGGTTATACCCAACTCCAGTGATATTTTCAGAAACGATGAAGGTATTTGGGTTTATTTATTTATTTAATGACCATAGCTTTTTATCGAAATAACATAAAGTAACAAGAATATATGGTCCCTTCAATTTCTTATTTTACAATTGACATTTAATGTGGCCACATTATCGTCACCAAAGATTCATCCATTCTTTTTTAAACGCTGACGTATTATGTGGACGTATTATGCCATTGCCCCTGTCTGTCCATCTGTCCGTCCACAATTTGTTTGTGAACACTCTTCATTTTAATGAAACTTGAAATATAGGTCTCCCAAAGATCGTGGTTCCTTTCGATATTGGCATGTATCGGACCATAACTTCATGGATTATGGCCCCTGATTGTACAAAAAATCACGTTTTTAGCTTGTGATCCCTCTAGAGGTCACAATTATTATCAGATTTAAACAAAATGTTTGAATATATCACAGTTACACCCTAATGACGGTTGAGTTCAAATTTCGTGAAAATTTGACCAAAACTGCTGGACAAAATGGCCGCCCCTCGTACGCAAATAGTGTAAAAAAAAAATGGTATATCAAAGTTGTAGACCCTCTAGAGGCCACAATTTTGATCCGATTTTGATGCAACTTTAAATTTATGTTTAAATCACAAAGACCTTGGTTCCTTTTGATAATCGTGCATATCCAAGGATCATGGCCCCTGATTGTTCGAAAAATTGCATTTTTGGCTTGTGGACCCGCTAGAACAAACAATTTGTATTCAATTTTAAAAAACGTTTGAATATATCACCGTTACACATCAATCAAGGTTGAGTTTGAATTTCGTAAAAATCTGACTGAAACTGCTGGACAAAACGGACGCTCCTTGTACATAAATAGTGTAAAAGTATGTAATACTAAAGTTGTGGATACTCTAGAAGTCACAATTTTTATCAGATTTTGATGAAACTTAAAATGTATCTTTATGACCCAAAGATCTTGGTTCCTTTCGATATTTGCGCAGATCAGACCGTAACTTCCTTGATTATGACCCCTGATTGTACAAAAAATCACATTTTTAGCTTGTGGACCCTCTAGAAGTCACAATTTTTATCTGATTTTAAAAATACGTTTAGATGTATCACCGTTACACCCTAGTGACAGTTGGGTTCGAATTTCGTGAAAATCAGACCAAAACTACTGGACAAAATGGCCGTCCTTCATACGCAAATAGTGTAAAAATATGGTAAGGTCTCTCTAGAGGTAACAATTTTTGTTCGATTTTGATGAAACTTAAAATATATCTTTATATCCCAAAGATCTCAGTCCCTTTCGATATTCATGCATTTCAGACCATGACTTCTTGGATTATGGCCCCTGATTGCACGAAAAATTGTGGGTTTTTTTTTTAGCTTGTTCTCTATCCATCTCTTGCAAAATGTGGGCGTATCCTGCCTGGCAGCCGCTGGTTGTGACTACTTTACGCACAATTGCTACAGTTCTTGTAAGATATATTTCACACTTTCAGAAATTGTTCATTGGTTCTAAGGAAGAACCTTATGGAAATCATGAAATCATATTATCATGATACAGGATGAAGTTCTCAATGGAATTGTCTGGGATTGATTGCAAATGGTTATGAAATTTATTATGGATGACTTTCATTTGGTGGGGCCTGATAATCGTCTATGTTTATTAACAGAGTTCTATATGCCTGGAATATATTTGTTAAATTAAATGTAACAAAACATTAATGTTAATATTACAATGATATAATTTCAGTGGCATGTCATGTATATCCTGATAGATTAGCTGAAATTGTGTGGATAGTGTTACAAAAATTTCCAAATGGTGATATACAGTCAGATTGTAAGCAATGTTTATAAATCTTGTTTAGAATTATTCTGAGCATTTTGAATGTTTTTTGAAACAAAATTTTCATCTTGGATTTATAGTTTGGTTGCTTTTAATATATTTGTTATACAGGGTATATATTTGTATTTGTAGACATTTTTTGGAGTTACAGGTTCTAAACCTCTTTGAGTATTGAATTAGGCTGATCTCTGATCTGTAATTTTGATTAGTGATGCTAATTTAAGTTTCAGGGTTTTTTTCTTTAGCAACTGCGTCAACTCTTGAATGCACATTAAACATTTAAGGTCCAATGAAATCGACAATTTTTTTTGTACCCAAATCAAAGAGCGAGTGTTATTTTAACGTTAGATCAGTGACTGGTAATATTTTGTAATTATTGATTTTCAGATAGACTCAACTTATTTCCTAAATTAAAATACAGCGTGCCCGATCTGAATATTGTTTCTGTTGAATCATTATGTCAACTTGATATTGAGGTAAAGATGTGTTTCATTGTATTTCTTTATTTTGAATCGTCTTGATGTAACAATGTACGCTCGTAGTTAGGATATTTGTTTTGGTTGAATTGTAGATACTTTATATAATATTTACTTATTAGTTTCATTGACTTCAATTCAACCAACAGCATCTTTGGAAGTAATGAAAGGACAGTTCTTTAGTTGCATCTGACAAAGCCTCAATTTGTGCTTTACATTGAAAGAGATGGGTGTCACATCTCCAGACTTAACCATCAGTGGAGATGAAATGATTATTGCTTTCATACAAACTTCCAGAATATGTTTTTTTTTTCTTTCATTATCTTAAAGAAATTATTTCTTCTTGTCTTTGAATGAATGAGTTCAATTAAATGACTATGTTAAAATGAAGCCACAATTGGTTTTGATTATTAAGTTAAAGTTTTTAAAGCGCCTTTAATTTGTTAAAGTTTTTAAAGCACCTTTAATTTTGTTGTAAAATACACATAGCTTACAATGGTGCACTTGTATTTTTCTAATTTAAAAGAAATGGTCAAGTTAATGCTGGTGGCCCATACCTTCATGCAGTGAAATTTGACATCTGAAATTTGACATCTGAAATTTAATTTAAAATGATTGTAACATTATAAAGGTGATGTCATGTTTAATCTTTCTGGAACACCTAATGCTGCTACTTATTCATTTTGAGGAGGTCACATAGCTAACACTATTTATTGAATTTTTGTATCTATAAAGATCGTGTTTAATTGTAGTGTTTCCTGTATGCAACAGTACGATGTTCCTCAATAAAATTACATGATGATAAAAGTAATAATAAACCATTTTTGTGTCCACCATCTATTGATGATAGTCTGTGTACAATGGAACAAGTAGAATGGTGGAAATTTGCTTTCTGCTTCTGTGTCAACAGTAACATGTAAGTTTGTGAAATATTGGAATTCCAAAACATTATTGTATAATATATGCCAGTAAAGTTCTATAACTATTATGTGTAATTTAGTAGAACAGTGATAATTAATGCATTTTAAGACTATCAGTATCATGGATATTTTGGGGTATAGAATTAATTGCTCTACCATTGTTGGTGAGGCTATGGTAACTCAGTAAGTAAAACACTGGCTCACTGTCCAGGAGATTCCAGGTTTGATCCAGGTATTGGTTTTGATATTTCCAGCTTGGTTTCCCTATGTTAGTTGTGTCTAGTCGATGCCACAAAAATTTGATGCCTTTTGTACACGTTGATGTACACATAAAAAAACCTATGGCAGTTGGAATTGACAGAAATTAGGCAAAAACGATGAACTTTTTCTGTTCTATTTTACGATCTAGACCTTGAGTAGAGAAAAGTCAATTAAACTGACACAGTTTAATGTATGTGGTGTCACATTCTCTCCGATCTCTTAATATGATGTTTACATACAAATTTTCTAGAACTGATTTTGGTAAGATGAGGCGTACATTACAAAGGGGATTAGAAATTGTCCGTGCAGCTGATAATCATGGAATGTCTATACACATGTTGGTACATTTAGCTCAGTGTATGGAAGTAAAGGTAAGAAAATATACCGGTATCTTTCTTTGTATAAAAAAAACTGTAGTACTCTAAAACAAGAAATTAATGCTAACAAGAAATTAATGTGTTAGGTGCGAACAATGTCCATTAATTTCAATATAAATATATGTTTTCTAACATAAAATAGATGATGAAGTATTCATTAAACACACCACGTTCAAAACAATACAACAATTAAAGTTGATTAATAAAATTATGGGCTAATCCATGTTATCATTATTTGGCATCTGGTGTTTTACTTTTCCATTAATTTGCAAGCTGACACTTACTTTAGACATGAGTTGGGTAAGAAGGGTTAATTTCAACATAAATTTACGTTGCCTCCCTTTCAGTCAGATTAGTTTTTTGTAAGTACACTTTTTGTGGGTCATCTCCACCATGTTGTATTCGGATCCTTGGATCCAGGGGTGTTACACATTTACCTGTGGGTTAAAACAAAAATCAACCATTCTCCATGTTAGAATTCCAATCTCTTTCTTAATTACTTCAAAAGGCAGAAGAACTACAACATAAGGGAGACAACTTGTGCCTGCTTAAACATAAGGCTTCAGACCACTATGATATAGAATATACCACAATATGACAGTATCTATCCTTGTAACACAATAACTGGAATTAAAACTTGGTTTAGCTATATATGATGGTCAATATGTATGCCTGGGAAGTATTATAAAAGTTTCTCATGAGATGTGATTTCATAAAGTGATCTTATTATATATTTGACATTGGTCTTCAGAGTCTTGTGTATTCTGTGTTTTCATTATGTACATGCTTTATTTCAATATAATTATTATAATATGATATTTATTGCAGGTTAAAGATATAGAGAGAACAGATTATACAAGTTCTCAGATTAGTGCTATAAGAGATAGAGCTTATCATTTCTGGTATAATGCTCTATTATTGGTTGAACAAATAGAAAGGTATTTATTACTATTATTATTTTATATATCTTTGTGTTAAAGTAATAGTTGTCTGTGTTATCTGCCAGTGCACATTGTAGAATTATTGACTGTGTCACGAATTGCCACTCGGTCATCTTTTTCCAGGAACAAAGTAGCGCTGTCTCTTAATATTCAAAATAAAGAATGTATTCAAATTGGAAAATCTGTTTGCTTATTTAAATTAAATACACTAATGATGGTAATAAATGATGCAGTATTGCGACTTAACAAAATGTAGAAAGAACAGACAATGCAGTTTAAATTGGGGAAAAAAATAGTATGCGCAAAGTTGCAACAATAACATGCTTTTTTTTTTTTTTAGTTGTGGATCACTAACAGTAGCTTCATATAAACATCTATTTAATGATGATTATAATAAAACATTAGATTCAAATGTTCTATTAAAACTTAAAGAAGAGATTAAACTAGCTGTTGCTAAAAGATTGAAAGAAGATGGAATGTACGAAATGGCTTTAGATTATTTTAAGTCAGTACCTTCTCCATGGGCTTCTTACTACTCATCTCAGGTAGAGTTAAAATACTTTCAAAGAAGGCATACAATTATTTTCACTTTGTTAGCTTTATTCTAATATGCAAGGGGTGTTGGATGGTCAAGAGGTATTTCTTGTGTGCTTTAGATTGAGGAAAGGGGCGTGGTTTTGATCCCAGGCCTGTAAGTGGTGTAGGGTCACCTACCAAGTTTCCTCCCACTGCTAAAGACCTGTACAGGCAAGCAAATTATTGAAACAAAATTATACCTTTTGTTTGTCCAAAAATGACATGATATATGTTGAAGGGATGTTGAACCCCATTTCTCTCCCTCTATATGTCTTCCGAGAAATACTCTTGTTAAGAAACTTAAAGGGCCTTTTGATTGTTGATTCTTTTCTAATAAATATGACATTGTTGAACTGTAAGAAAAATTGGTGTTGTCCCCCTGTAGAAGGGAATATAAAATAAGAGAGGCTCAGTTTGCTTGCATGCTCAGTTATTCTATCATTTTACTATATAACTCTGCTGAACTTATTTACATTTACCTACGTTACATACACTGTGAAACTTGTTCCAGATGAATATAGAAAAATTATGGAACAGATTGCTTGTTTAGGTTTTTGACCTAACCAAATTTTTATATTAGAAATCATAAGTTTTAAAAGGATAATTCAGTATTAACTCTATGTTGTATATATTTAAACATTTTTACCGTTTCCGTAACAATATTTTATGCTTAAAAAAACAAATTGTTGGTTATGTTCTAGATTTACAGACAGCTTGGGGAAAAAGAATCTGGATCAGTTGAACAAAGGAAATCCTATCTAGAAAATTCTCTGAATGCTTTACATCTTACCCTAGATAGATTACAGGGTGATAAAAACCATGTAAGTTGAGCAACTTTCATTCACATTTGACTAAAATTTCTTATTACCATACAGGGATTATCAGTTAGGAACTTGCCGAATCTACAGTATTGCAATTAAGTGACCACAGATGTGTGAAGAGAACTGAGACACTATTATAAACATTTCAACTTTGATGATTGTCTGAGATAGTGTGATATTCAGTTGATGCTTGTCTTGTTGCTTGAAATTATGGAGAGAATCAATTATGGAAGGTTTAATCTCCATACGTACAACTTTCTGGTGCCTGCTAAAATCTGCATTCTGTGGTCTAAGGGGAGATAATAGGTAACTACAAAATTTGTTCCCCTTCAGTTGTTTAAATCCCTGGTATTTGCACTATCAACCAATATATTTGATCTTTTTCAGGAATTAAATCAATACTTATTTCCGTTTATGAATGAAGTAGAATTGTTGATTAAACAGACAGATACAGGTAAGATAGGAATTGTTTAATATAAAAATAAAAATATTCTATGGGGAGACTGGCAAATTTGACAGTAAAATGATATAGAAATCTTCCTTGTATTACAATGACAAATTTCTGTATAAAGAATAAGTTTTAGATATCATACCTCAAAGGTGTGTGAACTGGGAAATGGTTGCTTCCAAATGTTTAGGTGACAGGTAGTGTTTCTTTCGCCTAATTTGCTCAAGCATGTTATAGCATGGTGAAGTATAAATATAAATGCATTAGATCATTGAATTTATTTTAATTACATGTGTCTGATGATTTTGTAGATACAGATTTGGAAGAAGATACTAACAATAGTAGATATCATACACCACAAGGCAAGGTAGATAATAATCCTAACCATCAAGTCTATCATAATACATCTACACCTAGTAATCCAGTATCATCATCCTCTAGAAGATTAGATATGTCAACACAAGTTCAAGTACCGGTAGGACTCTTCATTTAGTATTTTACTACTCACTTACAGTTGCCACTTTTGGCAGTATCTATAAAATTTGAATATAAATATAAAGCTATAGAACAATTGTAATATAATCGTAGAAGAAAAGAAGTCAAGGTAAAACCACAGATAAAAGTAGTGACCTTCATAAAAATATGGTTCTAAAATAAATGAGACTTTAAGGATTTTTTTGAACGATTCAAGCGAGGAACTGCTTCTAATAGCAAGTGGAAGTTTATTCCAAAGCTTTGTAGTCTGACGATAAAAAGACTGTTCACCATATGAAGAAGAGTTTACAGATTTTGGCTTGTCAGACGAACTTCTAAGTTTGTTTGAAGGCATGTGAACTTTTAATTAATCTGGTAAGCAGGGGCAATATTTTTAAAATATTTGTTGCAACATTTGTCAAATTATAAAGTCAGAGCTGGTCACCTATGACATATTGGAACTTAATGACATGTCTACTGCCAAAAAATAATTAGTTAAATGATATTTGTTTTTCTTCCTTACAGAATCCAAATGAGCATCACTTACAACCCAGTCCTGAAAGACTTGATTCACAGATACGACAGTTATCTCACTCACAGGAATCATTATTAAATGTTGTATTAAAGAGAAATGAAGATTTAGTTAAAACGAATTTAGAATTAGTAGCTGGATTAAAGGAATGTATGGAAACTATTAGAGAACTTAAGGTAATTGTATTGTGATACTAATAGTTGGTTTGTCGGTTGCATAGAATTTAATTTTTATATGCCCACATTTTCATGTGGACGTATATTGTCGTCGCCTGTCTGTCCAGACGTCCGTCATTGTGGACGGTCTACAGGTCACAATTTTTATTCGATTTCAACGCAAATTGAAATATAGGTATATCTCCCGCAGATCTCGGTTCCTTTTGATATTGGCATGTATCGGACCGTAACTTCATGGATTGTGGCCCCTGATTGTGTGCAAAATCACGTAATTAGCTTGTGGACACTGTAGATGTCACATTTTGTATCCGATTTTGTTGAAACTTGAAATGCAAGTTTATAACCCAAAGATCTCGGTTCCTTTCGATATTCGCGCATATCGGATCGTAACTTCCTGAATTATGGCCCTTGATTGTACGAAAAAACACGTTTTTAGCTTGTGGTCCCTCTAGAGGTTACAATTACTAACTGATTTAAAAAAAACTGTTCGAATATATCACTGTTACACCGTAATGTTGGTTGAGTTCGAATTTTGTGAAAATCTGGCGAAAACTGCCAGACAAAATGGCTGCCCCTCTATGCAAATAGTGTAAACATCTGGTATATCAAGGTTGTGGACCCTTTAGAGGTCACAATTTTGATCTGATTTTGATGAAACTAACTTGAAATGCATGTTTATAACCCAAAGGTCTTGGTTGCGTTCGATATATGCGCATATCAGATCGTAACTTCCTGAATTATGGCCCCTGATCGTACGAAAAATCGTGTTTTTAGCTTGTGGTCCCACTAGAGGTCACAATTATTATCTAATTTACAAAAACTTTCGGATATATCACCGTTGCACTGTAATTTTGGTTGAGTTCGAATTTCGTGAAAATCAGACCAAAACTGTCGTACGCAAATAGTGTAAACATCTGGTATATCAAGGTTGTGGACCCTCTAGAGGTCACAATTTTGATCCGATTTTGATGAAACTTGAAATGCATGTTTATAACCCACAGATCTTGGTTCCTTTCGATATTTGCACCTCATATGGTAACTTCCTGAATTATGGCCCTTGATTGTACAAAATTTAGAGGTCACAATTTTTATCCGATTTAAAAAAAAACGTGTGAATATATCACCGTTAGACACTAAGAACTTGGTTCCTTTTGATAATCGTGCATATCCGAACGTAACTTCCTAAATTATGGCCCCTGATTATTCAAAAAATAGCATTTTTAGCTTGTAGATTCTCTAGAGGTCGCAATTTTTTTTTCTGATTTTAAAAACCATTTAAATATATCACCATTCCACCATAATGAAGGTTGAACTCAAATTTCGGGAAAATTGAAATGAAACTGCCCAACAAAATGGCCGCTCTTTGTACACAAATTGTGTAAAAGTATGTAATACGAAGGTTGTGGACCCTCTAGAGGTCACAATTTTTTTCCGATTTTGATGAACTTTGAAATGTATGTTCATATTCACACATATGATCAGACAATATCTTCCTGGATTATTCCCCCTGATTGTACAAAAAATCACAGTATTCTTTTAGCTCGTTCTCTGTCCATCTCTTGCAAAATGTGGGCGTATCTTGCAAGGCAACCACTTGTTTTTTCTGGGATTAATAGAAATCTGGCAGCATTTATTATTGTTTTGGTCTGTATGTAAACCTGATAACAATATTCAAATAATCTTTTAGGGGCATTTAGTAACTGGATAGAGCAATAAACTATAACACATGCTTATGGAAAAAAAATTACTGATTTGTTTAGGCGACGTTTCGAAGAGTATTCTCTCAACGTTTTCAAGCAAGCAAGCTTGAAAATTTTGAGAGAATACTCTTCGAAATTGTTCTTCCATAAGGTATGTGTTATAGTTTAATATTCAGATAGTTTTTCAGTTTTACTTAGTTCAAAATCAAACAAATATAAGTTAAATATTCTTTTTAAATTTTGAATGCCTTCTGATTTTCTAGTTTGACTGGGTAGTCAGGTTAATTTATATACATGTCCACAAGAGTTGATATATGATTAAATTACATGATATACAATAATTGAAATAAGGATCTGTTTATAAGAGGATTGAATTGTGTTGAAAAGAGGAAACAAAATATCAATTTCCTTTGTTTGAAATTACTTACATTTACATATACCTTTGTAATTAACAGAGGATCACGGTGGCTAAGTGGGTAAGACACTGGCTCGCTAGCCTGGAGATCGGGTGTTCGATCCCTGCATTGGCCCGAGAAAGTTCATCCAGATTTTCCGGGGTGGTTCTCCCTTGTCAGTGATGCAGGACGGAGGGACTGACAAGGACAGCTGTCTAGTCATTCGGATGGGACGGAAAACCGAGGTCCCTTGTACACATTGGTGTGCACATAAAAGATCCCTTGACAGTTGCAATTCAATATAAGAGTAGGCCGTAGTGCCGCTGTCCGGACAAAATATCCCTCATAGCACACTGTATGGCGTATGCCTGTCTTCATTAGCCCAGTTTGGAGCAAAACAGTAAGACGTTAAACCCCATTTTATTTCATTTCATTTTGTAATTAACATTTGTACAAATGATTTACACATAACCATGGTTTATTTCTATAAAAATCAAACCGAAAGGAACATTACAGATATTGGGGGCTATTTATGATTGCTTGGATTTGAAAGGTTTTAATGAAAATATTAGAAAAACATAATAGTATTTGAGAACTTTATATTTTGTTTTCTACTTTCAGTTTGAAATGTATCACAGATCAGCTATATTAGGTGGATTAAGTTCTGCTGCTACACCAAGATCTTTTTCTACTATAGCTTCTCCCTACCCTGCTGAAGTTTTAGCGAATGAAATGATGAGTCCAGGCTACTTTTTAGATCAATCCAAACCTGGAGCCCATCTCATTACAACACCTCAACATATTACTAGAGAAATACCAATAAATCCTAACCAATATTATGAAGAAAACTTTGTACCACCAATGGATCATAACTCGATTCACATGTCCCACAGACGATTACCACCTAATGTTGGATTTAATGAAAGCCACATATCTCATCCAGGACCACATGATGAATCATCAGTACTTTCGAAATTGCCAGGACCGGGGTTTTTTTCTCCTGTTTCCATCATAAACTCTGCCTCCCATTACGATGCTTCTAAGAAACTTCCTTTGTCTGCAAATAATCTGCAGTCTCCAGTACCAAAGAGTAATGTTCCAGATTCTTTGGCTTCCATCAATATTTTGTTCTGTGGAAAGGTTTCGTACTGTAATCAAGAAAATGTCATTCTGAAAATGATATCTATCGGCAATCTAACTCAAATTGTCATTGAGTCTGTGTCCCATCAATCAACAACAGAAAGCTATAATGTCAAGGACATCTATCTTCAGTCATCAATGAGCCCCAAGGTTGTTACCTGCTTTTATCGATCTGCAGGACAGCAAGACAAAATCTTGAATTGGAACTTTGATTCTTCTGAAAAAGCAAACGAATTTAAGCAGTCGTTAACAACAGCTATTAGTCATATAAGAGCAGTAGGTGTTTCCAGTAACACTACATCAGATATGCCTAGTACCACCCAGACAGTCTCACAATCCACTGGATTCTCATGGAATACATTTTCACCGTCTGCTAGTAAAGACCAAGAGAAGAAGACTGTGAGCCAATCACCCCATGTTAATCAGTCACCTACTGTAAATCAGACAGGTGAAATATCCAAAACTGTGGAAGCTAATAATTCTCTGGAAGATTTTGAACCAAATGTACATTTTAAACCAGTCATTGATCTTCCCGATCTGGTTGCCTTAACAACAGGTGAGGAAAGCGAAATCAAAATTTACAGTGATCGAGCCAAGTTATACAGATACGACTCCCAATCAAGCCAGTGGAAAGAAAGAGGTGTCGGGGTATTCAAAATTTTGAAGTCACAGGACACAAATAAATTCCGCTTTTTAATGCGCAGAGATCAAGTACTGAAGATTTGTGCAAATCATCTCCTAACTAAAGAAATGAAGTTATCTCCCATGACTAATTCTGACAAAGCTTGGTGCTGGGTAGCTGAGGATTTTGCTGATGAAGAAATGAAACCTGAGCAGTTCGCTTTAAGACTTAAAAATAAGGAAATGGCTTATAAGTTCAAAGAAGAATTTGAAAAATGTCAAAAGGAATTGGAAACAAATGAGGTTAGTGTTAAATCAAAAGATATTGAACAACCTACAAAACCAAGCAACAAAACTGAAGTGGTGCCTTTATCAGATGTGTTTAAAGCTAAAGCAGATACATGGGAATGTAGTGGTTGTCTTTGTCGTAATGAAAGCAAAGTTAAAATCTGTCCTGCTTGTACTACTCCAAAACCCGGGGAAAAATCAGCCTCTGCTCAAAAAGTAGATATAGATTCAAGTAAATTTAGCTTTGGATCTGGTGGAGGATTTTCTGTTCAGACACAACCCACCAAAGAATCGTCATTCTTCTCAACCACGACAAAGAACACGGCTGGTGGTTTCAGTTTCCAACAAAAGATTGACACCAAAGTTCCTGCAGGTGAATTTAGTTTCCAGCCAAAGTCAGATTTAAAGGAGGCTGTGGGTGGATTTAGTTTTCAACAAACAACAGGTTCTAAAGCTCCTGCTGGTGGATTTAGTTTTCAACAAGATAGTGATTCAAATGCAACCACTGGTGGATTTAGTTTTCAACCCAAACCAAATACAACTAAAAAGGATGTCTCAGTAGACAACAAAAAGGTTGAAGTACCATCAAGCAACCAAACAAAATCAGTTCCTTTATCAGATGTGTTTAAAGCTAAAACAGATACATGGGAATGTAGCGGCTGTCTTTGTCGTAATGAAAATACAGTTAAAATCTGTCCGGCTTGTACTACTCCAAAACCTGGGGAAAAAGCCGCCCCTGCTCCGAAAGTAGATCTAGCTTCAAGTAAGTTTAGCTTTGGATCTGGTGGAGGATTTTCTGTAGACTGCAAAAAGGTTGAAGCACCATCAAGCAACCAAACAAAATCAGTTCCTTTATCAGATGTGTTTAAAGCTAAAACAGATACATGGGAATGTAGTGGCTGTCTTTGTCGTAATGAAAATACAGTTAAAATCTGTCCTGCTTGTACTACTCCAAAACCTGGGGAAGAATCTGCCCCAGTGCCAAAAGTAGATCTAGATTCAAGTAAGTTTAGCTTTGGATCTGGTGGAGGATTTTCTGTACAAACACAACCAACTAAAGAATCTCCCTTCATCCCTACAGATACAAAAAATACTCTGAAACCTGCTTCAGTTCCGGGCATAGCAAATGTGGCTAAGCCATTTACTTTTGGGTCAGCTGGGGGTTTCAGTTTTACACAGAAGACAGATTCAAAAGAACCATCTGGTGGATTTAGTTTTCAACCAGCAACAGATTCAAAAGTCACTGCCGGTGGATTTAGTTTTCAAGCAACAACTGGTTCAAAAGAAACTGTTTCTGGTACTAGTCAGGCTTTTGAAAATATATTCTCTCCTGTATCATCAACAGATGGTGAGAAAATGCAGGCTTTGGGAAGTAAAACCCAACCAGTACCATTATCAGAGGTGTTTAAACCCAAAACAGATAGATGGGAATGTAATGGTTGTCTTTGTCAAAATGAAAACACTGTTAAAATATGCCCAGCATGTTCAACTCCTAAACCAGGGGAGAAACCAACCCCTTCAGTCTCTGCTTCAAAATTCCAGCTTGATTCAAGTAAATTTAGTTTTGGATCTGGTGGTGGATTTGCTGTACAAACACAACCAACAAAAGATTCCCCATTTTTACAAACAGAATCCAAAGATGCCGCAAAGAGTCAGACTATTAAAAACGTATTTGGCACAGAAACTTGTGACGCGGCCCAAAAATTCAGAGACGAGTTTAAGGATTTAGGCACCGATAAGAAAAAAGAAGCTGTTAAAGGTTTTGAAAAATCTCCTACATCTGTCAGCAAACCTCAGCCTGTCTTTGGTAGCACTGATCAATTTGTATTTGGATCTACTAATAAATTTGGTGCCAAGCCTGAAACACCAGCTCAAGAAGCCTGTCCAACAGAATCGAAAGAGGTGCCAAAAACAAGTATTTTCCAAAACCCCTTTGGCAGCAGTGGGTTTACTTTTAGCCTTAAACCAACAGAGCTAAAAGAACCATCAGTTGCTGCCTCTCCTGCTAAGAATATTTCCAAAGCAGCTGCTGACTCCACTGAAGCTGTAACTAATGAGGATATGTACATAAATAAAGAAGGTGATGACTCCCATATTGTTTTTGAACCGATTATACCGCTACCAGAAAAGGTGGAAGTAAAAACTATGGAAGAAGATGAAGATGTATTGTTCAACAACCGAGCCAAATTATATCGTTTTGTGGATGGAGAATGGAAGGAGAAGGGTCTTGGTGTTATGAAGATATTGGAACACAAACAGACTGGAAGCAGACGTATTGTAATGAGAAGAGATCAAGTACATAAAGTTTGTTGTAATCATCGAATCACACCAGATCTAGTAATTAAACCTATGATTAAATCAGAAGGCAAAGCTTTAGTCTGGTTTGCTGTTGACTTTTCAGATGAAGAAGAAAAAGTTGAGCAGTTGTCAGCTAGATTTAAGACTGCTGAAATTGCTGCAAACTTTCAAGCACTATTTGAAGAATCCAAAGAAAAAGCTACTGCTAACGCATCGATAACCAAAGGTATGAATATATTCTTTTTTTTGTCTGAAACTGGTTTAGAAATATTATTGTAGATATATTTTGATCAAATTTGAAAATCAAAAAAGCAGGCACATTAATTAAAAAGTTTCCTTTGAATATGTTTGACCTATAAGGAAGAACCTGAAACATTGGAACATAATGATTTATTTCAAAATTAAGTCTAAGACAAAATTCAACATGGATTTCAGTTCACTAAAAAGGTAAAGAAAATTCTTTTCTCTGGATGATTGAATAGCCAAGTGCTCTAATGTGTGGGCTAGGTAAATCATAACTTTGTGTGGATTTTTTTTTACAAGTACCTGTACCAGTATTCTGTTTTTACTATCTGTCTTTATCTCTGAAAATACTAATTATGAAAAAATACATCCATTGCAGGCTCACCTTCTAAGGATGTTACCAAAGCAGCTGCTGACTCCACTGTAACAGCAACTAATGAAGATATGTACATAAATAAAGAAGGTGATGACTCCCATATTGTTTTTGAACCGATTATACCGCTACCAGAAAAGGTGGAAGTAAAAACTATGGAAGAAGATGAAGATGAATTGTTCAACAACCGAGCCAAATTATATCGTTTTGTGGATGGAGAATGGAAGGAGAAGGGTCTTGGTGTTATGAAGATATTGGAACATACCCAGACAGGAAGCAGACGTATTGTAATGAGAAGAGATCAAATACACAAAGTTTGTTGTAATCATCGAATCACACCAGATCTAGTAATTAAACCTATGATTAAATCAGAAGGCAAAGCTTTAGTCTGGTTTGCTGTTGACTTTTCAGATGAAGAGGAAAAAGTTGAGCAGTTGTCAGCTAGATTTAAGACTGCTGAAATTGCTGCAAACTTTCAAGCACTATTTGAAGAATCCAAAGAAAAAGCTTCTACCAACACCTCGATAACCAAAGGTATAAATTTATTCATTATTTGTCTAAAACTGGGTTAAGAATATTATTTTTAATGATACATTTTGATCAAATTTGAAAACCTAAAAAGCAGGCACATCAATTAAACAGTTCCCTTTCAATATCTGGAGACCTAAAAAGAAGTAACTGAAACATTTCGAACATAATGATTTATTTCAAATTGAGTTTGAATATAATTTTGACATGGTAAGGAGATTTCAATGCTTAAAATTCTAGATGATTGGGTAGCCAATGTTCTAATTCTGTGTGTGTGGGGGGGGGGGGCTCTAAATCACCAGACCGGTTATCTATGCAAGTATGTGACAAAGAGTAGGGCTCTCTCTCTCTCTCTCTCTCTCTGTCTCTCTCTCTCTCTCTCTCATTAGTGTGACTGAATTCTTAAATTACAGATGATGATGAGGACAAAGGTGTAGAAAATGAGGAAGAGGATGATAATGAGGACAAGGAAGATGATAAGGAAGACGAGGAAGATGATAAGGAGGATGATGATGATGATGATGATGTGATAATAGAAGAGACCATATATGCAACTGAAGAAGAAGTTGAACAAGCTAGAAAGTATATGTTACCAGACCACTTTTATTTGTATAAGTTAAAGAAACCATGTCCAGGTTGTATTGGCTGTGACGATGGTGATAGATCTGTAGCGCAGAAAGCGTCTTCTAGTCCAATACGTAAGTATGGTTCATTTATACTGATCTCTGATACCAATACACAGGTACAAGAGAAATGTTTGTCTATGTGGATTACACATATCACTGGTTGATCTTTTGCAAGTAGAATTGACGAAATTGATGTAGAAACCCCATTTAGTGGGATCTGATTCATTTGAAGGTCATCTCCACAGTTACGTGCAGTGTATTCTCACTATTTTCCAATACTGATTAACATTGTTTAGGACGTAAGTTGACATAATTAATAGAAATTCAATGTCATTTCAAATTAAAATCTGGGGTTATTGGCTGGTTACAATGATCAAATTAATCTTATTGTACATGCAGTTACAACCAACTGGATAAGAAAGGGTATCAAGTCTGATATTGACCCTTTTTGATCCCCTATTGAAACAAATAAAACTTGCAATAAATTATGGGACTGTGAACATGATTACTTTTTCAGAAAAACCTATCTTTGAAAGCACTCAACCATCATTTTCCTCGCTTGCTTCAGGAGGTGAAAATATATTTAGTGAGGATGGTAAAGGTTAGTACTGATGTGTTTGTATTTATTATCTTTGTTTAAACAACAAACCAGAAGATATATGAGTTAACCCAAGAAACATTAAAGATGCATTATGTAAGATTTAGATAAAGAGCTGGCTAATCTTGCTATAATAGTTCAAAAATAGATATGTTTCGTTGCCCGGAAACCTATCTTTTAGTATCCACCCATTGCTAAAGAGCCCTGCACACAAGCGAAGATGAGGTCTCAATTTTTATCCAAATTGAATGAAGCTTGAAATATATAATTATATCATGTGGGCATATCTTGCATGGCAATTGCTTGTTGTCCGATATAGACTGAAAATATGTCTTTTTATGGAAAATGTGAAATATGTACACAGTATGTGGACCCTCCAGGGATAACAATTATTGTCTGATTTAGATGAAAATTTTCAGTATCAAAGGTTCTTGGATGAGTTCAATTTTGGCACTGGTTTTATGTCCCCTGGCTTTTACGAAAAATGTAAAGGGGCTACAATTTAAGAAATATGTTGAGGATGAGAAAATCTTGAATGAGTTTGATGTGAAAGATTGTGGCAATGCAAAATGTAGGCTTATCGTGTATGGCAACCACTTGTTATGTTACATAATTGGACTGCATTGAGCCTTTTTGTCTTTTAATTAAGGGAGTATTTAAACAATTTTTATGGCACAAATATGCCATTGACACAATTAAAATATTATATGTGTTTCTTTTATTACAGAAAAATCAAGTAACGTTACTGGATTTTCATTTTCTTCAGGTTAGTTGTCTGATAATCAGATTTTTGGTGGGCATATTTAATTATCAAAACTTATATCTAATTATATATCAAAATATTAATATTATTCCTTTTTATATGTCCACATACGTTGCCCTCTACATGTTGCAGTTTCTGTCTAAATTCAACTTTATGTACACACAATCTTTGTTAACAACTTGTACACTGGGGTGGTGTGTTTTGTTACCTGGCAACCTATGTTTCAGTTTGATATCTCTGAATTTAAACATTAATTATATATAAGTTAAAGTAATGAATTATTCTTTTATTTTTTTTTTTTTACAGAGAAGATAAGTGCTGAACCATCCTTTTCCTCGCTAGCTTCTAGTGGAGAAAATATATTCACTCAATTTAATAAAGGTAATTAATTTATTAAAGCCCCAACATTCCAGATTAAAAGGCCATATGCCACCATCTTTATGCTCTGATATTGATGGTTGACAACTGAATGATGACTCATTTCTATCCATGAACAGCAAATGCAGTTTTAATCATCTAAATTATTATCAAATTAAGTGTTTGAGTTAAATAGGAAAAAGGTTATTAGTGTCTGGTAAAAAGTAAAACCAAGGAAAAAAATCAGTCCTCAGTATATATAATTAAATAAAATATCTTTAACCAATATTGTTTTTGTCTTTCATCCAGATAAACCAAGTTTTCAAAGTGATGCTCCTTCCTTTTCATCATTGGCATCAGGAGGAGAAAATCTTTTTACCAGTCCATTTAATAAAGGTATGTCTTTCTTTCAGTACCAAATATTACTTTTTACATGGTGTATGTATATTTAAAACTTTTACTTACGATTTCTTCCTTGTTTTATAAATTTAATGTGTATATATTTCTCAATTCTGTTTTGTTACACAGATCAGCCAGCTTTTGCTAGTAATGCGCCAACGTTCTCTACACTAGCATCTGCTAGTGAAAGTAGTTTTGGTCAGACAAGTAAAGGTAAGCTTTGGTTTTATACGCCCACAATTTCTGATAACTACTACTATACCATGTATATTTCGTTTGTCTTTCTGATTCTGTTTTTTTTTTTGTGAAACCACAATGTGATTAAAAATAGATTCTTATCATAGAAAGTTCCTCATAATTTTTCAATGTGGTTTCCCATTATCGGTTTTGCATGACGGCAGATCTACTAAGGTAAACAATCTAATTGTTACGATGGGATGAATAACCAAGTTCTATGTGCACATAAAAGAGCCTTCACTGTTTGAATTTGATGAAGAGTTGACTGAAATGTCTGCACGTAATATCCTGCATAGCACACTGCAGGACATATGCCCATCTTCATTATCCTGAGTTGATGCAAAATAGTAGGGTGTTAAATTTAATTTCACTTCTTCATTGGCTAGATAAGAGGTTGGATTCAATGAACAAAGATACTCTTAGACTGCTAAAACAATACATATATACATGTAATATAACATTGGAGTATATTTTGAACTTAATTGTATGACTATAAAATTACATTTAAGGTTCAAACTTCTTTAATTATTGGAAAAGGAACGTTTCACCATTCACTCAAGATTAGTCTTTGTATGATTAGTATGAAGGTTGAAACATTGTGTATTTTCACATTGAAGATGTTTGTACTAAAGAACAACCTTTATTCAGAACTTAAGTCTGTGAAATGATTTTAGGAAATAAACCGTTTAAATGGAGTGGAGCAGGACAGAAATTATTTAACACATCTGGTAATCAGGATGATGATGATAGTGTACATCATGAGGCTGGAGATGATATACATTTTGAACCTATAATACCACTACCTGATCTTGTAGAAGTGGTTACAGGTAATATACTGATAGCCATATACTGTGGAAAAATTAATCTTGTTAGTCTCATAATGTGGGAATTTATGCAGTAAGTAAAATATGAAAATGACAATTTATTATAACATTTTGATGTGGTGGTTAGTTTTGCGATGTCTGTATTTAAAATTTAAGATCAGATAAAGACATTGAGATATAACTGATTTGCGTACAACAGAGCCAGAAACTAAACTAAAATAAGCAAACAAACCGATTTCCACATAATCATTTGAAATGAAAATTTAATCATTATAGAGCTTGCCATATCGGGTTTACCCAATACAACATTTTCTTTTGAATTAAATCAAGATGTTTAGCTTCTTAAAATATTATAGTACCCGGTATTGTTTATTGTATAACCAGGTGAAGAAGACTGGCAGATCATATTTACACAGAGATCTAAACTATATAGATATGATAAATCTACTAGTCAGTGGAAGGAGAGGGGTACTGGTGATATGAAAGTAATGAAGCACCAAGATAAAGGTATGAATGACATAAATTTCAAACATTTAAAGATACATTGTCCCGAAAGTACTTATCGGGTGGTTATTTCTAATAAAAGTATGACAATTTTGGTATATATTAAATGTATAGACATCCAATCTTACTAGAAAAACACCCACGGGGCAAGCACTGGGCAAAAATGTGCTTTGACTGATGAGGGAGTAGTTGTTATTTCTTGATCAAATGGTTAGGTTGTTTTGGGAACATTGAGGGGTGTCAAAGTGCAAAAGACTGACAGAAAAAAATTAAGAATTTATTTAGGCCTCAATGTGTATGGTAAATGGACAGTAAGTAATGAAAAATACATTCTGAAAAATGGACCCTCCATCAATGAAGTTAGGTGACAAACATGGCTTCTAACAACAGTTTATTTTTTCAGATTTATACCGTCTACTGTTTAGAAGAGAACAAGTATTTAAAGTTGTATGTAATCATATGATATCATCTGCTATAAATATGAAGCCCATGGAGACATCAGACAAAGCCTGGTGCTGGGTCGCCGAAGATTTTAGTGAAGAGGAAGGCAAAGTAGAGAACTTTGCTGTCAAATTTAAGGTTTGCTGTTTGACACTATTTCGTTATGTGAAACTTACTTGTTTGTGAATATATATTGTCACGTGTTCATCGTCATAATGAGAACCCTATCACTTATTACAGAGTTCATTCCCTATTTATATTTGGATAAAGAATGCGATAGAGGATAGAGCTGGCAAAATCACAATTTTAAAACTTTTGATTGCAAATTATCGTGATTGCTATTAGTATTAACATATAATATGTAATGCTTGTAAATTTTTATAATTTTAGTTTTGACTTTTAGGCATGTTAACATCTTACAAGACAGATTTTAGGTTTGAATATTTGAAACTTGATGAGATTTTCAATTCCAATTCTTTTAGTTATTTTACTATTCAGATTTTTACTGTACCTGATAAGCCCTTTACAAGTTCCAAAATAGCCTTTTTTATTTGAATATAAATATTTTGTTTACTGCAGAATATTGAACTGGCTGCTAAGTTTAAAGAAACATTTGATGGAATTATTGCTACTCTACAAGAAAAGGGTCAGTTGAGCTAATATTGTATGATTGTATTTTACTATCTCTACTATGATTTCTGGATATAAATCTCATTTTGTGTAGCTGGGAGTTTAGAATCATTGCAGATTACTACCCGGGTAGCAGTTTATACAGGGTTCGCACACTCCTTGAAAATCCTGGAAAAACAAGATTACTCGTAACTCCTGGAAAATTAACACTTGTGGTTTCGTGTGTTAGCTAACCATTTTTTTCTGTGAGACTCACAAAATCGCGGCTCTTCTCCAGCATGGGAGGAAATTTATCATGAAAAATTTTCATATGCCAATGCTACTTTTACTTTCACAAAGGGAGAAACTCCCTTACTTCTGTTTCATAAATCGACCTCATGATTGGTTGAAATTGACTGGAAACTTTTAATTCCGGTAATATGCTTGGCAGCCCAATGTGTGTTTGTGATTATTATTGTTTGGAATAGATAAATTATATTGTAATGGTAGCATGGTGCATGAGTGAACCTGATAAAATAGAAACCTGAACAAGGTTCTTTCCATTACAGTCATTTTCCCTATAGCTAGTAGTCCTAAATGTCTATGCGATTATGACAATTCTCCCACGAAGAGAAAACATTTCACGCCACGTGACTTTAGCGTAAAATCTGAAGCCATTGACTGACATTTAGCCGACTTTGGATTACTTTTTCATCTCATTATATTACTAGCGATAGTATTATAATACTTTGATATTGATCTCAATACATGCAGATAATCTGACTCAAAAGTTATCGAAATATGAAATATGGAATTATCGTTTATGTACGGGAGACAGCGGTAAAATACTGCTCTGAAATCACGTTTCCAGGGATTTCCATTCACACGATTACAGCCATTGACTGAAATGTGCTAATTTCGACTAAATGTAGCCTGCTTTTTATACGCCCACATTTTCATGTGGACGTATATTATCGTCGCCCCTGTCTGTCCGTCCGTCTGTCCATCCACAATTGTTTGTGGACACTCTACAGGTCACAATTCTTAGCTGATTTTGACGAAACTTGAAATATAGGTTTATCTCCAAAAGATCTCTGCTGCTTTCAATATTGGCATGTATCGGATCGAAACTTCATGGATTATGGCCCCTGTTTGTACTAAAAATCACGTTTTTAGCTTGTGGACCCTATAGAGGTCACAATTTTTATCCGATTTTGTTGAAACTTGAAATGTAAGTTTATAACCCAAAGATCTCGGTTCCTTTCGATATTCGCGCATATCGGACCGTAACTTCCTGATTGTACGAAAAATCGCATTTTTAGCTTGTGGACCCTATAGAGGTCATAATTTTTATCCGATTTAAAAACCTGTATTATTATATCACCGTTACACCCTAAGGGCGACTGAGTTCGAATTTCGTGAAAATCGGCCCAAAACTGACAGATAAAATGGCCGCCCTTCGTTCGCAAATAGCGTAAAAATAGGATATATCAAGGTTGTGGACCCTATATAAGTCACAATTTTTATCCGATTTTGTTGAAACTTGAAATGTAAGTTTATAACACAAAGATCTCGGTTCCTTTCGATATTTGCGCATATCGAATTGTAATTTCCTGAATTATGGCCCTTGATTGTAGCATGTTCTCTATCCATCTCTCGAAAATGTGGGCGTATCCTGCCTGGCAGCCGCTGGTTATCTGATATCATCAACATTATAAATATTTAATATATTATCGTTCAAATTATTACAATTTTTATAAGTTTTAGCTGACAAATATCCGAGGATTTCAGTTTTAAAAGTGTTCTGAGTTGTGCACACCGCAACCTAGTCATGTTTGGGTTGTGGTGTAACAGTGTTGGGTTGTGGTATAACGACCGTATGTAATAAGTGGTTTGTAACAATGTAAAATGAGAGAATCTGAAGTGTTTTTCGCATTTTTTACAAATTTTTTTTATCTTTTTGTCCCCTGCATTTTGGAGAAAGTAGGGGACTATTAAAATGAGTTTGTCTGTATATTGCAAGAATAAAAAGTAAACAAATGTTTTGGGTTGTATTACCTCGTTCACCAAAATGCTCAATAAAATTTGATTTTGAGCGAAGGTTAAATATATTAAGTACAATAAATATAGACAAGATGTTATTCCCTGTTATTTACAGAAGCTAGCAGGGAACAAGATAAAAGTTTGGATGAAACTGTTACTACTGATGATAATGATGATGATAATGATGGTGATAATGATCATGAAGAACATATTGATGTATTATTTGATAAAAGAGTTACAATTTTTACTAAGGTTGACAATAACTGGACGGTATGGTTTTTTTTCCTTATATTGTTGAAAGAAACATAATTTAGATAAAGACAACCTGGAACAACTTTTTGTTGAGTTTGAATTCTTACTGATTCCGAAAATTGAAAAACAACTGCTTCTTTTATTGGCTAGTCCACAAGTTATATAGTAATAGAGAGTGGTTGTTCACTGCACAGAATGATTACACATGCAATTTCAATTTATTTATCAGGTCACAGAAATGTGGTCATCTCTTTAGGGTTGGACTTAAAAATAGATTTACAACCATATTTATGATGTAATATTTCTACACTGATCTCCAGGTTGTCAACAAAGTGTCAGGGGGACCTGAGCAGACATCTTTCCTTGAAATGTAATTCCTGTGCTAATACACAGTACACAAGCCATGTAAAATAGAAGAAAGTATTGGTAGAAGAAGTTCATTATTTATTTATGTTTGTATATTTTATAGAAACAAGGAACTGGTAATTTAAAAGTTGCATTACGTGAAGATGTAAATGGTAATGCTATTGATTTAACTACTGATGATGGTAATTGTGTCTGTAATCATATTGTCTGTCAAGAATATTATATCACCCTGTAAGTATCCTCAATTTTAACCCGCTTCTTAACTTGGGAGGGGGGGGGGGGTGGATGGCCGAATGGTTTACATGTGCGCGCTGTATCATAAGATCTGTTATTGAGTCAACTGGCGTGGTTCCGATTCCCCTGTTGTACGTGACAAGGAGTAGGGTCGCCTGTCCAACCTCGTGGGTTTTCTCCAGGTCCTTCGGTTTCCCACCATTGCTAAAGACCCCCTACACGCAAGAGAATTATTGAAATAATGTGTTAGACCCGAAATTACCTAGTTTGTGTTGAGTGGACGTTAAACCCCATTTCTCTCTCTTTTTATACGCCCACATTGAAATGTGGTCGTATATTGTTGTCGCCACCGGTGGACGCTCAATAGGCTAAAGTTAATATCCAATTGACTTTAAATTTATACACAGTGTTTAGGGTCATGAGACGAAGAAGCCTATTGATTTTCAGCGATTTTCGATAATTACTGTTGGAGTTATGGCCCTTGATCACTTCAAAAAATCTTGTGGGAACACTCTAGAGGCTAAAGTTAATATCCGATTGACTTTAAATTTATACACAGTGTTTAAGATCTTGAGACGAACAAGTATATTGATTTTCAAGAATCTTTATGACTTTAACAGCTAATGTTAGCATGGGGCAGAACTTTATAAAAACCAAACAAATTCTAATGGTTTTCTGATAATTACTTAATGAGTTGTTACTCTTAATCAGATTTTAATGTATTATAAATGTTTCATTACCGAAAAAAGTAAAAATATGTGACAACTCTTGTTGACTGCCCGGACGATATAGCTGCTGTGGGCGTATGTTTCATTGCCTGGCAACCTATCTTTAAATTCTGAGGGAAAATGTTTCGTTCATTCTGATTTTCTATTCTACCTAAGATCTAAAATATTCAAAATGGATACTGCTTAACTGCAGGTGCCACTAATAACAAGTGTGAACCTAGTTTGAAAAACCTGAATGGTAGTTTTCCACTTAAAATAGACAATGTTAACCAAGAAACCAGTTCAGTTACTGATCGAAGAACAAAAAATATTCAATATTTATTGTATACAATATTCTAGGGAACGAGCAAGAAAGACATGTATGTGGTCAGCAGTAGATTTTTCAACAGGTCCGCCTATAATGTGTGAATTTAAAGCCCAGTTTAGTTCACCTGCTTCAGCTGAAGAATTCTTTACAGTTTTTAGATATGTGAGTTTGGGTATAGCATTTTGTGTGTTTTGATCTTGAACAACAGAAATATCTCTATATGCTTTTGTCTGTCAAAGAGTTATTTCAAAGGAATGACTTTCCTTCCCTTCGCTAAAGGCATTATCATTAACCAGTAGAAACTGGGTTTGGAAAATCCTGAATGTTCTTCATGCGGCCCCAACCAAACCAAGATCTTTCATGTCAAAGAATCTAATGTTGACTTCCTATGTGTCAACAGTTCATAGTTTTGAGCCAAAAGATGCCCTGGTTTTGAACTGTACTGTAGTCATTTGGAACTGTGATGTTATCAACTTATCACCAGACTAAATAATGTATCCATTAATTTTTTTCTCTAATTTTAACAATTTTAATTATACCAAACCAACAATGCTTTTCAACTCCTCTTCGTCTTTTTTTATGGGGGCGTTCAGAAAAGTACATATTTAGAAGGAATCCTAATTTGAAGGATACACTGATGAAAGCAAGACTCATCTATCCACCACGGGACCCGCAAACCAGTGGAGTCACGGTTCAAAATCTATTCGAAAAATGTATCATGAAGGATTGTGATATCTGCTACAAATTAGACCAGAATAACTACTTTATTAGTGGTAAAACTGGCAAGAAATATTCCTGCCGCACGGGCTATAATTGTTTAAGTAGAAATGTAGTCTACCTATTAACATGCTCCCGCAAAAAACAATACGTAGGAGAAAGCAAACATGCTTTTCAAAACGAATAAAGAACACTATGCAGATTTTGGACACAACAGACCAAAGGCGGTCGCACTACACTTCAACTTAGACGTACGAGTAGAAATGTTATGATTAAAATTATAGAGCTTTTTAAGACTGACCCAGATAACGGCAAAAACGATGCTGTAAGGAAAGCCAATGGATTCACACATTATTGTTTACTATTTTTCTTAGTTATTGGTTGTCTAGTCATGGTGAAAATATTATTCTCTTTGACAAAGACCTAGAAAATGTTGATAATGTGACCAACTACATAAATTAGATATTTTAATATATGGTTTTCCATTATTTTTTTTACATTTCAGAGTCTCAAGTTAGCAGCCGATTCAGAGCTTTCAAAAATCAGTACAAATGTGAATGGTGAAGATTGACGTAAATTAAGGACACTGTTTATCTAACATTATCTCGGTGTGTTATATTGTCAACAAATATGTTTGTAGCAATTCCTATGTAGGAAGACTACAAATAAGAAGCTCAAATATAGTGTACCGTGTGCTAACTTAAATCCTGGAATCAAAATAAAACTGTGATTTCAAACAAATGTTTGTGTAAGCATTCTTGATAAAAGTGTGTGGACTGGACTGGACTGGAACTTATGGATTTATAAATAAAATCTGAATTTCTTTTATGCCTACCATTATGTTTCTAAAGTCATTGTATCCGAAGAAAAGTCTTGAATATATTTCCATTTTATGGTGAATTGTTGTTCCATTTTTTGTAAAAAAAAAACCCGCAAAGATAAATCAAGCGATTTATTAAATAGTGCTAAATAGTCAGAATTCCTTTTGTTGCAAATTAAACTACACCATTTTGATTTTATTTCTTTGGGTACCCTTTTTAAAATTATACCGCTTCAGATCATGAAGAACAATAAAATTGTTTCTGTTGTAATATATTGAATTGTACATGTATATGTAACTGGTAATCATGTATAAAATTAATTTATGTATTTCACTCAGCTGGTTCAACCTTCTTGGCTGGACTCATTATTAATATATCTTGTCAAATATGTACATTCAAACTATATTGGAGATAAAAAATAAATGTTTTCCTCAAAACCGAATTACTGTCATGACCTATTTTTTCGACACTTTTTTTAAAAGAATCATTCTGACAGCCATTTGTTCAGTGTGCTTTTCTTATTGTATGCTTTGCTGCAGTAAATGAGGTTTGCTGTATGTGAAAATGAAATGGTGTTTAACATCCTTTTCTGCACCAACCGATCTAATGAAAACGGCCATATGCCATGCTGGGTTCTTTCACATGCGCACCAATTTGTAAAAAAAACCTAAGTTTTTCATCCAATAGGAACAAATAGACACTGTTTCTTACCAGGCCTGCTATCCTGCACCAGTGACAATTGGAACCTAAACTAAAAAATACTGATGAACTTTCTCAGCCAACACAGGGATCAAACGAAGGATCTGGTTAGTGTACCAGCTTCTTACTTATTGAACCGCCATGGCTGTCGATTGGCTGTATGTTATTGTTAAATTGGGATAGGGGTTGCGGGAAGGGACTCTTTTCTTCATGGCATGTTACAGGGATCTCCAATTTTCACGATTTTTTAAGCCAGTTCTTGTCAGGGAAATGTAACTAGTTCAGACTACAAAAAAGTTACTGGCCTATAACTCCCTTAATTTCCAATTACACTGACCCCAAACTGTACTATACATAGCTAAACATATAATAAACCAATTCCCATTGAACTAAAGTAGAAACCTTACGGCATAATTATATGATTTGTTTAAATCCAACTGCTATGGGAAATGTCTGTTCATTTTAAAATGGCCGCCAAACCAGAATCATGTGATTTCATGTCACTCGAAAATACAGAAAAACTGTTGGATAAGATGAGTAGTAACATAATTACTTATTTCCATGCAAACTGTGATATGTGTTGAAAATTTTGCAATTGAACCCAATTTTACTTGCGCAAAGCCCCGAATAGTATATCAGTTGTTGCCGTGAATAAGAATTGTCAATAAGAATTATCACGGCTACAATTATTGCAGCTAACTGCAACAGTGCTATCAGGTTTCACCATGTGTTTTAAAAAATCTTGTGCGTTTTGCATACCGATAGTTCATTGGCCAATCACGCTATTTTACCGACATTTCGCCTAATAGTTTGGATGCAGCTATGGCGGGTGTGGCGCCAGGCAGGGTAAGCTTACTCTTCCGGACACCTGTTACCACTGTTTGTCGTGTAATTTGTACACGAGGAGCAGTCCATTTGCTGATTACACTATTTTGCTTGAATACACTATTTTGCCTATAACGTTTTTTGGGACTTCGAATTCTGTCTTATGGTTTGGATTGTTCGCACTTGGTTTTATTTTATTGTGTAAATCGCATCATATTGCTAGGCTGTGCATAAACAGTGTAGAGATAAAACAACAATACTCAAACTTCAAATCCAAATGTACAAGTGACTCCGAACATTTTAGATGCAAGTTGTATGAACTGGCAGGTGGTATTCAATTTTACCCTGCCTGTATGTGCACAACACTCAACTATAAAATCCCAGTGAAATGCACATAGGATAATTACTGATTCCCACCCATTAGTTTCATATGAATGTAGGACCATTCATTATATAAGATATGTGTGTTCTATAGAAATGTGAAAAGTAACGATTATTTGGGGTACAATATTGGCTTTCCTATGGGTACGAATTGACTCAGAACACTTTTTAATTTATGAAGAAGGGAGATCAATAATAGGAAATGACGACATGTGTAGACGTGGGCATGCGCGTAACAGCATTTGATATAATTTCCGGTTAAATCAAAACAATATGGCAGCCCGCATGTAACACGCGGCAATAGTTGTGAAATAGTTGAGAAATAACATAGAACAATCCAAAATTCTCCGTATAATTAACAGATCTACTTATCTGATAAGAAGCAAGACTTTCTGCTTAAATATGGGTAGATCAAAGCATCGAAACAGAAAACGTAATGCTAATAGTGATAACAACAGTGCTGAACGTCAACAGAAGAAAGCTCAGTGGCAAGAAAAACGACAAGGGCAGGGACAAAAACATTATGAAGATCTGCGAAGGGAGAATAAAATATTTGACAAATATTATCAGGGACAAGGATTCGTGCCAGATGGTGAATGGGAGGATTTTCACAAAACTCTGACTAATGCTCTACCAGTGACATTTCGAATAAATGGCAACAGAAGCCAAGCCAAAGAAATGTTAGAAATTATTCAAGGTCAATATTTACAGAAAATGACTGAAGTGAAGGTGGATGGGGAAGTTGTCCAACCACCAAAACGTATAGACTGGTACCCGGATCAGTTAGCATGGCATATGGATGTGTCTAGAAAGGCCATGAGAAGCACTGTCATGTATTCAAAGTTTCACCAGTTCCTCGTTGCAGAAACTGAGAGTGGTAATATTAGTCGTCAAGAAGCAGTCAGCATGATTCCTCCGCTCTTGCTAGACATTAAACCTCACCATAAGGTTTTAGACATGTGTGCTGCACCAGGTTCCAAAACGGCTCAATTGATAGAACTACTCCATGCTGATGAAAAACAAAGAGTGCCAGATGGTTTTGTCATTGCCAATGATGCAGATAATAAAAGGTGTTATTTGATGGTTCACCAGGTCAAAAGATTATTAAGCCCTTGCTGTATGATAGTTAATCATGATGCATCTATCTTTCCTAAATTCAGATCAAACAGTGATGGGGAAGGGCAGAAAATGGAATTTTATCAATTTGATAGAATCTTGGCCGATGTTCCATGCAGTGGAGATGGAACTTTACGAAAGAATCCGGATTTATGGAAGAAATGGAATCCTACTCATGCCTACAGTCTTCATGGATTACAGATGAAAATTTTGAAAAGAGGTTTAGAATTACTGGCTGTTGGCGGAAGATTAGTCTATTCTACTTGTTCATTTCACCCAGCAGAAGATGAAGCTGTAGTGGCTCACATGCTCAAGAAATGTCAAGGCTCTGTAGAACTTATTGATGCTAAAAGCGAGATCCCAGAACTCAAAACAGTGCCTGGGATTAAAACATGGAGAATAATGAGCAAAGAAGGCACCTGGTATGAAAAATATGAAGATCTACCAAGTAATTTAACAAATCAGATTAGAGATACAATGTTTCCTCCTACACCTGAAGAAGAAGCAACAATGAACTTGGAAAGATGTATCAGAGTTTTACCACATCATCAAAACACTGGTGGTTTCTTTATTGCTGTTTTTCAGAAAACAACAAACTTACCTTGGTTAAAGCCCACTACAGATGAAACTTCTGAAGTAGATATTGAAGAAGTTGCTAAAATGGTACAAAAGGAAGCAGACAAAACAGAAACAGACAGCCAAATATCTGTAGACAGTACAGCTCTAACTTCAGGAGATGATAAAAAGAGAAAACCAGAAAGTCCAAAGCAGTCTAAACCTTCCAAAAAACCCAGATTACAAGGTTACAAAGAAGATCCATTCTTGTTCATGTCTGCAGATGATCCAATGTGGCCATCCACAAAGAAATTTTATAAACTACCAGATGATTTTCCGTGTAATCAGGCAATGTATAGATCAGAAGAAGGCTCCAAGCGATCATTGTACTTTGTTTCAGCTGGAATTAAAAATATTGTTGAATGTAATCGCGAAAGACTTAGGTTTATTAATATGGGTGTTAAACTCTTTAGTAGAAGTCCATCTCCTCTTGTACCCGATTGTGACTTCCGCGTAGCACAGGAATGTTTAACTTCCCTACACATGAAATTTACTGGGCGGCACATTGATATAGCAAAAGAAGATGCCTGTATAATACTGACTGAAGAAAACCCCTTTATTTCCTCATTATCAGATAAATCAGCTAAACAATTAAATGATATATGCCCTGGAAGTGTTGTATTTTACTATAAACCAGAAGATAGTAATGCTAAACCACAGTGTGAAGTAGTGTTCTGTGGATGGCGTGGTAAAGTATCAGTGAGATCATTTATTGGGGATCATGATCGACAACATAATCTCATGTTGTTTGGTATGAGTTTGGAGGAGATCAAAGCAAAAGCAGCTACACTAAAAGCTGAAAGAAAAGCATTGGCTGCTAAAAGTGTTGTCGATCCATTAAGTATTCCAATGGACAGTGATAAAGAAGAAAAACAGGAGTTGCAATCTAATGAAAAATTAGGTAATAAAAATGAACAATCTACTGATAATAAAGAAGAATTGACTCATATTGATAAAGGAAGTAAAGAACAATCAGACGCAACAGATAAATGATTTAAGATACCATGGATAGAAACATTTATTTGAATTTAAAAAGCACTAGTCAATGTAAAATAAATTTGGAATCTTCAGTGACATTTTTTGGTACAAGTACATGTACCATTTAATGTATAGAAATTTGAACAGGTATATGTACCTACATATATATGTACTGTATTTAATAAGCGATCCATGCATTTTTAAAACATTTTTTTATAAGAATCACAAATCGTATGTGCAACTCAAATATACATGTACCTGGTGCTTAAAATGGAGCTTCTATGAACTCTGTTTTCAATGAAATTTATAGTGCAAACAATTTTTATGTCCAGTCAGTGTTTCTGTTCATGAGAAACTTAGAATTTTTAATATTGTTTATGTATAAAGATATACAACCTACCCTATATTTATCTTTCAATGAAAAAAACACTACAACTAGAACTTGTTTTTATGCACCCACATATGCCATGCATATTCCTTGAAAGTACAGTTCAGAGACTTTAAATAAATATCCAGACTAAGACTAATAGTTAACTTCCCCTAATCCTGTTGCCCACATATTGCTGTGTTGATTTAAGTTAATGTCTTGCATAATTTGCCAATACACAAGAACCTACAGACCTTGGTATTTTAGGGGGTCTGTCATTGAGTCAAGTGTGTGGTTTTAATTCCCCACTGGTACGCGACAACCTGTCCGACTTTGTCTTTCTGCAGGTCCTCTGGTTTTCTCTCACTGCTAAAGACCCCTATGCTTCAATGGATTCCCAGAAAAGTATTTATCGGGTGGTTATTTCCCATAAAAGTATGGCAATTTTGGTATACATGGAAAGTAGAGATATCTAATCTTACTAGAAAAATGCTGGATTCCCCGAAAAAACACTCATGGAGCGTATAAAGGACAAAAATGTAAGGGTTCCCCTAAGCCTGACGATTAGGAATTTCTGCATGCGTGATGTCAAAGGTCACATGCGAACATTGAGCGCTTGATGTACAAGTTGATAAACTTTATGAAGAGTTAGACGTATAAAAATGACGGAAAAAGACACGGGTAGTGGATAATCTGAGAATTAAATTAGGATTTGATATTTGTAATAAATAGTAAGCGATTAAAGACTACATCGATTAAAGACAACATCGTCTTATGTATGCAATGAATTCTCTTCGGACTTCCAAGAGAGGTAAGTCACCTGACGTAAACATGACCCTGTTTGATCGAATTTTTATAGCACTAGCAGGGCATTACTTTGCAATTACAATGTTTGAGAAGGATTTGAAGCAAAATTATGACAAATTAATTAGTTTGAATATGTTTTTAGTCCATATATACCATTAAATCACCCAGGTTGTACACGCAAATGTATCAAAACTATACAGTTATATGGGACAACAATCACTGGTTTATTATACACAAGCACGACGTTTCGATAAGTATTCTCTTATCGTTATCAAGCACAATGACATTTAGTAAACTGTACATATATATAGACCCTCAAGTTTACTAAATGTCATTGTGCTTGATAACGATAAGAGAATACTTATCGAAACGTTGTGCTTGTGTATAATAAACCAGTGATTGTTGTCCCATATAACTGTATAGTTTTGTTATGTTTCCAATTGCTAAATGCCACTAAAGGATTATACGCAAATGTATCTTTAAGCGAATTATTGAAATAGAAACAAATTAAACCATGTTAGTCCTGAATTGACCTAGGTTTTGAGTGGATGTTAAACCTTATTTCTCTTTCACCTTGGTATTTCATCCCAATCAACATCATCAGGTTGCTACCCAATGAACATTACAGCCAGGGAATTTTTAAAACCAATACTTGTATTCACAGGAATTCGATTGACCATTCCATCAAATGGATCAGACACTTTCCTTGTTGGAGGGAACCAGGCTTGTGAAAAAATCCATGTAGAATAGGTGCTAAAGCTATTTTCTTTGGCATTAAAAACCTGAAGAGGTTCCAGGTTGAATTTAACTAGATGGTCTAGAAAAATCTCCCATATTTGCAAGAAGTATATTTTGGTCAGAAAACAAATGATTATGGGGTTCCAGTGTAAGTGGGATAAAGAATAACTTGTGTTGAAGAAATAAAAACTAAAGCAATAGGCAATGGTCTTAGTTGATTTCTTCCCTTGGGCTTTACTTTTCTCATTAGCATGGCCTTGACATTATTTCTATAGTTTTACTACCTCCATGCCAGTTATACAGAATCTACAAGATCAGATAATAGATCCAGTCATATTCCTTGCAACCTCACCCTAAAAATCTCTTGAGCAATTGGGTTGTACAAAATACAAAGGTGTCTCCTTGGGATGCTGATATTACTGATGACATAAACAATGATTTTTTCATAAATAAGATTTATATATTTTCAATGTGTATTGAAGAGAAATTATAACACAAAGACAATATAATTAAACTGCAACAACTGACACTTCTACAGTGGTTTTAATTCAATAATATCTGTAGAAATACTAACAGGTGCACAACTTTGTTGTGAATGGAACTTGGAAATATTTTATAAAATAATTTAAGCTAAATGAGAAAATATTATGATTAACATCAGTTTTTTTAAAGTTACATATAAACACACAAATGATATTAAAGCACATATGCTTCTTAACAACATAACATCTACCTTCCAATCGGACATATGTTCAAAATGTACACAAAGCTTCAATAGGCTGTTCACCTAGTTAAAATAAGCTTTTTTATAGTTTACAAAAAAGTTATCACTTGTTGCAATATACATGTACACATGAAAACAAAAATCTTAGACTATTTACAACTACAATTAAGCAGATATTTACATGGGTAGCAAAATGGTTGACTTCGAATTATCTTTTATATAAAGCTTTTTGAGATGTATAATATTTAAAATAGCATTAACTCCCATATGAGAAAATATTACATTTTGCAGGAAGCTTTGAATAAGCACCTGCATGCATGCAAAGTCCAAACAATATGCTCAGTCCTACATGCATTAGTAAAATGACAATTTTTTCAAAAGTAGAAAATAAATCAACTAATTGTTTTCATTTCATAAAGACTGGAAATTGAGGGGAAAAAGTCATGCATTTGAATTAGTTTTTAATTAGATGTTAAAATATCATAGGCTTCAATATTTTTCCTATTTCGATTATATAATATTAACACAGGTAATATTTTATAACCACAGTACTATAAAGTATGTCGATTTAGTTATTTTTACAAACACTACTTTTATTTTTTGGTCAAAGTATCAGCAATATTTTCTATACAATTCAACTAGGAAGGAAGAAAGAAAGAAAGATAACTTTTCAATCAATATATTTTGACTATAAAGTGTGTACATACAGTAATAATAAACATGTGGCTGCACCCCTTTAACTAGCACTAAATCAACAATTATCAAATGAATACAATAACTTACAAATGAACATCAACATAAATAAAATATACACAACGTTGTAACAAAAATCATCGTCTTTATAACGAGATTAATATGATTGCAGGTATCTTTCGCATTCTTCTATTTCTACGATCCATGACAGGAAGGCAGATTATTTTATTTTACAAAGATATATTGAACATACAGAAGCCTATACCTAATATCTGGACTAAGTTTATGGTAGTTGTTAATTAATCTCTATATACTATAGACATTGTTAAAACTATAATACAGCTATTTAACGTTTATAATATTTATACTATATTTACAGGCTGGTCTTTTTTATAAATAGTTCATCTTTTTTTCATATTGAGAAAATAAATAAATCTAACACTACTTGCAGTTTCAAATCTATATAAATTTTAAAATTTACTCAGACATTCAAGATAAAAAGATTAGGACACAAAAAACACTCCTAACATTTTCATCTCATTTATGTATGACTCAAGCAACATATATTCATGTATAAATTTGGATTAGAGAAAAAAAGATAGATCTAAATGGAAGTCAATTTTCAGCAAAGAAAACAAAACGAAACTAAAGAAGGAGACCTTTTTTCTTTCAACTTAAATTTTTTAAACGATTTGATCTTTGTTTTAGAGTCATGCTGAGAGAAAATAGTTACTTGTATCAATTGGTTTCTCTGGTCAACAGTTACAATAAATGTATCTGTAATAACACTTTTGACATTTCACAAGTAACGAATTTGAAAATACTTTAATTGATCAATGTTGACAATATTGGCAGATGACCAAACCATGTATTACTAAATGCCAAATCTTTTCAATCATCAAATTCTGGATCAGAATAGTAATATAGCCATTTTTAAAAAAATAAAGTAAAAAGACTATAGATGGCAAAAATTATGTCTTGTACAATATGTCATTGCCTAACAATGCAATATTTTACTAATAGCACTATAAAGATTACTAGTAATTATTAGGGATGATAATATACCATCATATACCATACATAACTGCAACCATACATTATTACCTGTTTATTAATTAAAGCTTTGCTCTCAGTAATATTATATACAATTGATGTGTATATTATCATATTAATAATATCTTGTATTGTTTAGGCTCATACATTTACATATAAGATACACACTATATTATCGTCTACTGCCTGATTTTCATTTCAAAACTATTCCAACTAGACATTTTGTGCAATTTTCGGGCATAACAATATCATGTATATCTGTCCTTGAACTGCCCTTCTTCTATCACTTCAAGAAATAATACAGGATTTTATACAAAATATTTCTAACTGGATTGTAATTTTAATAATCATTAGAATTGTACTTGAGTTGAGTATTAACTTAAACAAAATTTAAGTGTTATTTTAAAAGCGAGTCAAAGAGTTCTAAGAAACAGGTATTAAAATTATGATATCAATTTGCACACAATTAATATAGAATCGGTAATTTAATTATTACTATCACTATATTTTAAGACATTTCCTTTTTTTCTTCTTTAGTGCTCTTATCAATCACATCAGACTTTCATTGAAAAATTCATGTGTAGGACCTCTGCAGTTCAAAAGATATACATCTTAGGTTCAGACTTAGAATCATTTTATTCTAAATTTAATCTTAAGAACTGAACAATAGAATATTGCCTTTTTTTCTCTGGGAAAGTCTTTATCAAAAATAACCATAATGACTAATCTAATGTGTGTTTAAAAAATGAGTTCTAATTAACTAAGTATAATGTGAGAAGATTTTTTGGTGTCATCTGCCGCTGGTTCTTTAGTAACAGGCGGCGTCTGACTGGTTGATGAACTTTGACCTTCCTGACCTTGTTCAGGTTGATTAAATTGGTTGTTTATCTGGTTACTAGGGGTACTATGTGTTGAATGCATCTGAACTTGGTTATTTTGTAACGGAGGTTGTATATTACTATTAACGGAAACAGCAGCTTGATGAGTTGAGGTTGAAGTCAAGGAAGTTTCCTCACTTTGATTATTTTCTACATCTTCGACCACAGCTTCTCCTTCTTCCTCCTATAATATGAAATGAAATGGGGTTTAACGTCCTACTGTTCTGCTCCTATACTGGGCTAATGAAGACGGGCATACGCCATACAGTGTGCTATGAGGAAAATTTTGCCCGGGCAGCGGCACTATCGCCTACTCTTATATCGAATTCCAACTGCCAAGGGATCTTTTACGTGCATTCCAATGTATACACGGGACCTCGGTTTTTCGTCTCATCCGAAGGACTAGACAGCTGTCCTTGTCAGGCCCTCCGTTCTGCACCACTGACAAGGGGAAACCACGTCAGAAAATCTGGATGAACTTTCTCGGCCAATGCAGGGATCGAACACCCAACCTCCAGGCTAGCGAGCCAGCGTCTTAACCACCTAGCCACCGTAATTCCCCCTCCTATAATAAATTCAAGTACTAAATTACACATATTTATACCAAACACCAAATCAACAAAATGATAAAAAGAACAGGAACTTATATTGGTATGTGAGAATAAACTTATGAACTAATTTCTCTAAATGTTTGGACACACATTAAGGCCTTATAAGTTAAAAACATAGGTTGCCAGGCAACGAAACATACACCCACAGCAGCTAAATCGTACGGGCAGTCAAGAAGAGTTGTCACATATTTTTACTTTTTTGAGTAAGGAAACATTTATAATACACTCAAATCTGATTAAGAGTAACAACTCATTAAGTAATTATCAGAAAATCATTAGAATTTGTTTGATTTTTATAAAGTTCTGTCCCATGCTAGCGTTTAGCATACGAAACATTTAATATCATGGATTTAGCTGTTCAAGTTATCAAAATTCATTGAAAATCAATATACTTATCAGAAAATCAATAGACTTCTTCGTCTTATGACCTTAAACACTGTGTATAAATTGAAAGTCAATCGGATATTAACTTTAGCCTCTAGAGCGTCCACAAGATTTTTTGAAGTGATCAAGTGATCGATGGACAGGGACGACGACAATATACGACCAAGTGCATTCTTCCGTGATTGATAATTATCCTGAAAACTAGTAACCAAAAAGAATTGACTGTGATTGTGAAGGTTCAATGTTCCATTGGCAAGGAACGAACTGAAGATGAAATAACCTCTCCCACTATCATGGTTAACACATCTGCATACACAAAATCGTGAGAGAATATTCTGAATAATTCCAAAAATATATAAGAAAATTCTGTCAATATTGTCAAATTGAACGATATAACAGACTTACCTCTTCTGGGCAAAGTTCAAAAGCTTTAGCAAGAGTCATTCTAGCACTTTGTGACCTCTCCAAAAAGTACCTAAATTCAAGAATGCATTTATATTTATTACATTTTTTTTTTCTTAAAAAAACTTGAAACTGCTTTAAAAACAACATTATTAAGGTTAAATCTAATTTTTTTAACAACTTAAAGTTAATCTATACCAAAATGTACTCAAAATGATTATTAAAGATTTAATTAACAAAAAATGAGCTAAATATTAATGGTAGATAGCCTAATCTCCTGGCTTGGATTCAATCAGATTAAACAGAAGACCTTCAAAAGATTTTATCCAACACTTATAAATGTCGCTGACTTGTTCATATCGTCTGCAGAGGATGCAGAATGTTAACAAATTTTCAATTCATCATATCTTTGTAAATATTGAATGGAAATGAACCATGTTTGACGACTGATTCAACTTAAACAATATTATTATAGTTGGCATCGAATAAAACAAATAATAATCAGCAGTTTTAAGATTAGTGTAAGAAATAAAGCAACTTACCCATTAGATGTTTCATTAGATTGTGCTGGAGGTGACCAGTTATTATATGTATATTGGGCATTACCAGGATACTGTCTCTGAAACAGAAAATATAATAAATATAACCCATTATAAAGCCATTGCACCCCAACAGTATAATCATGAATCAGCCAATTAACCAGTTACCATATACAAAATAGGTGCTATTTTGTCCAGACAAATATCTGTTGAAATCAAAGTGGAAACAATTTTGGTATTGAGCAATCAGGACTGCCAAAGTTACATGGGGCATTATTTTAAAATATAAATCGTATTATTACAGTCACATTATATGAGCATTTATAACTTACTCTTTCCAATTCATCATTTAACCAATCAACAGCACAACTCCATTTTCTCTTTAGATCTCCATTTGTTTGAAACATATTTGCTGCAGGGCCGCAACTAAAATTAGAGGAGAGATAAGTCATTAAAGTTCTAGTTTATAGTGAAGTTTGAATAATGTCAGAATATCAGAAAGACTAAAACAGTATCTTGAATATTTTGCACAATTTGTGAAATCTTGTATCAAATTGCATTCAGGTTAATTTGTCATACTTATCTTGCACACAGCATATATTTTATTGTAGCTCTTGTACTTTTATCAAAAATACATATCTTAGCAGAATATTTCTTGTTGTTTTGCGAGAGATTTTGATTTAATCTAATTCCAGTTAGTTCTATTTTGTTCCAATTTTGTTTGTCTATTTTACATGAAGATGTGACTACTTTCATATCATTCTCTTTGAGGAATAGTGATTGGCTAAAACTGGGAATTTTATAGCCAGTGAAACAAAAATGAAAAGCATGGGAACGGCAATCTCATTTAATCATCCAGATTTTAATCATACTACTTACTGGGTAAATAAAGTGACCATCATTTTAATACATTGATAAGCACGTTTTTGATAATGATTTTTAGATCTCTGTATTGTATCAAATAAACCATCTCTATCTTCTGGTACCCCTGTAATTATATAACAGTAATAATGCATAACACTTTGTATTCAGGGTTACATTTTGATATCAGCATGGAGTTTCACAAGGATATGTTCCTGGTCCACTTAAATTGCAAGATAACTACACCATACCCACTAAACAAACCTGCCAACATTACAAGCAATAAACAACTAAAGTCTAAATCAAATCAAGTGAATAAATCTGGGGGTATGGCTTAAAGTGCCTGTTGCACTGTACATTTCCGAGTCTGTGGTGATATAGGTTTCAATCAAAATTAAAACAACCTTACAAGGGGGTCAACCCATAAAGTTGCCCCAAAATTGTATTATTCTAGTGAATGCAATAAATTAAACTACCTGTATGATGATGTATGATTGTACTTAAAAATATGTAATTTAAATCATGAATTTTAATAACAGGATTCAAGGTAATGAAAACCCTGGATACCTATGGATATAATTGTAATTAAATATATTGCATCTTCTGTGATTGTAATTGATGTTACAATATTTAAAGAGCATAATATATTACAAACCTTTGAGAGCATTGTGTATTCTATGATTCTGCCAGGAATCTTCTAACATTAACATTTGTAAAAGTAGATCAAGATAAGGACGTAATTCATAGGTACAAGAATAAGCAACCTGAAATTAGAGTTATCTGGTTATTACATATATTTCTATCATTAAGAAGTGTTAAAAACAATTGGTCAACCAAATGATTATATATTTGATTTTTGTCTGTCTTGATCACTACTGTCAAAAAGCTTCAAAATAGGTTCCCAGAAAAGTATTTATCGGGTGGTTATTTCCAATAAAAGTATGGCAATTTTGGTATATATGGAAAGTAGAGATATCAAATCTTTCTAGAAAATTACTGGATTCCCTGAAAAACACCTATGGAGCGTATACAGGACAAAAATGTCAGGGTTCCCCTAATCGACAGCCCGTCGATTAGGAATATCTGCACACGTGATGTCAAAGGTTGCACGCGGAGAATAAGTGCTTGATGTACACGTGATAAAATTTATGAAGAGTTAGACGTACAACACTTTCTGAGATAAAAATCACGGAAAAAAACGTGGGCAGTAGATAATCTGAGAATTGAATTAGGATTCGATATTTGTAATAAATAGTCAATGATTAAAGACAACATCGTGTTGTGTATGCAATGAATTTTTCTCCGACTTCGCACCCGTAAGTCACGTGCCACAAACATAACCTCTTTTGATTGATTTTTTATAGCAAGGGTATTCCTTGACAATTACAATGATTTGAGAAGGATTTGAAGCAAATTTATGATATATCATCAAATCACCCAGTTTGTACATGGGAATGTATCTTTAATTTTTGGTATTTTACATCATTATTAATGTCAAGCAAAAGGTACGTTTTATTACATCAATGCATAAAATATTCAATCAGATTTACCTGCCATAGGAGTTCACTAAGTACAGTTGATGAAAAATGAGGATTTTCCCAACAGCAATACTGAAATATAGGGAACATATTTTAAGGTATTGTATTTTCAACCTGAAATCCAGGAGAGAATTAGAATTACAATAATTCGAGTCAATAGTCTTAGTCTTAGTGTCCTACACCGATTGACCAGTGTTCTTAAACGGCTGTTTTTTGTCGGCTCTAGTCGATTGATGTTTAATCTAGCTAGCTGATTGGTAAAACAATCAACCGGCCACTATGGTGTCATAAATCAATCTACTTTTGGCTAAATTACAACTGATTAATTATGACATAATAATTAAGAGGGGTCAATCAATTTGCTTGTAGGTTACAACAACAGTCATACCTTAGTGAGAATCGACCATGTGGTTCATAATCCGAATAGATTAATTAGCACATTTAACAGTAATTTTGATAATCCAGTAAAAAAACAAAACATGCTGACTGATTATTCATAACAGGTTTGGTAAGCAGCTCTTGTAAAAATAACCCATGTGGCAAAAGAAGACGATATTGGCATGGTTTGCCAATCAAGCGTCTTCCATGCTCTGTATGAATTCCAGGTACCGGTAGATATTACAAGCCAACAGTGAGGCTGATGTCCCCCGCCGAAATAGGAAAATAATTAGAGGACACATATAAATTTATCACAAATTATCTTTTACAAAGTATTGAACAATCAAACAGTATATCTTTACTTATAGTCTAACAATCAAAGTAGGAGAGTTATTGTTTTCCAAAGTCTCGACCAATCAAATTGCGTATCGCTCTGCTTACCCTGAGCAGAAAATGCTCATTATCAAACTTAGTCAAGGTATTACTGTAATGAAACTATACACCAAGTTTCATCAATCTCACTTAATTAGAACTAAAGTTATCGTGTCCCAAAGCATCAACCAATCAAATTGCTTATCTCTGCTTACCCTAAACGGAAAATGCTCATCTTCGAACTCCATCAAGGCATTGACCTAATCAACACATACACCAAGTTTGAACATTCTAGCTCAATTAGGAAGAGAGTTATCGTGCCCCAAAGTATCAACCAATCAAATTGCTTATCTCTGCTTACCCTAAGCGGAAAATGCTCATCTTCGAACTCCATCAAGGCATTGACCTAATAAACACATACACCAAGTTTGAACATTCTAGCTCAATTAAACGTTATCGTGTCCCAAAGCATCAACCAATCAAATTGCTTATCTCTGCTTACCCTAAGCGGAAAATGCTCATCTTCGAACTCCATCAAGGCATTGACCTAATCAACACATACACCAAGTTTGAACATTCTAGCCCAATTAGGAAGAGAGTTATCGTGTCCCAAAGCATCAACCAATCAAATTGCTTATCTCTGCTTACCCTAAGCGGAAAATGCTCATCTTCGAACTCCATCAAGGCATTGACCTAATAAACACATACACCAAGTTTGAACATTCTAGCTCAATTAGGAAGAGAGTTATTGTGTCCCAAAAAGTGTGACGGACAGACAGACGGACGGACAGACGGACAGACAGATGGACAGACAGACGGACGAACCCATTTTAATAGTCCCCTGCTTTCTTCGAAAGGCGGGGGACAAAAATAATAGCTGGATCTGACATTGTTAGAACACCAAATACACTGAGAAACAGTCATTATTTTCCCAAAAGAATCTCCAATGCCGAATTCCAATGACACATGACATATCCGTTAGAATTAGGTCAATAAACCAGTTTTAAATAGTGTTTACAGTTATGATTTTTTTATTTTATACACATTCTGACAAAGGCTTAATTTCAAAAACAATGTCGTTTTTATTGAAGGCTATAACATAATCATATGGAATTTTATTTTAAAGCAATTTCAATTATGGTTGTCATGTGACAATTATGCCGTTTGTTTATCACTGACGAATGAATAAAAACTTTTACGTGACTAGTTATGTGAGAGACAAAAAACTACAAATTGTGTTATGAGGAAATGCCATGGTGCTGTATCAGCTTATTTTGGCTACAGCATTTTCTGATACTGGCAATAGTAAAAAAAAATGCTAATATTTTAGATTATCGACTGATGAAACACTGTTTCATCGTATAATCGAAGACAGTAATTTATTCAGGAATATTACTGACGTGAATTTCAAGCTAGTACGTGAATTAAATATGGAAAATGTTCAAAAGGTGTACCTATTCGTCTTTATTTTGGTGGTAATCACAAACATTAGGATACAACATTCTCTATAACAAATTACCAAGCATTTGAGGGACGAAGTCCCGAAAACAAAGCATTGCATAGCGATGCGAGAGCGTGTAGCTGAAGACACCGCAGGCAACACAAAAATTCTGAAATTTTGATGTGATTTTTTCCATTTTGAGTGACTTATTAACATACACAGAAACACCGCCGAGATCTCTGGCACACAATAAGCCAGCATACTATAAGGAAATCAAGCTCGCACAGTATAAGAAATTTGCTGCAATGAAATCTCATGATTGGTATGCACAGTGACAAAACAACAAGGATTTTACTTTCGACAAACAATGATAACTGGAATTTTGTATTAAGACTCAAATTTTGACATTTTACATACTTGCCACAACCATGGTCTGTAATGAAATGGGTTTAAACGTCCTACAACAACCTGGCTAATGAAAACAGCATAGAAGACAAGATAGAAATTTTGTCCAGACAGCAATTGAATGCCTAGTCTCAAGGGTTCTTTTACACACACACCAAGCTGTACCCAGGACCGCATTTTTTTGTCACATGGGGAAGCCATGCTTGAAAACTCAGGTGAACTTTCGCACACTGAATCTCGTGCTTAATGAGCCAGCTGATTTTCTCACTGAGCCACCCCCAACTCCCATCTAGGAATGATATATGATGACTATATTACCTTTAATAATTTAGTAGTATCATCTGTATTATTACAGTCTTCTATTAATTTCTTCACATAACTAGTTCTACTAAATAACATCTCTTCTACTTGAGACGGTATAGGTAACTGTAAACCGGATACATCACCATGAATATTTGTGATAGGTGGTGAACCCTAAAAACATACAATTAAATTACACATTCAAACAATCTTATCTAAATTATACCAAACATTTAATTCTGTTTTATTTTTGGGTTGTTTATTCTTGGTCTAAAAATATATTATTTTCCTATGGTTCATTAAATAATGTGCAGATTGTGTGATTGTTGACTCCAGATCAATTTACAAATTTAATAAATAACACCACAAAATCTTTTCAAAGGCTTTGACTTTCCAGACATTGATTAACTGTCAAATCAAAGTCAAAGTTACTATTATGCATACACCAAACAGTGTGCTGTGAGGGAACTTTTGGCTGGACAGCGGTGCTACAGCCTACTCTTATATCAAATTCCAACTGCCAAGGGGTCTTTTACGTGCACGTCAATGTGTGCACGGGACCTCGGTTTCTCATCAAATCACCCCGGAAAATCATGATAAACTTGATTGGCCAACACCTGGATCGAACATAGAACCATCAGGTTAGCAAGTCAAAGTCTTACTCACTGAACCACTACGGCTCCCAGATGTAATTAGAGTTAAGTTGCTTTTTCCTTTTCATTAACATATGTACTTTTAGATATAAGGAAGTTCTATAGGTTAAATACTTACACTGATAGAAGACTGACATCTATGAGATATATCACAACATCTTACTAATAAAGAGACAACTGAGAAGAGTTTGCCTAGTTCGGCATATTGATATTTTATTGGTGGACCTGGACCTTCATCTAATGCAACAGCCATAAATAATGTGGGTACTGTTAACTTTATTAGTTGTTGTTTCTGTAATTCAAAACAAACAATTAACAAGATAAAAAATAGCATTTAATTAGCAGGATTAGTATTTTAAATTTGTAGTTTGATTGATCCCAAGTAGTCTCATTTATGTCTTAATTCAGGTCTAAATAATTTATTGTTTTCTGTGAGTTTAGAAACTGAGAAAAGATAATTACCTCAGCTACTCCTAGGTTTAGATACATCAAGAAAAGATGGAAATACTGTTGTAAGTGTCGGCCATGTTCTGATACTTCTTTACGGAGTAATGATAACACTGCCATCAATAGATGATCACTTAATGTAGCATTTGGATCAGCGGCTTGCCCTTGAACTAAAAGCATAAAAAATATAGTACACTCTTCCATATTTCACAAAACCTGAATATACAAGATATAGTCATAGAATCTATATAGAATATAATTAGATAAAATCGTTAACCTGTGGTAGGTTCAAATACATAATCTTCCAATGTATTTTGGCATTTTGTGCACTATCTTTAGCTTCTGTATTTTGATGTGAATAATATACTTTCTTACCATATAATCCTTGAACTAATGGAGGTGGACAGGGGCCATCTTGTAAAGAAAAGTGAGCTAATATCACAATAATCTTGGCAAAAGCACTTCGTACCTGTAAGATATTCATATGTAAATAATAACCTAATTCATCTCCAACAAAATTAACAGCATTGCAATTTGTTTATAACTTATATCTTGTCATTATCTAATATTAAAATAGTTACAAAAATACACAACATGAAATAGAAATTATTTCAGTTTTAATTACAAAACTGCAGTTGAGTTCCTACACAATATCTACTGACTTTATACGGATTTTGAGAATAACTAATCATATACTTCTATATGTATACAAACAACAAAAATAGTCAACTTACTTCTGAACTTGGACATTCTAATAAATATTCAGCAAAGCGTGATGGCTGTGCAAATAATATATTATGTGCAAACCAGTTGCGTACAGATTTACTACATCGTATATGCATGTGTAATGCATCATACCAATCACTGGCAGGACCTCTATTAAAACAGAGACAGAAACATTTTACAAACAATATGACAAAGTTTAACACAAATTCCCAGTTTTTTTCTTCTATGCCTGAAATTTTCAGCTCAAAAACATTGAACTGTTTGGATATGATCGCCAAAACAGTTTGACAAGAGGCAATATATATATATATATATAACCAGCAAATTCTATTACTCAATGGAAATTAAAAAAAAACTAACAAAAGTATAGTGGAAAGTATAGTTATCAGCTCAACTGCAAATGAATCATAGACCAGTCAATTTATGATTTTATCCCTAAAAAATTGCAAGAAAACATTTTTATGTATTTTTGAATTTATTTAGATTTACTTCATCACATACCAAAAGTGTACCAAATCAATGCACAAGAAAACCCTACTAAGCAGTTGGTTTAAGATCCAATATGTATTATGAACTTATAGGAATATCACATCATGATATCAAAATGTCAAATGAGCCGATTAAATTTTTGGCTTTATTTCCCTATAAATGTATATTAAGGTTATCGGAACATGACACTGAAGGGTCTTTAGAACATAAAACTTTTGGTAATTTTGGGATGTCATTAAGTACACCCAACTCTACCAGTAACTTTTCTAAAAAACTTTTCTTGCAATTGTTTGACCTCCCTTTTTTCATAAATTGACTCATCTATTAAAAAACCTGGCATTTACCCTCAAAATTCGGGACATTTTGGTACATCTATTTCGGTAAACTTTTAGGATGTCATTCAGTACACTCAACACTACCAGAAATCATCAAAAAACCTTATCTTGCAATATTTTTTGGGTTGACACCTTTTTTTTTCATAAATTGACTGGAAGAAGCACTAACCATGCCATTTTGGGACTAAAATATGATATATTTTATTTCAATAATTTGCTTGCAGGTATGGTTTAACAAGTGGAAGATAACTACCTACCCTTCTACTTACAACGTAAAAACTCAGGATAAAAGCCATAACTTGCATAGATCACAAGCCTTTGGATCTACAGAGCATGTGTTAGATATTTAAACAATAAATGAATAACAAAGTTTAATATATTTTAACCTACCTAATTGTTTTCTTTGTATGAAATCCTACATTAAATACAAATTTGGAGGCCAGCTCCACACTAATCATTGCTATCTTCTCAGCATCAGGAGTCTAGAAAATAAAGTCAACCAATACTAGTAGACAGATCCCATTTCACGAAGCACATTTTACAATACATCTCTTAAATGTATGTAACTTTATATACACGTTGGGACACATGACCCAATTCTATTTTTAGATCTAGGTTGACAGTAAATGTACATTCTTAGAAATGATGAGAAATAACCCACCATCTCACATTTGGTATACAGGGTAATTTTCTAAAGATACCATGAACAATCATTGTCTGATACAGACTTCTAAAGCCCTCGTGCAGTATCAATATATTACTTAATGTCTGGTTCTCGACCTTTAAACCACACATAAATTACTACAATATAACATACCAGTCTATCTGTGATTGCCTGTGTTAATATAAGATGATTACACATCAATAATTTTTTTATAAACTGGAAATATTCTACGGAAAAGTGGATTTTCTCATGCATGAATAAAATATTTTGTTTTTTAACTCGACTTTCTATTGTTTTTGGCATTTTCACTGCAGTAATTGGATTACCTGAAAGACAGAAGAAAACACAATTTCAAAATATCTTAAGGTGTAAAACACTTGTTACCAATTTCCAATTTTGTGTTGTGTTAATTTGCTGTTTGATTTTGCAGAAATTTTTTGAATAAGCTTTTATTTTTAAGTTTCTAAATCTTTGTCAAATTAAATATACTCTTCAAAAAAAGTAGGGGATATTGAGAAACAATACAAAACTGCAGAAATGCACTGCTGTTTTTATTAGAGGTAACCAGTGTATGTTAATAACAGGCCAATTGCCTACACATGAACATGAACAGTTCATATGGGCGGCTTATCTGACGGACATTTTTGATTTTTTTCTTAATAATGAGTAATTGCTCCACCAATTGTCAGACATTCAGCAATTCATCGTGGCATGCTCCTAATCAACCGTCCAATCATGATTTGGGGCAATCTGACCCACTCCTCTTGTAGTGCCACGGCCAATTCTTGCAGTGTTGTCGGTTGACGTTGACGTCTCCCGAACACGTCTTTCATAGGGGAAAGGTCAGGACTCATGGCCGGCTAAGGCATATGGACAATATGGTAACGCTGGAGGTAGTCATTCACGACACAAGCATGGTGGACACAGGCATTATCATCTTGAAAGATGAAACGTCGACCTGCACGTTGAGCAAAGGGCAGAACTATTGGTGCCAGGATGTGGTCATGGTAGTACACACCAGTGACCCTTCCTTGAACAATAATCAAGTTCGTTCTGCGAGTCATGGTGGTTCCTCCCCACACCATAACAGACCCACGCCCGAATCTGTCATGCTGTCCGACGTAAATGTTAGCATGCCACTCATTTACACGCCTCCAAACGCAAGCACGCCTATCGGTGAAATCCAGAGTAAATCTGGACTCATCTGAGAACATTACACACGCCCATTGACGATTACCCCAATTTCTACGCAGAATACACCATTTATGTCTGTTTGCCATGTGCTGCCCAGTGCTGGCAAGTTTATGGAGGCACAATACACGGTCGTCGCACATACAAATAGGCTGCATGTAGCCGATTTCTAATCATTTGAGGTGTAACTCGAATTCCTGTAACTTGGTACAAGTTTACAGAAAGCGGATTGGCCGTTTGTCCTCAATTTTGCAGGACCTGTGTACGATCCTGGGGTTGTGTAGTGGCTCTAGGACGTCCTGAACGAGGTCTATCATCAACATTGTGTGCTTGTTGGTACTGGTTCCACAGACTGTGACACATTAAGCATGTTGGCTACTGCTCGCTTTGTAGATCCAATTTGAAGCATGCCAATAGCACGTAGACGTTCATCATGTTGAAGATGTCTCATTGCAATTTAAATGAAATGGGGTTGAACGTCCTACTGTTTTGCTCCGAACTGGGCTAATGAAGACAAGGATACGTCATACAGTGTGCTATGAGGGAAATTTTGACCAGACAGCGGCACTACAGCCTACTCTTATATCGAATTCCAACTGTCAAGGGATCTTTTACGTGCACGTCTATGTGTACACAGGACCACGGTTTTTCGTATCATCTGAATGACTAGACAACTATCCTTGTCAGGCCCACCATCCTTGTCAGGCCCACCGTCCTGCATCACTGACAAGGGGGAACCACGGCGAAAAATCATTGCAATTTAAACGTAACACAATAAAGCAAAGATATGCTAAACAGTAAATTTTATGCAAGAATCGATATCAAAGCAAACATGGATAGGATAAACCCTTCCTTGAAGTGTCAAATTTGACAATGAACCCCTCCCACGTTTATGGCGCTATTGTGTGTCGCACCTGCAGCTCAGTGGTCCTGTTGGGGAGATAAGTTCTTCACCTGTGAACATACTCTCAAAGCATGTCAAGTGTCCATGACTATTTATCATATCACAACCTGCATAGGTATTTGCATTTCAATATCCTTTACTTTTTTTTAAGAGTATATTTTCTGGAATTCAAATCCATTTTTGCAATTTCTATGGAGAAATTTTTAACATTTAAAGATATATTTCACCATTCACGATCTTAAACACAGAACTATCGATTGAAAAAGAAGATACAATTACAATCTACCTGTACCTATTTTGACTAACAACACATTTTAATTACTTTAACGTAGCTGTCTTAAGTACTGCAAATGATTGTATGTTATAACTTATGTATGTTACTGAACGATTTGACTTTACTCTACCCATTACAAATATCATATTTTCAGATAACCCTACTACTCTTGAGGAAATATATCTTTAAAGACTGAAGAAATTGTTTGAATAGTAAACATAAAATAACATTTTGTAAATTATTGTCTTACCAATAGAAATTTTTTCAAATTCTTTAATAATATCTTTTTCTCCTTCGGGAGTTTCTGGAATTCCTTCATAGAATAAAATATAAGCATTCCACCATCTTTTCTGGCGACGAAATGCAGATCTGAAATTCAACAAGCATAATCCTCTGAACTGAAGCATAACACATTTCACCTTGCAGCTATTCAACAAAACGAAAGCATGAATTCTGTGTCTTAAAGAGCCAATCTCTATTATATTTTTGAGAATAAAACTGGTTAATTTTGTGTTAAAAGCCCTTAAAATCCTCTACCTCCATCTGGAAATGGAGACCTATGTTCCAAGCTGTATTATATGGTGTCTGGATAAAATCAAACTTTTATTTTATAAAAATAATGTATAGGTGAGAACAGCAATAGACTATCAGTCACCCAACAAAAAAAACTGACCCGAAATCTTAAAAGGGTTACGTGTCCGGATAAGTGGTCCAAATAACCCAATATTCCTGTTATTTTGGTGCTTAAATTTCATATGTACACAGACTTTTATTGATAAAATCAGGGTAGTCCCTTAAACCCTTTTAATGCAGTATAAAAAGTGTGGAGATTTGTAAATCTCTCCTCTTATGTGAATTTCTTCATTCTTATTTAATTTTCAGAATACGACTATTATTGGCAATCATTACTATGCTTGGACTTAATGATGGTATGAAAACTGGATAGCAGGAAAACAACAAAATTAAGTTATAGTATATCTCATTGAAAAGGCCATTTGTATATAATTCAACAATTTTATTTAGTTAGGCCATAGTTATTTGATTACCTTGTTTATAGATCCGCCGACCCTGCTTTTCACAAATATGGAAAAAGAATATAATTCTAACATGCGTATTGTTTCTTTTATTGACACCGACCATACTTTTCACAAATTTGAAAAATATAACCGTTACACGTGTAGGTTTTATTGTCATTTTGCCGTTGACTACAATGTCCTGTCACCGATGACAGACATTGATCAGCGTAGCGCAGTCACAGTAAACTGTTGCGACCTCAAGCGAGTTATTCATAATGGCTGGTTTATCGCAGGACATTTTGTCAAATCAAATTGTTGTTAAAAGGAATGTATGATTATCCAGTATCATTATGATTGTCCTTGGGGATGTGTACCATATTTTTCGTTGTAAAGGAGAAAATCTCTAACTATCACCCAAAAATGTCGTCCATGTCGAGTGACATCATCTGCTAAATAGCATAATAGTTATAGTAATAGCAACACACCTTGTTCTAACTTTTCATTTGCATTTCTAAATATACTATTCAAAAAAAGTAGGGGATATTTGATTTTTAAGTGTTATTAAAGTCACCTAATGAAACTGACGAAGAAACAAATGACAAAATGAAATGTAGTTCACATTCATCGATTTATTCCAAATGATCGTTAGACTAAGTAAGGCACAGACTGACCATTATAAGGGTAAAATGATACCCGGGGTCAAACAGCAAAGTTACCACAGCATCACAACCAAGTCAGTAACGGGTAAATCCTCCTCTGTTTGCCAAACAAGCATTGATCCGACGTGGCATACTCCTAATGAGACGTCTAAGGTCATTTTGGTCCAGATTGTCCCATTCCTGTTGCAACGCAGCAGCAAGTTCTTGGACATTGGCAGGACGTTGTTGACGTTGACGTAACCTCTGTCCAAGCATGTCCCAGACATGCTCGATGGGGGAGAGGTCGGGACTCAGTGCTGGCCAAGGTAATGTGGTGATGTTCTGTTGTTGGAGGTAACCTGTAATGATCCTGGCCCTGTGACATCTTGCGTTGTCATCCTGGAAGATGAAACGGCGGCCATGACGTCGTGCGAATGGCACAACATGGACTGCCAAGATGTCGTCCCGGTAGTACTGGCCTGTAACACGCCCTGCAACAACATGTAAAGCCGTTCTTCCAGCAACAGTAATGCCTCCCCACACCATAACAGAACCACCCCCAAATCGATCATGTCTGATGACGTTAACGTCTTGGAAGCGCTCGTTTCGACGACGCCACACCCTCCTACGTCTGTCCAAAAAATCAACAGTGAACCTTGACTCATCTGAAAACATCACATTGCTCCAGCGTCGATTATCCCAGTGTTGACGATCCCTACACCAACGACGTCTTGCCTGAATGTGATGATCTCTCAAACAAGGGATCACGCGAGGACGTCGGGCGCGAAGGTGACCCCTATGCAGTCGATTCCGAATCGTCTGGCCACTCACTCTCACACCAGTGTCTGTTTGAAGACGAGCGCTGATCTGATTTGCTGTGATGACACGATTTCTCAAGGCCAAGGTACGGATAAATCGATCCTGGGCTTGAGTTGTCGCCCTTGGTCGACCTGAGCGTGGTCTGTTCTGTACAGATTGTGTATCACGGTATCTGGACCATAGCCTGCTTATGACAGACTGAGAAACATTCATCGTCCGCGCCACAACCGCCTGTGTTGTGCCGATCTGTAGCATGCCAAGGGCACGTAACCTTTCATTTTGGGTAAGCCGACGCATATCAAAATTTGTTTTCTGGTCACTAAAACAATTAAACTGATGTTTCCACCCTGGAATTCAATGCCACAATGACTGTAACATTCAAAGTCAGAGTCGTGCAAATCTTGGGTTGGACCCCCATGATGATCCCAAGCATCACCTGCATTCCATGCGGTAGCTATTGGTGCGTTTGGGCGTCACATGTAACTGGAAATGTTTCTTCTGTTAGGTTCTATAGTGACTTTTTTCGTAGTCATTTGCATATTTTAGTATTATGCCCCCAAAATCAAATATCCCCTACTTTTTTTGAATAGTATATATCCTAGCTTTTTTAATTTTTATTTAAAAATATAACCACAATTCAGAATTAATCATAAAGGCTAGAAAATGCCATTACAATAGATTCTTTGCGCTGACATTCATCTCTCGTAATTTCTTGCGAGAATTCAGTTAAATTAACCAATCATAATAATTCTACTTTGCAAGCCTGAAATTATTTCTTTATTGTCCAATCAATAGACGCCTTCCATTTTACTTAATTATATTATTAGTAACATTGTGTAATCCTAATATTATCGCCATGTCATGCATGATCGAAGAGAAACTGTGTATTGTCTTGTATTTATCGTAGATATTGAATACAAAAATGGTTTAAATGAACCAAGTTCAAAACTTGGAATAAAACTGAAGTTAGTCCTACATTTAGCAACTAATTATTTTAGATTAATATTATGGGCCATTTTTTGACATGCATCAGAACAGTATTTATTAGACTAGGATAACACTCCAATTATTTTTATTTTCCTGCCGCCCGACCCTATTTTTGGGGAGAAAATCCGTAAACCAGGCAATCAAATAACTATGGCCTTATGAGTAAATTGACACTAACCTTTTTAACATATGGTCATATACTTCACCTAAATATTCACCACCAAAACATTGATTCTTCATTTCCTAAAATATATGAAAACGGTTTAATTCAGTACATGCAAAATAAGATTTTATTTTATCTTAGATAAAAACAATCATTTCTGGTACATATCGGGGTACATATTCAATCCAATAAAAAACACTTTTATTCAAAAATAAAATATAAATGAACTTATAATTCTTCCAAAGCTTATAGCTTTTAAGAAATCTGCAAAGTGCACCAAAAAAGGTCTAAAAATCATTTCTTTGGAATCAAATATTGGAATAACATTTAAATGTCTGAATAGTTTTCCATTGACATGGCCACAATTATATATCTATCCCACCGATTGTGCCACATATTCAAAAGAATCACTTTTACCTTTTTTATCAAAATTCCAGTAATTAAATTATTTTCTTACCTCATCATCATCCATCTTACATTCAGTAACATCACCATCGTCAAATTTATACCATTTAGCTGCTGGATCAGTAGCACCCCTACAAATGTATATGGGTAATTCTTTTAATGAGGGGTATAATTGAAAATTCAAAGCAACAAAAACACCTATTTTCTGATCACCAATTGTTGAAAAGATAAGTTGCCAGGCAACGAAACATACGCACACAGCAGCTAAGTCGTCCGGGAAGTCAACAAGGGGTGTCGCATATTTTTTACTTTTGTCAGAAATGAAAACATTTATTACAACACATTAAAATTTGATTACGAGTAACAACCCATTTGGCTTCTAGTTCTGCCCTATTTTATAACATTTAGCATACAAAACATTTAATATTTAAACACTATGTATAAATTTAAAGTCATAAAGTCAATCAAATATTAACTTTAGTGTCTAGAGCGTCCACAAGATATTTCAAAGTGATCAAGCGCCATAACTCCATAACTCAGGCAGTAATTATCGGATTTCGTTGAAAATCAATAGACTTCTTCGTCTCATGACCCTAGAGCATCCACAAGATGTTTTAAAGTGATAAAGACCAACACTCTGGCAGTAATTATGGGAAATTGGTGACAATCAATAGGCTTCTTTGTCTCTTTAAACACTGTGTATAAATTTAAAGTCAATCAGATATTAAGTTGAGCCTCTAGAGTGTCCATAAGATTTTTCAAAGTGATCAGGGCCATAACTCTGGCAGTAATTATAAGAAATTGGTGAAAATCAATAGGCTTCTTTGTCTCATGACCTTAAACACTGTGTATAAGTTTAAAGTCAATTGGATATTAATTTTAGCCTGTAGAGCGTCCACAAGCAATTGTGGACACCGGACCGACGGACGGGGCAACGACAAAAGTAATTGATCATGTACTATGTTTATTATTTTATATATATTTACATTTAAAATATTCAAAATCAGTTTGTGTTTAAATTTTTCAATGTTGCAATTCGTGGCATCCTTGCATTTTTGTGTTACGTTTTGGGGACATTTTGTACTTAACATTTTAACAACTGGACCATGTTGAGCACAAGATCAATATTTCCAAATATTTTCACTAAACATGCAGCAGAGAATCTAAGATCTTGTTTACTTAGTTTTCATTTCTAAACAAATGGTAAGTATTCTCAATTGGAGGATTTTCAATGGCGTCCCACAACGTAAATTTTTGTGTCCCTAATATTTATGTTTTCTCTTCTTTAATTGGCATTTAGTAATTGAACATATTAACACAAGGTACAATTTTATGGATACACAATTACTGAGTTTGATACTAAGCGACGTTTCGACGAGGATACTCTTGTCTTTATCAAGCAAATGATACAGGTATGTTAATAGTAGGCAAATGTATATACAGAATATGCAACAAAGATAATAATCAAATGCAATTAAAGCTTAACACCTTTGATTAGGGGGCCATTAGGAACTAAACCTACACAACCGAAATCTCTTACAGGGATTAAAAGGAGGTGAATGCTTTATTTATAAAGATCAGTGTATTAACACTGTTAATGGAAAACCAATTAACATGAGCGATAGATAAACAATAATATAATTGAATTAATATATTTTATATTTTTATAATTTTATTTTTAATTTTTAACATTTTAATTTATTATTATTTTTCTTTACACCTGCATCAGCAATCACTCTTGTTCACTTATACATACACACTTCTCTTTATATTATTGTTTATCTATAGCTCAGGTTAATTAGTATTTAGCAATGTTTGCGATATGTACTGATGAAGTGAGACGTATATACATGTATACTGTATATATGCTGGGGTAAGATTATTCCTGTAGGTATCGTCAGCTCAGATTATTCTATTCTGATCAGCTGGAATGCCTGGAATACCGAATAAATATTCATTAACTCAATATTTGGTTAACAGACTTGTCCGATATGAGTGATAGAAGAAATGCTCTTTTTCGTGTCAGCAGCAGTGTGTTTTCGCAGCCCGCCGAACTGTCTTCAGAAATATTCTGATTGACACTGACAGATTTAAGCTCTGAAGCCATTTTATTCAAAGAATAAAAGAAATATTGTCCAGATATGTAAAATATCAATGTAATTTTGAACGGACTGGGTAATAAACGACAAACCACCTCTTCGTTACTATGGCGACGTATATTGTCGCGTGCAGTTTAAATGCATCATTCCGAGTAGGGGTATCCTTACAGTTATAATATCAATCATAATTATAAATATTGTGGATGCTTTCTTCGTGGGGGTATGGGACCAGACTATATCAAAGCGTAGCCAACACATGTATGATAACGATTAATATTATTCAGTGAAATGTACTTGATACATGAGACTAATGTCGGTCAGTTGATCCTTTGCGTTAAAAACGTCTGTCTCAAAGTCTGTTGTGGAATTTGGAAAATGGAATAAATCTATTATCGGCACTTGTTGCAATTTGATTTCTTCTTCATTTTGGGAGTATTTTGAATGGATTTAACGGGAATTTCAAAATGAAAATATCGTCAAATTTTTTAGAATTATCGTGATAAAGCGATATTTGAGATTTCCGATAATAGTATCGCCTGACCTAATTATCGCGATATATCGCCATCGCTGGGGTATCGCGGCAACCTTACTTTACACGAGAAATCTGTACGTAACCTGTGGATGAATGGATGGATGGATGGATGGCAACGGTTATGTAGAAGACAATTGGGTGGTTGATTTGATGAACTTAAATTAGGCAACATGTACTAACCTATGAAATATATAGGAATAATAATGACCGCCACTAGCTTGTCCGCTATGTACAACTACTCCTATTAATCTGTATTTAGTATTCTGTACTTTTTCCTGACATTCATCATCTATAATTTCACCTTCTATTTTAGCTAATCCTTGTACAGTGTAAGGCTCCATATCAAATTCACGGGGAAATTCAAAGTAATCATTAAATTTAATTGCACATTCCCTGAAAAAGATAAGCATTTAATTTGTAAATACAATTAAATAATGATATCAGACTCATTGTTGGTGCAATTTAATTAAATAAATAATCCCTTAATCTACATAAAAATAACACTCCTTAATTAGGAATTCCCGGTTAAGTTGCATATTAATTTTCCAGATTTTTGGCAACTGGTGGTAATGTTATCCTAACAATGTTCCATTAATAGGAACAAAACCAATATATTGAAAAAATACCTTACCTTTCCCAGTCATAGTCAAAGCGTTTTAATTGAATTGCTAAAACCTTTGGTAATTTACGTATCACTAGTCTTTTTACAGTATCAACCTGCAAAATAAAATATCTGAATCAGTTTGATCAGTTTCTTAACAATATTTATTTAGGGAAATTCCCGTTAACATTACCTGGTTGACAATCTGATTAAAACACAGATCCTATTTCATTTCTTATTTTTTAGTTCAAAATTCTGTAACTTGCCCTCACCACACTAGGATCTGGAAGAGTTGTTATTTAACCCATCTTCTGGTTGATTTGAGGGATTAGCTAATCAAACGGTCTGGTGTGCCACGCAAGGAACTGTGAGTAGACATTCGCAGCAACGACAAAGTAAAAAGTAAAAGTTGCATTTCCAAATACCTATTTGAAACATCAACGCTGATTGGCTAATCAAATGTCTGATGTCATAGGGTCAAAACCCACTCGTATGACCTCCCACTACAACTGGTCAGATCTTCATGTAGTGGAGGCCATCGAAAGTGAAAAACAGCGGCTGCCAGGCAGAATACGCCCACAGTTTGCAAGAGATGGACAGAGAACAAGCTAAACACAAACACGATTTTTTGTACAATCAGGGACAATAATCCAGAAAGTTATGGCCTGAAATGTGCAACCAAAAGGTATTCTACACAATTTGCGTACAAAGAACAGACATTTTGTCGGGCAGTATCATTTTGATTTTCCCGAAATTCGAATTCAACCTTCATCATGGTGGAATGGTGATATATTTAAATGGTTTTTAAAATCGGAAAAAAATTGTGACCTCTAGAGAAAACGCAAGCTAAAAATGCGATTTTTCGAACAATTAGGAGCCATAATCCAGGAAGTTAAGTTCGGGTATTCGCGATTATCAAAAGGAACCAAGATCTTAGTGTGTAATGGTGATATATTCACACATTTTTTTTAAATCGGATAAAAATTGTGAACTCTACAGGGACCACAAGCTAAAAACATGATTTTTTGTTCAATCAATAGCCATAATTCAGGAAGTTACGATCCGATATGCGCGAATATCGAAAGGAACCAATATCTTTGGGTTATAAACATGTATTTCAAGTTTCATTGAAATCGGATAAAAATTGTGACCTGTAGAGTGTTCACAAACAATATTGTGAACAGACGGATGGATGGACAGGGGTGACGACAATATACGTCCACATGAAAATGTGGGCAATGGGCATATAAAAAACTAATGATTCAAGGGATGTAGAAAACTGCATCCTATTGGTAAAGCAGGTGGTCTGGGAAAATGCTCTGTATGGTTTTTGCATGGGTAATTTTAAATGAAACAGCCCTTATTTGTAACATGTAAATGAAATATTTTACTCTATTGAATCAAACTCAACAGATTTCTCGTGACAGGTATCTCCTTATGGGAACAGTTAAACTAAAGACTAACATACCTTTTTGTTACATTTTTCACAATAGTAGGCATTACCAGCTTCTAATAAATCTCCTTTAACATACTGTTCTAAAGATTCAAATAAATTCTGATGATTTCTGATATCCACATTTAATGTTGTAAAGGCCTCCTCTCTCTGATATCTGCAACACAAAATACCAATAAAAACAGGTACTTAACCAGTAAAAACTAATAATGAAATTATTTTAAGTTTTACAACGAAAAACTCACATATGATATTTAAAACTACTTTAATGATGGTGAAGACTGAAAACCTTAAATGCAATTGTCTCTGTAACGTGAGTATAGTAAATCTAACTAAAGTTCCTACCTGTGAGGACAGTCTTTACAAATTTTTTGATCAGCGAATGATCCTCCTAATATATTAGACATGACTGTTGGTTGGTTCAAGGCTTTCAGTGATTCATCTAAACTATCAACCAAACTATTAAAAAATTCTAATGCATCGTGTTGTTCTCGTAAATTAACTGGTTCACCCCATAACCTGCAAATAAAACATCTCATTAAATCTGAAATACGTATTAAGAAATTAATGCCTATATTGTATACCACTGGCACATTGACAGAATTCTATTCTATGACACAATTAAGGGTAATAATCAGAAATTGTTGAAATACAATAGAATTCTTTATTTCACTAGTCTGACTCTGAACAATGCAAATAATTTCAAGGATATCAGATTATAACTTTTCTGAATAAAGTGTTCATAAGATTTTACAAAGTAATTAAGGACAATTGTTGAAATTCTATAGGATTCACAAGGTACAATTTTATGGATACACAATTACTGAGTTCAATACTAAGCGACGTTTCGACAAGGATACTCTCGTCTTTATCAAGCAAATGAAAATTGCACACTGTATTCACATGGGTAATAACTCTAGAAGTAATCTGTAGAGTATTCATAAGAAATTCTGGACAATAGACCGCTGGACATGGGCAACAACAACATACAACCATATTTCAATTTGGCCTTATAAGAATTACCATGTAAGTGTCAACATGACCAAAATGAAGTGAAACCTATTCCATTACTTTTCCCCAATTTAATCATTGAAACTTACTTGAAATGTTTCCAAAAGCCTCTAGGAACAAAATATTGTAGTTTACTAGCAGCTAAATGACCAAATATATATTGTATTTGTTTTAAAACACCCATATCATAATCTTTTCTTTCTTCTTCTCTCGTTCCTTTCTCTTCTTCCTTCCTTTCATCATCACCTATACCAATATCTATATTTGTCTGTATATAAAGAGTAGAATTTAGCAAGCAACCTTTATCGGTCAATATTTCATTAACAATTTAAAAACTGTAAAAGTAGAGATTTTATGCACCATTCAGACTAATTTAATGGCTATACCAGTTACCCATAAGAACTGGTCATATTTTAACATTTACAATGTTTTGGCATGTTTTCTCTAAAGATTTAAGAGGGTATAGTGAAAGTAATAAATGGTCATCTGAGGAAACCAGGCACTTGTCTAGATAATCTTGCAAGATGAAAATTTGATATATAAATGATGTAGAAGAAATTCAACCATGTTTATTTATTAGACCTAGAAAGTCTTATGGTTTATTGCCTAGACATAACCTGTATCTATGCCTAAATAGAACTAAATAAATTGAAAAAAAAACAATTCAATGAGCTTACAACTCATTATTATTTTTTCCATAACCTGTATGTTCTGTGCATAACTTAATTTATAGCCCACTATAGTCTATATAATACCATTGTTATAATAATATCAATATTAGCTCTTACCTCACACTCGGTTTTCTCATCATTACTATCATCATCAAAATCATCAGCTGCTCCCTCTACACCTAATATACCAATTCTTACAGGTTCTATCATAAAAATCTACAAGTATAAAATACACCGTCAAAAATTTCAACTCCCAAACCTAGAAGGTTTACTAGATTGTTAGTCGAGAACTAGAGGATTGTTCTGTTACCGCTTTGTCAGTAATGATAAATCTTTTGTGTGAAGAGTCGTGAAATAATGAAACATGATTAACATGTTTCATCTATCTTGTTTGGTAATCAATTGGTAGATATATTGGTACATGCCTCGCTGTCTGATATTAAGTTCAATCCTAGAACATTGAATTGCTATGTTTACTCTGATTATTCCAATAATATGTGTGTATTAAACTTGGTGAACAGGCCTTATTACTGGTAACATATTTGACCAAATGGCAAATGCATAAAAAAAAGAACACAAAAATAGCCATCTTACTTGTTGCAGCACAGAATTCATATAACATGTGGCGCCAGCATTCTTTAAACCAACAAAACCTTTGGGAGGTCGTGGACCTACAGGTGGTAAATATTCCCATTCTGTAAGTGCAGGATCATCTACAAAAATTCAATACATAATCTCTATAAAACATATTAACAATAAAGACATTAATAAAAACTGATAAATGTCATTTAATATAGACACAAACAAATTGATATATAAAATCCAAAGAAATCGAAGAGTGTGATTTTACCGCTATAGAATTTCTTGCAAACTACAGAATTGTGAAGGTTGAATCTCTAATAGGAATATCAGTTCAATAATGGTTCAATTCTGTTCATTATTTAATTATTTACAAAAACACATGATGAATTGAAAATTCCATCAATCTATGTTGCTCCCTATACAACAAGTTTGCCGCTGTCTTTGTCTGCCTTTAACCAAATTGAAGGACCTCTTTATGTCCGATTGAATCCAAGCTGGGAGATCATTGTTGATATTTTTATTTTGTTTTCTTAATTTAATGTTAAATATTCAATCTGAATACTTATTAACATGGATTAAGCCGTGAGAAATTGATATTTGCCTAAAAATGCAAATCATAAATGTTACTTTAATAATGCATAAATATAGTACTTACTAGTGTAATACATATCTATTATCACAGAAACTAAATATTGTAGATTAGGTAAACAAGCTGTACATAAAGCTACTAATAAATCAAATGCAGGTATAATTGTTGATGAAGAAGAACAAACAGGTATGGCCTCTTCAGCAGGAAATTCACCAGATTCCGTTTGACAATTTAACATCATTTTTGAGGCTGGGAAAACAAAATCCTCCACAATTTCCTGAAACATATCAAATACATGATGAATAGTTGACACTAAGGCTGGGAATCGATATGAAATTTCAATATCGATTATCGGCAAGAATTTGTCAGCGATTATCGATAATAATCGATTATCAATCATTCTTCCGGAAAAACCGAACTTTACCGACCTGTTATTTGTGTTGATCGAGTTACAGTAGTGTTATTATCCTAGTCTAATACTGTGCCGATGTACGTAAAAAAAAAAATCAATTAATGTAAAATAATTAGTTGCTAAATGTAGGATTAACTTGAGTTTTATTCTAAGTTTTGTTCTTGATTCATTTGAACCTTTTTTTTATTCCAATATCTCCGATAAATACAAAGACAATACATGGTTTCTCTTTGCAAGTTACTGGCGATCACACAGTGTTACTAATAATAGAATAAAATATAATAGAAGGCGTCTATTGATTGGACAATAAAAAAATAATTACCGGCTTTCAAAGTAGAATTTTATGATTGGATAATTTTGACGAAAACCAAAGTAGAATTCTTCCAAGAAATTACGAGAGATATAGATATTTTCCCGGGAAGTCAAAAACGTGTTTTGTATGGGCTGTATCTGACATGATTTAGTAATAAAAGCTGAGTTGATCATTAATAATACAATTAGTTTTATCGTGAAAGCAGACAATTTCTCTACAAATCAATCAAGAGCAAAAAAGGGAGATAATTCTAATTTTACTATATCACGTGCGATCGTCATTGTTCACAAAGTGCGTGACCTATTTTAGTTTCAACTAGTAATAATAATAACAACAAAAAGAACGAAAATATTAAAATAATGTATTTAATCTTAAAGTTTAGTTTTTTTTACAATAATATATATTTAAAATGTGCCAGTTTGTAAGCAGAGGGGGGAAATAGTTGTTGTGTTGACGTTGTGTATTCGTTCATTCGTCTGCATGCCAGACTACGGCAAGTTCAGTCATGTGAAAGTGACCGTAACTTGCCGTCAGAAGGTAAATATACCGATAATCGATATTTGAATTTCAATATCGATTATCGTATCGCTAAATAACTTCTACCGATTATCGATTATATCGATATTTTTGCACAGCCTTAGTTGACACAAATATATGGACAAGTCAATAATATTAATGGGATTTACAATAACTATCAGGAAAAGAACAAGATTTTGTTGGACCTGTGCAGGTGTTTTCACATCTAATGCCCATTTAAATACTGTATAAATATTCTACTCATTATTCAATGCTGTTTAGCATTGGATCCAGATGAAATCAACAATGTCTGGATTATTACTGGTACATTTTCAGATTTACAGAAATTGTAGGTCTTTCAAATCAGTATATTTTTCCTTTATCCGTTGATTTATTTTCTAATATTAGGAGATTTCAATGAATTAATATTATAAAACATTTTATAAGGAGGCAAAAGTTTTAAATGCCTTGAAAAACTATTTGAATATGTATATATATGAATATTTGTGTGAGCACTAGCACTGGCCATCTTAACAGCTGGGATGATCACTTATTGAGAACAATTACATATTTTATAATGCGATAAAGAGTTTGGTTCCTATCAATATCAATCTAATTAAAACACAGATCCTATTTCGTTTCATTTTTTATAGTTCAAAATTTCATTTGACTTGTCTTTACTACACTAGGATCTGGAAGAGTTGTTATATAACCTGCGTTCTGGTTGAAGTGAGGGATTAGCCAATGAAAGGGTCTGTTGCAGAGAGTTCTTGGCGTGTGAGGCACGGAACTGTTGGTATTCTACTAGAAACATCAATGCTGATTGGTTAATCAAATGTCTGACATCATTGGTCAAAAGATGGTCAGATCTTCATACAATAGAGGCCATCGAAAGTATAAAAAAACGAAACGAAATATAGATCTGCATTTTAATCAGATTGTATCAACATGTACATGTCAGATACTAGTTTTAAATCTTACCTTGATTAAATTATCTCCTCCATTTTCAGATCCAATTTTATATTTTTTATCACAAGATTGAAACGCTAACAGTTCACGTGTAATACCTAAATGACCTTCTAAAAGAGCTTCTTCTGTTTGCAATTCACCTGATGTAGCCACTTGTTCCTAGTACAAAATAACAGGTTGATAAATATAATATCAAATGTCACTACCATCCAGACATTTACATTTTCAAAATATGAAACTAAACTTCAGAGAGAGAGAGAGAAATGGGGTTTAACATCCACTCGACACAAACTAGGTCATTTCGGGACTAACACATGGTTCAATTGTATTTCAATAATTCGAATGCGCGTAGGGGTCTTTAGCAGTGGGAGGAAACCCACAAGGTTGGACAGGCGACCCTACTCCTTGTCACGTACAACCGGGGAATCGAAACCCCGCCAGTTGACTCAATGACAGACCGTATCATACAGCGCAGTGCGCACGTGCTAACCATTCGGCCATTCACCCCCCCTAAACTTCAGAAGAAAAGGGAGGGAAAGAGTTAAAATTTAAAAGAAGCAACATATTTTATGAACAAGAAGGATACAGCAGGCTGTATTACTTTCAATGTTAAACCTTTCATGTCACATTAATTTCTTGACTTATAGTATTTCTAATTAATATTTGTGTGTTCATTTTTAATGCTTTATAGTCCACCCAGATGTAATTATCAGTCAAAATTATAATAGGGCAACCTCCAGTTATTAGCTCAGAGATCATAAATCTGCAGCAACAAAAATGAATTATACAAATAAACGGCTCTTCAACAGAGGTAAAACATCATATGTATAAGTATGCTCTCCGTATAAAGACAAGGATAATGGACTCACCTTTACACCTTTTAACCACACTATTTCATTATTGAGCAGAGCTTCTGCTGTTGGAAGAGTTGTTTCACTTGCACAAGCATAACCCAATAACCTGTAAACAGCCAATTATAAATACTACACCCCCTCCATAACAATAAACATAGTTTTTTGTCTTTAAATGTTCCTGAACACTAAATCTCTAAACTCCAAGCTTGAAGAAGAATTAATTTAGATAAGGAGTTGTCTGTTCTTTCCATAAAGTTTAAAAACAGATCATGAAAAATTTAAGAAAAATTATGAGTTATGAATGTGTGAAGATTTGACAAGAAAAGGCGTCAATAATTTCAATTGTGAAGTACCATTGCTATGATAAAAAGGGTTAATAAACCTATTTCCAAATACAAACTTTTATAGAAGACTTTGTTTAAGTCTATGATGGGGGACCAATAATGCATTCAGTTTTGTATAAACCAATAATTGTGGGAATAATCATTTGTAATCATGAATGTGATATGGAATTCTTATGCATAAGTCGGTGATGAGAAATTTGTGACTAGGAATGGTTAAGGGTGTTTTGCTCTGATTAGTTACCAACCATATATGGGATTGTTAGCCACAAACAATCCTTGGCTTGCATAGGCCCATAAGCCCTTAGTTCAAATCAAATTGTAAATGAACTTACTTGCACAATAATTGAAAGTACTCATGGGACTGTTTGGCATATTCCTTTGCTGTGGACTAAAAAAAAAAACATCAATTTAAAAATCTTTGGTGTGGCCTTATTCATAAAATCTCTTTTGAACTAATTAGCTTTGAATAGAGGAAATGATTTTATAATTCAAATATGTTCATTAACTCATAATGAATTTCACAACAAAGTGAGAAATATACTGATATTGTTCTACTTACAGTTAGCACTGTAAATAGTAAAGTAATCAGAAAGACAAGAGGGCGATGACTGGTGCTACATTTAGTAGCCATTAAAAAAAACTGGTCTCCAGCACACTTTCTTACATCTCGACTGTAAATAAAAGAATGTACGGTATAGGAAATAAATGAAATGAAATGGGATTTAACATCCTACTTTTCTGCACCAACTGGGCTAATGAAGACAAGAACAAAAATAATAAAACTCAATGGATTGGACATTGTAGGCCTAATTCTTTAGACCATTATTTAGAATCTTTAAATTCTTTTACCAATAAATGAGAAACTGCTTTTTTTTGCAACATTAAATAATTTGACGATTGATATATATTTGCCAGTTTATTTCTGAGATAAGTGGTATCAGGTGTTCAGAAAAAAGCATAATTAAACTACATTGCTTCATTTACCAATTCCCTCATTTCTTGAAAGAGTGGTTTTCAAACTTTAATTGCACAAAAATGCCCATTTGAAAAGAAGAAACAATCTTCAAGTTTATAACAAAGATTAGACAACAATTATATTAGATTAAAATGTTTTCAACTGACCTTGATTTACATATAAGTAATAAATCTGTAATAAAACTCTGCCAGGCTTTATCTTTATTTAATGATTCTAAAGCAGACGGACAGAGTGCCAGACATACAGTTAAAACTTCCATAGCTTCTCTAGCTACCACCATATCTTCACAATCTGGTGCCACACTTTCTTTAACCTGAGAAAAATAAGATAAATACTGATCAACCACATCTATACTAATATTTGTCTGTCTGATCAGGGTTGGTGGCTACACTAGGGCTGTCCCAAGGCTGAAATTTGGTGTATAGCCATAGGGATAGCTCGGACCGGGGAGTAACATGGGCTATGTGACAGACTACTGCTTCCGCTTTCAGAGTTATACTACTTTCAACCCATGCAGCACCAGGTCATTCTCTAGTACATATATTATTATACAAAAATAAAATCTGAACTACAAGTAGATAAAAAGTTAAAATAAATATCATGTTTATAACACATGGTTGTATTTATCCATTGTATAATATTTCAACTGATTAATACTATTTGATTACAATTCATTTACAAATATCAATTTTAGTGCCACTTAGTAAAATGTCTGGCACAGTTGATTTAAATGAATTGGAAGTTTACCCTTTTTTTGGGGGGGGGGGGGGGGAATTAATTTAACTTTCTTTTGAAAATGTATTGAAATATAAAATAGAAATCAAGCAATTACAAATACCTTTTCATGTGCTTTATGAATATCTTCATTAGAGGCATGTACTAAATGTAAAGATGAACTACTAGCAGCCCATGCTATTTTCTGTATGGCTTTAACTGTTGATAAATCTGGTAAAATACATGTGGCCTAAAATACAAAACAAAATCAAAATTATAATTGTACTAAATCTTAGGAAAAAAATAAGTAATTGGGCTTTTTTGTCACTTTGTGGGGTTTGATCTGCATACTTTTACTGTCTCCTGTGAAATCTGGCACTAACCCTTTCATTAAAATCGAACAAAAAGTGGTTGAAAAAAACATATTGACATAATGAAGATCATAATAATACAAGAACTTACTTGCTGTCCCAAATGTTGACCAAGTCTAAGAGCTACACTTCTAGTTGTACATTCTGAATCTGGACTAGGTATATGCACTAATGTTTGTTGTAACGCTACAGCTTGATTATGTTCAACAACAGTAATAGTCGATGTTCCCGATTCACTATGGCAAGCATCAACTACAACCTGTACTTTAGCATGGCCTACTGTAGTTAACATTAATTTACATATCTTTAATACTGTCACATATGATGCTCTGAAATACAATAAACATAGTAGCAATGTGTAATAATTGTTATAGGGAAATTTATCCAGTATTGCCATGCACTACAATTTGTATACAATGCCACATTGTGACGACATCATAAGACTTGTGAGAGAGAGAGAAATGGGGTTCAAACATCCACTCGACACAAATTAGGTAATTTCGGGACAAACATGGTTCAATTTTATTTCAATAATTCCCTTGCGCGTAGGGGTCTTTAGCAGTGGGAGGAAACCAGAGGACACAGAGAAAACCCACAAGGTTGAACAGGGGACCCTACTCCTTGTCATATACGACCGGGGAATCGAAACCACGCCCGCTGACTCAATGACAGACCTTATGATACAGCGCGCACTTGATAACCATTCAGCCATCCAACCCCCCTCATAAGACTTGTACTACAATCTCTGATTAACACGATTGTCGTTCATGAAAGTTAAAGGCACTGATTATCATTTGAATTTTTCAAACAATACATAATTTTTCACAGCTTAATCAATGCTAAAATTTACTCAAATTGATAATTTTAATATTTAATTAGTAAAATAAAATCAAAATAACAATGGTACATAATCTCCCAGCTAGGAATCAATTGGAATCAAAATGTCCATCAAAAAGTTTTAGTAAGGTGGTGCTGGCTTGTTATGTCCATATCTTGTTTATATCGTCTGCAGAGGATTGCGAATTTTGACAAATTGTCGAATAATCATATCTTTGTAAATACTAGATAGAAACCAAGATGGCAGTTTTATGATCTAAGCTACGTTGTCAGACCACACATGTGTACAATAGAAACTATTTTGGTTATAATGGTTATAAGGATTTTTCGGATTTCCAAAACAAATTATTTAGAAAATCCTAGAACCAGATATGGTACACATCGTACTAGGGTTGGGAATGGGCAGAGTTTTTACAATCACTCATAACTAAAGAACTGCATGACCTGATCATGAATTAAACAGATATAATTGATCTTGTCAAAAATGGATTATCATTATGATTGATTTTATTTTTGCACACCCCTAGATCTATCAATGTTTAAGTTGATGTATATGTTAGTGTACCTACCTTCTAGTCGGTAGTTCTACACTTGGTAAAAAATTGTTTTTAGTTAACATGTTCATCGATAAAGCAACTCCGCCACTACGTTCAAAATTATACTGAAATAAAAGAAAAACATTTAATTCCATATAAAGCATAATAACTTTTAAGCCATAAGTTATAAACCTACTTATCTTCATTGACAACTATAACAAAGCAAATAATTTTATCAATACTTTAAATGCTGATAATACTAGTCAAAGGCTTTGACCGGAAGTCATATTTCACACTGTTATCATAAACACAATGCATTAATTCCATATTGTAATTTTTTTATAAGAGCAGTCATATTAAACACTAATCTTTGTCAGGTGGCAATAATTTCTTGTCACATTTTAGTCCAACAAAGTTTATTCGCAGAAAACATTAGGCCTGACAACTCTTCCCGAAACATTCAATATTTTACCTGAAATTCAAAAGCTTCTTCTGATAATGGATCTAAAGCTGGCATCAGTAAACTGTACAAAACCTGCAAAATAAAACCATATGAAAACCTTACAGATGGAGAGAAAAGGGTCGGGTACTAGAGACCAAAAACTAGGATGATGCCTCGTTTTGAAATATTAATGTTTTGTTCAGTTATATTCATACCAATCAAACAAAAAAAGATGTTACACATTTTTAAACCCCAACATGCAAGAATACAGATTTTAAACAGTTTAAGACCATAAATAATCAAAAGTATTTTTATTCAAAAACTTAACTCAGTGCCATTTTAAGTTTACATTAGCTTCTACAATCTTTATCTAACAGATTAAAGTAACAGTAATTCTGTTATCTTTGACAGCTCATTCTTCATGAACATTTTCATTATGATTGGATGTGCTTAATTTCATAATCACAACAGTCTGTACATTTTGAGATCTTGCATGTTGTTCCTTTAAGGGGAAATACCAAGTTTTGTTTACCTCTATATTATATAATACTTGCGTTGGAGAATCATTAAAAAACATGGCTTCTAGTGAAGGTGATATACCACCATCAACTTGATTAGTCTCAGCACATATATTGCGGAATTTTTCTATGACGTTCTGATCTGAAAAAAATTAATTATTATGGCTGTCAATATCAAAGACTTTGTACAGTAATTAAGCAGATACAGTTTTGATATAGAATCTAAGATTTAATGATTTTTAGATATCAAAGTAAGACAAATGCTTCCATCTGGTAGCTAAAGTAACTGCAATTAAACAATGGGTGTGTGTAATTTCAAGTCCAGAATGTTCTAAATCAACAGAATTGCAATCCAGTGAGAAAGAAATGAGTCCTGCCACAGTTTTATCAGTCCCATTAACTGATGTGGTACACACAGAATAAAAAAACAAAACAACCGCCAGTGAACAGTGAACATGTTTCAGCTGTCATGGTTGGTTAAGATACTGTCTTATTAACGGGGCATTAGGTAAGATTAAATAAAGAGCTGAAAGTTCTTGCTATAATAGTTAAAAAAACAAGCCAACAGTGAGGCTGGTGTCCCCCACCGAAATCCCAAAATAAATAGATGACACATTAATTAATCACACATTTATTTTTTTCAAAAGTAGCGAGCAATCAAACTATACACTAAGTTTCATCACTCTCTATCAGATAGAATCAAGATTATCTTGTTCCAAAGCATCAACCAATGAAATTGATTAGCTCTGCTTAGCTTCAGCTTGAAATGTTAATCATTGAACTCAGCCACGAGATTCACCTAATGAACATCTACATCAAGTTTTAACATTCTACCTCAATTAAATGCAGAGTTGTTATGTCCCAAACTCTTGACCAATCATATTGCTTATTGCTCCTTAGCCTAAGCAGAAAATTCTCACCATCGAACTAAGTTAAGGTAATGATATAATGAAACTATACACCAAGTTTCATCACTCTCACTTAATTAGAACTTAAGTTGTCATGTCCCAAAGCATCAACCAATCGAATTGCTTATCTCTGCTTACCCTAAGCAGAAAATGCTCATCTTCAAACTCCATCAAGGCATTGACCTAATAAACACGTACACCAAGTTTGAACTAACTCAATTAGAAGGAGAGTTATTGTGTCCCAAAAAGTGTGACAGACGGACGGACGGACGGACGGAGACAGACGGACGAACCCATTTTAATAGTCCTCGAAAGGCAGGGGACAAAAATAATGAAAACTGAATATGCTGAAAATTCCAGTCAAATTGCTTCACTCTGAACCAAGATATTAGCAATTCAATTTTAGGCTAGCCTCGATCGTCATTACTAACGTTGGTACAATAATAAACAAAGCCTCAATTATCCTTCACAAAATGTATTCAAATCCACTAAATAGCACATGTTAATGATGGCATCGAGACCTGATTATGGTCTTGATGAGTTGATTAATGTCTAATTAAAAATTTAGATAACGTTTTATGCCTAAAGAAAGACCTGCAATAGTCACATTAATTTATTGTAAATAACTTTGGAAACATCACTATTTTCTGGTTTTCTTGACCAGACCTGGATCAAGATTCTGTCATATGCAGCACAAGGCATCTTCACAATATCATTGTATTTGATATACTCTAATACCTTGACTGCATAAGTTAAAGATGGTGATGTAATTAGTAAACTTCACATGTCCTTAACAAGCTGCAATCAAAGTATCTTATGTATGTCACTTGACAATGTGAAGTTGATGCACAGCTAGCATACAAAGATATAAAAGTAAATATTTCTGTATTTACCTGCAGGCATTAATTTTAAAACATGTCGAGCTGTATCTCGTAATTTAGGTACTTGTAATTGACACCCTAAATCTGATAGTTGAAACAAAAACTGGCAATATTTTACTGTTTGAGACATTAACTGGAAGAAAAACAAAGTTCACTTGGTTAGATTATTAATTCTAATATGTAAGTAACTTATATCATGTTATGTTATATGTAAGATGTAATATAATTTGTTCAAAAAGGGTTGCCAACTAAAATTACAGGAAATAACCTTTTCATTATGTTGAGTATGTTCTTGTGTTTTCTGGGGGGTTTTGTCAACAAGTTAATATGATTAATATAGACTGCCTCGACTCACATCCTGTCTATAGAAAATAAAACAAGGTATTAACAATGTAATGATTCTGGACCATTTATAGGCCACAGCCAATTCATTACATTAGTAATCCATTCCAATTGGTATTTTAGAAAACTATTATCTATTATTATGTTTGTACTTACCACACCAGGTAAAGATTGTTCAGCTTCTATATTTGGTCCATCGTAGGCGTTATGTGGTGAGCCAACAGAACTATCGGAACTACTATCAGGACTGGATGGCATATTACTATTTGCTTGTACTAATTTAGCTGTAATAGTCTACAATAAACACAAAATTATAAAGGACATTTTGAATACAAAAAAAATATTCTCAATTTATTGCACGTATTCATCTAACAATACCTTTGACCAATCACAATCTGTGCATTATTGAATGTACCCTATAAAGCAATGTCTTAAGATGAAGTGGGGCACACAATCAAACATTTTGGTGTAATTTTGAAAAAGACTGTGTATGAAACTAATTCAATAAATTACTGGGAGGCATTCTTTGGAAATGGATCAAATGAATTAATTCCTTATCTGAAACAAGTATCTTTTTAGCCAAACCAAAAAATTTCAATGGTTGACAAATATTGCCAATAAATTAAATGATCTGCTCTTTAAGCCAAGACGTTAAGGCTTGATCTCAAGCAAGGTTCATTTTTATTATTTTAAAGACATATTTTATTCCAGGTTTTAAACAAAATAACTTCCATGTTTTCAAGCGCAACTTACCATTTTATCTCGTAATGGTACATGTGAAATTAACTTCTTGTCATCTACTGTTTCAATCTGTTCAGCATTCAAAAACAACTCGACTTTAACATTATTAGCACTAGCTTTAACACGCTGTAAAATCTGTCTTCGTAACGAACCTACTGTATCATTAGTATGTGAAAATATTTCTAAATCTTCTACTTGACGACCTTGATTGGGAAATCGCACTTTTAAAGTAACAAGCTTTCCTTTACATGCTCTGAAAGATAACAAATAAAATAGATTAGTTTTTAGAATTTGGAAAATTTACTATACTTACAAGATATAAAAAATCCAAACCAATGTAAGTTATCTTTTATATTCATTGTGGTATTAGTGACAGTGAAAATCCAGTGAATAAGATGATTTTGATATCCGATTAAATCTTTGGGAATTGAATTCTCCCAATCCCACCAACATTTACAGGTGAGCAAACATGAGGACTTGGGGTCACAAAGAATGGATCAAATGAATGAGAAAGTGAATAATTCAACCATGACATCTAAAACATGTTTACTCTGTTGGATTACATCACAATTCTACTCAACCCACATCAGTTATCAGAACAGACAGAACTAAATTCTGTGTCATTCAATTTTTTCAATTTAGAACAAGTTCCATATGACACCAAATGACTCTTTTTAAAAAGACGTTGCCAGGCAACAAAACATACACCCACAGCAGTTAGTCATCCGAACAGCCCACAGGGGTTGTTGCATATTTGTTCTATCAAAAACAATATCTGAAATAGAAGCCTCACCTGCTAAGTGGTAGAATCATTCTTTCTTCACCGTAAGCTTCATCACATTCTGCTACATATTCCTTTAAAACTGTTAGAATTCTCACCATACGTATTGTCTCTTGCATTACACGACTAATAGAGTCTTTATCTTTCTCTAGCACTGATACCGTATCAAATAACGCTTTTAACCTATCTATACACGACTGTATAAAATCTTCATGTATTTCTACTTGACTTTGTTGTAAACGTGGACTTAGATTAGTAAAAATATCTTTTAATAGTATAATAGCTTTCTCTGCTACATCGTCTGGGCTCAATAACACCACCTTTAATAGAAAACACATTAATCATAGATGCAATAAAGAAATAATTTCAATAAACTGTTTCCTTTCAAGGTTATGGATGCTGTGGTTGCTCTAAATTGGGCAAGGATGGTTTGAACTAACAAGAATGGCTGAAGCCACAGAGTAGGCAAATGATAAATACTCAGATCTTCATATAGTGTTAACCAAAGCAATTTTAAATCAGAACAAAACCAAGATCTAATTTTATTCTTGTTTCTCTTTTCATGAATGTCTAACACCAGTGGACAGTGCGTAAAAAGCAAATTTAGATAAAAAAAATAAATTCTAATTTTTTCCTACCCTCCATAAATAATCTAAACCAATCAGCTCCATATCATCCATCATGTGACCTCCTCGCCGCTTAGCTATTAATTTATTTTCTTTCAGATTAACTTGCTTAAAAAATCTTTCAAAGCAACTGAAAGAAATGAATATAGAAATTAAATATACAATCGAGAAAAAGCTATTTAATGATTTTCATGAATATCCTTCCTTAGCTTACAGGACATATTTCATAATTATATTTTAATTTTCTTTATTCCATCTAACATGAAAAGTGTCTAAAAACTTACTTCATGCCATGTTCTGTTAATAAACTAGGATCTAGTTGTAAAATATTCTTTTCAAAAAAATCACGAGTTATTTCAGGATCGAGATCAGGTTCTTCTCCCATTAACTAAAACACATATTAAAAATTTTGTTAAGTATTAGAGTTCCACAGGGGTCTTGGGCTCTTTTCACAGCTCTTTAACTATGTACTCAATGATGGATATGTGGACAAAACCCACTTCAATGCACAAACTTTTATTAGATGCAGCAACAAATGGGAGAGGCAACACTTCTGCTATTTTTAAATCACTTTATCTTATCATTGAATCATTATTCCTTAACTACCAACTATGAGACCATACCAATTATTCTATTTTTACTCTTAAGACACATTCTTCAATAAATGACATGTAATTAATATACATGTAATTACTATATCCAATTATCAAAGGGATCTTTAAAAAATTTCTTCCAAAAATAGAAATGAATTACAAGATAATAAAAGTTGATTTACTTTAGCAAACCATTTAAAACAAGCTTCTCTGTCAGAAAAATATATAGCATTTTCTGCTAAACAATGCCAAATCTGAAAAAAAAATAAAATATATATATACGTCCTGTAGATAGTGCTAAGTTTTCATATAGTAACAGATAAATTTCCTATTTTAACAGCTTTTTTGATACTTTACATACTCCAGCAATGATGTAACTTTTATAAACATACTCTTGTTTCTCAACAAAATATTAACAGATGTCTCGTAGATCGTGGCCATTTTGCAGCCAAGAATTTTCATACCCCATTATTCAATACTCTTCACACAAAATGGTTTAAAGATGCATTATGTAAGCAAAATTTGTCCATTGAAGGTCTTTCTTTTAGTTTCAAATGTTATATAAATTATTTTTTCAACATTTATTAACATGAGAAGCCTATAATCAACTCCCTAAACAATCGGATGGCCGAGATTCAAATGGATTCAAACATCCACGAGATTTAAAACATTTAACGATAAAATAGGCAATCGAAGCTAAGTCTCGATTGTCAAGTACCATTGCTATGATAATGAATGATTGGCACTATATCTTCAAACAGTCATTACTTCGTTCAGAATAAAGGTCTAATTTAAATGAAATTTTCAATATATTGATTTATCGATATATTACCTATCTTTGAAGTATTATAGCAAGAACGTCCGGGTCTTTATCTAAATCTTACATAATGCATCTTTAAGAATGAAGTTCTATATTAATAAAGTAAGAATACCTGTCTAGCTTGAGGTTCACACAGCCATAACTGTCCATCTTTTAATAAAAATCTACAAATAGAAATATATTAGAATCATAAAGTTTATACAGTGATATAAAAAAATGAGTTTATGTACTTTCATTTGAATCTGGTCATATCCAAGATCTATGAGACAAATTTCCTCCTTTTTTGACCGACGCCAAGATGCAATTATTTCTGTTGACGGTGTTCATTATCTAGGACATACTCCACTGTATTGCAATTCTATGTGGAAAAGTTATGAATTACTACGAATACTTCTGTAACTGAAAAATCATACAATAAATGCAGCTATCTTCAAAAGACACATATTCAAAGTGTTTACAATTCCTTGCAAAGCTACTTGATAAAACATTTAGTACCTTAAAAATCGTAATCTTTCTTGGACTTGTACATTGTGATTAAATCTACCATCTGGATTTATTGAAGCTGGATCTTCTTCTGGATTTTCTAAAAATATATACAATTTAAAAGTGATAATTCAACGTGGGAATATCTCTTATAATGCTGTACAGACGGTTATAGCTTTTATTTAGTTGCAGAATTCATGAAATAAATCAAATAATGTCAAACGCCTACATAATCTTTAAATCTGAGTAATTTTTTTGTTCTTTCTTATATCGAATTCCAACTGCCAAGGGATCTTTTACGTGCACGCCAATGTGTACAGGGGACCTCGGTTTTTCGTCCCATCCGAACGACTAGACAGCTTTCCTTGTCAGCCCCTCCGTCCTGCATCACCGACAAGGGAGAACCACGCCGGAAAATCTGGATGAACTTTCTCAGCCAATGCAGGGATCGAACACCCGACATCCACGCTAGCAAGCCAGCGTCTTACCCACTTAGCCACGTGATCCCCCTGATGGGACACAAGCCCATATCAACAATTATTTTGTTATCAATAATGATGAGGATTCTATTCCTGTAAAAGGAATGAATATAAAATCATGCTTACCTTTATTATACTGTCTAGCTTTGTTCATATACGCTGATAAATTCTGTGAGACTAACATCACAATAGAATGTTGTCCTTGTAATTGACTAATAACATTATTTCTATAATACATATGAGCAGCACGCTGTGTGTGGGGAAAGTTTTGAGGTGCCTTTAAAAAGAAAAGAAAAATGAATTACAAGAATGTTAAATTCAACTCCAAAAGCTTTGCAATAATCAATATGTTAATTGATATATTTTTAAGATACACGTACAAGAATTATGAAAGTTTTGCAATACTTTAAATAAAGCAGTTTGTTTAATGAGGGATATGAAAACAGTTAAAATATAGTCTAATAACTAAATAAAGACATAATTTACCTCAGGAAAGAGTTGACATATTTCTCTTATCTGTTTTAAAGATGGAAGAACCCATTTATCATTTTTTAATTCTTCAACGAAACGATTTATCCACTGCATCTTCTGATTATCTCGATCCTAAAATCATAACATGTCAGCCAGTATGATTTACAAAATCTTATGTTAAGTACTACAACACTCACTGTAGATTAGGCACTATTAATCAAAACTAGATGGGTAATCCTTGTAATAATTACAACTTTCTAAGCTGTTGTAGTTTTTAAATTACCTATTCTAGGTAGAAACCAAACGCTATTTCTTCAGGACTAAATAGTAACTTGTCTCCGTTGATATTGAAGCCTTTATGTGAAATATATAAAGGCCTTGCTGCAACAGACCTCTGACATCAGGAATGTATTATAATTAGTAGCTTACCTGAGAACAACTATAATCTAATATCTTTATATGTGAAGTTAAAGCCTGGTCCATTATTTCTGTGGGTACCTCATCACTGTGAGCTAGATTCCATAACAATGTCAAAACCTGTAAGAACAATACAGAAATTAATATTTACCATACATAGGGTGCCCCACCATAAATAAATATCTCAACAATTACACCACAATATTTATATATATACCACATCTTAAATCAGTTTCGCACATTTATAGTCACTAAATAAACGGTCATGTTGTACTTAATAAGCTATGACCACTTAACCATCCATAAATAATACACTGAAAAATGGTTACAAGTGTCGGCCATAACATCTGAGCACTCTTGAGTAAAAAATAGGTTACATGCCCTTGTTTTGAAATTAGTCTCGCTTAACCAGTTAACCATTCTACGTCTGATTGACAAGCTGGGATAATCAAGACTACTTTTTAACGAAACATAACACAAAGCTGGAACAAGAAATTGAATTTAGAAAAACGCACGTTAGACAACTCAACAATTGTTTTAAGAACCTTGTGAAAGTAAAATGAAACTACCGCTAGTATCATGTTCTTGCCTAACCCGAATGTTTCAGAAATATTATTTGTACTAAACCAAAAGATGCCGCACCTAACTGCTATTCAGAATCGTCAACAATCAATTTTTTACGGCTGTAATAGTTGATAAATGTGTAGAGAATTTAACGTGCGATGGCTATTTATTGACTCATAGACTCCTGCATCGAGTGTAAATCGCACTGCGTGATTAGCCAGAAATCACTTCGAGACAAGCCACTGAAGCGTGCACATTCGCTGTGTCAAGTTCAACTTTCTGTAGGGAAAATTTTCACTGCACGGGGCACCCTACCATACATAATAAACCAAAACACAATTCAACACAATGTTCAATTTACCTTGTGAGCCATAACCCCTTCTTTATCATCTTCTGCTAATCTACGTATTAACTCTAATAATTTCTCTCTTTGTTTCTTACTGGCATTATTCCAACTTCCCTATTAACAAAATAACAATGAAGAAAAAATCTGTACATCAATACAAAACATGACAAATAAGAATAGTATAAAAATATTCTGATACTGCTTTTAATCCATCAAATTGATAGCCTTATGGTCATTGTGCGTACTTAGTGGTGCCATATATCAATAAATGTGGTTGTTTCAAAAAGATAAAATCATTATCAATGCCTCATCCAGAACATGAGAAATTATAGATCATTGTTAAGCCAAGATGGCATTTCTCCAAAGCATGAAAATGATTATTACGTGTATCAAAATTTATGAATAATGATATTACATTATAATGTGCATGTTGGGCAATATGTATTTGTTATTACAAATCTTACCTGAAAACACTCAAATAAATGATCTAACTGTTCAGCTGTAAAATCCCAGGCTAATTTGGCTAATAAATCATGGACATTCTTCACTATAGCATCATGTTTACCAGACTAAAATAAACAATAGAACATATTGGATCTAAACACAGAAAATGGCTAATATAATAATTTTTTGTGGTAACTTATAATAAAAGGGAGAATTTTGCCAGTGTATATTTGACTTCTTTACTGCTCTGAACTTTAAATTTAAATAACAAAACACAAAAAAAAGTTTTTGCCATATCTGACTTCTTTACTGTTTCCACATGCTGTCAATTTCATCTAATAGATAATATTACCTGAGCTTCCCATAAACGATCCAAATCTTCTATTGTTAATGCTTTTTCTTTGATCATAAAGCGTAATATTTTTTCTAATTTTTCGACATATTGTGGCTGATGAAGACTATCACGTAATACAATAGATAAAACATTGTTCTGTTGTATCCATTCCTGTAATATAAAAAAATATATTTTACATTCATACAATCGGATTAACAAACTAAAATAAACACAACAGTTCTATGGATAATAATTACTGTATTTCTATTACAGCTACATTTCAACATTGCTTCTCTTGTCGTTATCAAGCACATTTTAATGTGTTCAATTACTAAATGTCATTCAAACAGTAGATTAACAAAACTCTCAACAAGGTACTACATGCATAACCAAAATAAATACTGATTATTCCCATTCTCAAAATGACAAATAACCACACCTCATTCATGTTGATGCACTAACCATACAATCAGCTGTGTTGGGTTAGTGTTATAACCAACAAGCCAACAGTGAGGCTGATGTCCCCCGCCGAAATCCCAAAATAAATAGATGAGACATTAATTAATCACACATTTATTTTTTTTTCAAAAGTATCAAGCAATCAAACTGATTATCAACTATACACTAAGTTTCATCACTCTCTATCAGATAGAATCAAAGTTATCTTGTTCCAAAGCATCGACCAATGAAATTGCTTACCTCTGTTTAGCTTTAGCTCGAAATGCTAATCATTGAACTCAGTCAAGACATTCACCTAATGAACATCTACATCAAGTTTAAACATTCTACCTCAATTAAAAGCAGAGTTGTTATGTTCCAAAGTCTTGACCAATCAAATTGCTTATTGATCCTTAGCCTAAGCAGAAAAGTCTCATCATCAAACTTCATCACTCTCGCTTAATTAAAACCAAAGTGATTGGCCCCAAAGCATCAACCAATCAGATTGCTTATCTCTGCTTACCGTAAGCAGACAATGTTTATCATTGAACTCCATCATGGCATTCACTTAATGAACACCTACACCATGTTAGAACATTCTAGCTCAATTAGGAGAGTTATTGTGTTAAAAAATCTCGGTCAATCAAATTGCTTATCACTCTGCTTACCCTGAGCAGAAAATGCTCATTATCAAACTTAGTCAAGGTAATGATGTAATGAAACTATACACCAAGTTTCATCACTCTCACTTAATTAGAACTAAAGTTATCGTGTCCCAAAGCATCAACCAATCAAATTGCTTATCTCTGCTTACCGACGGACAGACAGGCAGACAGACAGACAGACGAACCCATTTTAATAGTCCCCTGCTTTCTTCGAAAGGAGGGGGACAATAAGAAAGTCTTTAGAAGTAAGTTGTCATATGAACTATCAATCAGAATGGCATAATGTAATGTTATCAGACGAAAACATGCATTGTAATATGCTTAAGAGCAATGAAATGAAATGACATTAGGTGTGAAGTCCTACTTTTTGACACCAACCGGGCTAATGAAGACCAGCTAAGACCAAGACAAGAATAACTGACTATCTTATTCAAAAGTTAGCACAGAAACTTACAGCCATTTTTTCTGCCGTCAACCATTCATCTTCTTCTATTTGTTGATGTCTTGTGGCGTGGAATGATACATTTGTTATAACTTTATTAACTTCATTTAGAGCATTCATTTTACCATTAAACGAGGAAATTTGTAATAATCTGAAAATGAATCATATAGTGATAAATATTAATCAGTGGGCATGATTAATATTGATGAGAGAATTCTTTTACAAATGAAGCATGAGTCCTCTGCTTTCTCAGTCTATAAAACTGACCGAAATTGCTTGGGACCAACTGATAAATTTACACCCTGTAAAACTAGCATATTTTTCAAAACCCCATTTTCAAACATGGCTTCAATCAACCTCTGCTACGTTAATATAGAATTCAACAGCTTGTACAGATAAGAAAATACCATATTCCAATGCTATTTATTGGCAATGTTGACAATCCACATAGTGCACATATACTTTATAAATGTCTACTTAAATTTTAAAAATTGTTCATAGCCAATTGTTCAATTTATTTAGTGAATTTACTATTTTCATGACAAGATTTAGTCAGTGGTCATTAGGATTAGCAAAGCCATTGATCAACAATTTCTTAACATACCTTAATATCATTTTTAATCGAAATATTTCTAGATTTTTGACGGTTTCTTCTTGATTTGGTAATCTATAAACTAACTGTTTTAACGCTTTAATAATGGATGACAAGGCATCATTCTTTGCTTCTGTTTTCGACTCTTTTTTTAATTCTTCATCTGTTAATTTGTCTAGTACAGTTGGTACAATTTCCTGTTAATGAAATAAAATCAAATATTAAAATTGTGTGTCACAACACTATTCCAATCAAGGCCATGTCCATAAGCGTATATATTAGACTTTTATCAACAAAAAAAACCCAAATAATATGCAAATATATGTTCATTATTTTAACAAGTGGTTGCCGTGCAAGACATGCCCACATTTTGCAAGAGATGGACAGAGAACAAGCTGAAAAAAAGATTTTTCATACAATCAAGGTCCATAATCCAGAAAGTTATTGTCCAAAATGTGTCAATGTCGAAAGGAAACAAGATTTTTGGGACATAACATACATTTTATGTTTCATCAAAATCGGATAAAATTTGTGACCTCCAGTGTGTCCGCAAGGCGCAAGCTAAAAACATTGATTTTTCACACAATCAGTACATGCAAATGTCGAAAGGAAACTAGATCTTTGGGATATAAACTTGTATTTCAAGTTTTGTCCTATGACTTGTTGAAAGTTCAGAAACAAAATTGTGACCTCCAGAGGGTCAACAGGCTAAAAACATGATTTTTCGTACAATAGGGGACCATAATGCAGGAAGTTACGGTCTGATATGTGCGAATATCGAAAGGAACAGAGATATTTGGGATATAAACATATATAATATGGTATTGTGAGTTTCGTCAAAATCAGATAAAAATTGTGTCATGTAGAGTGTCCACAAGTGTACAATCAGGGGCTATAATCAATGAAGTTATGATCGCACACCTGCCAATATCGAAAGGAGCCAAGATCTTTGGGATGTCAATCTATATTTCAAGTTTCGTCAAAATCGGATAACAACTGTGGCCTGCAGAGTGTCAAACAAAATGTGAATGGACAGACAGACGTCCGGACAGATAGGGGCAACGACAATATCTGTCTACATGAAAGGGGGGGGGGGGCGTAATTAAACTCAATTTTGGGTTTGCTACACCGACAGCCATATTAATATGAATTTTGTTCCAACAGGGCTGAGTAAACTGTTGAAATGGAACTAAACAATAAGAATATGGGCTTCAAGTGTTTTCTATTTTTGTTGGTTTATTTTCTACCACTCAACTTATGTGACAGCATTCTGATAACACAACTTAAGATCAATTTGATAATTCGAAAAGGCCATTTTAAGATCTAACAGCATTATTTGAATCAAACCTGTGTTTAGATTAGATTGATCAATGATTGATTTATCAGAATATCAGAATAATACTCACAACTATAGGCATAAAATATTTCTGAACTGTAGCACTTGTTAAAACTTCAGCACACTGACCAAATGGCCTGAAACAAAATTCAATACAATGGTCAGTTGGCTGTGTTCAATAAACATTCTTTATTATCAAAAAAACAGACCTATGCTTCTATGTCAATTAAACAGCCATTGAAATGATATAATTTGTAATTACACCCAATAAAGAACTTACTTTATGAGAGCAGCTATAATAGGAACTGATAGTGAACTACTTTTAGTGAATCTATCTAACATAATCTGGAAACCACCCAATTGACCAAATCTATTGATCAAATCAACCAGCCAACCCTGTAATCAAATTTACATAATTTTATAGTTCAATAATAATAGAAAATAAACAAGATAATATTATATATTATATCAGATTTTTAATTAAATCTGTAAAAACATCATTTCGAGAATTTTTTGTTTGTGCGCACAGCTTTAATATGAAAATAAATTATACTGTACAACTACTTTCTACTCAGCACTAGTCATTTTCAGACTTTTTTTTTACATTTGAATCTGATAATACACAGGACAGCCAAATTTGCTCACACCGACCGATAGAAAAACTTCAGGGGATTTTGTAGACAGACTCACCAAGATGTTACTTCTGTCAAGTCAAAATCAAATTGGATAAATCCTTACACTTACAGCTTCCTTATTAATAATGGAATAATTTGATGTCCCAACCATTGTGGATCTATTTGAATAAGGACAATATCTTTATGCTTGTATCAGTTAAATTTACAACTTACTCTTGGTGTTCGTTGATCTGTTTGTCTAGCAAACAAAGTTTCTTCTGCTACTGGTGTACCAGATGGTGCAGTATCAGAAGGTCTGGTACCATTATATAAATGAAATCTGAAAACAGTTATTATAAATATAAGTGTTGAAAAAGATAAGATAATCTTGAAACCATGTAAAATACAGTCTGAATACAATAGAAAGAGTTACATGTATACATAAGAGATAAGAATGGCTATGACTGTGGTTTCGGTCGTATTGAAATATCTACAGACTGATTGGACTCACGTGACGAGCATTTTTATTTATACTATTCCCAAACCCCAGTGGGGTTTCCATGGTTACTGATTGGCGGGGTTTGCGAATTTGTTACCGAGGTCGGTAGCTCGCTTACTGGGATTGTACCGAGGATTGACAACGTGGCGGGGTTACCGGGGTTGGTCTCTTGGCAGGGTTTGTGAATTTGTTACCGGGGTCTGTAGCTCGCTTGCACCAGGGTTGTACAGAGGTTTGACAACTGAACGTTTAGATTGAAGTGCTAGTGTCCATAATTTTTCGAACTAGGATGCCTTTGGTTGGTTTGTAACATTGTTACTTGTCATAACAATAAAGGGATAGTATATTATAGACAAGGGTGTTGAGGTAACACCCGTGAGAGGGTTAAAAGGCTCAATATAAATCCAAAGTTGGAACACTCAGGGGTAGAGCATTGTAAGTGCTAGTGTCCATAATTTTGCGAACTAGGATGCCTTTGGTTGGCATAGTCCAAACCTTGACTCTCATATAAATAAACCTTTTGGTATTAATTCGTACCTACATCATATTAAACCTCTAGGGCGCCATGTTGAATTACACAGTATTTAACGTTTTAAAATCTAACTACTTAACGGAATCAACGACAAATCTAAACTTGGGCACCCCAACGATTTTTATTTTTGTTTTACAAGAGTTACATGTAGCTAATGAATTTCTCAGAAGTGGTATCGTATCAGGGGTTCTATTAAGTTAGGAGTGGTATATTTTAATTTATTATTTGTTCTGGAACTTATAACCATTTCTTGCTTCATTCAGAACATTAAATGTCAGGAAATTTAAGAAATCTTTTTAAATTATAGCTTTTTCAGTAGATTACATCAGATTTTATCAGGGTTTATGGTGATACAGCAACCATTTTGCAGTTAACATCTCCTTCAACATTTTCAGAAAGACTTACTTGCACTGAGGGTTAAGCACCATGGCTAATAATTCTAACAATGGGAACCAGTCTTGTGATAGTTTTACTACACATAACTCTATTAATTTCTCAGCATTTTTCAATATACATCTCTGAAAATATATTAAAAAAAAAAAAAAAATTCAAATATATTTCATCATATTCTTCAACTGAAGAGGACTGAACACAAAATATAACACCCCATTTATAACTGGGTCAGTGTAATTGTAACAGTCATGACTCATATCCTGCTTATTCTTAATACATAAAAACTTGTACAAAATAGTAATTAAATGTATCAAATGGTACGAAAAACCTCTACTTTGTTTTGATCTTTCAAATTTAGGTAGTATGCCCAAAGAGATTGAAAATATTCAAGAAAACGTTTTTAGTTTCATCGACATTTAGCCAATCAATTAACCAAACGAAGGCTTACAAAAATCAAAGAAAAATAATAAGATTGCCAACTTACATGTATATCATATTTCCATCCACTAACAGCTTCATCTGTTAATATCTTAGTAAATGAAATAGTTAATCCTTCTCTAAAAAATCTCTGACATGCTTCACTTCGCAAATCTAACCCTGAAAGTAAAATCATAATATATAAATCAGTTAGGAATTTTGTAAATAGATGTTTATTTGCATCAATGTCTCCTGTTAATCTTGAATTGAAAAGCAAATGAACAGATTCTAAAGGCAACCATGCCAGGGCTGCCTTCGGCTCGTTCAAACGTTCAACCATGGTTCAACTAGGACTTATATACGCACCCGAACTTGCGTTCGGGTGTAGTGAACTATACTTCGAGATATAGTCGTGACCATACAAGCGCACCCGAAGTCTGCCCAGGGTGTCTCTGGATGTAATTTTAAAATACTGTCATATAAAGAAGACAATTACAGACGTTTTGCTTTCATTTTCTGTCGTATTAGTAAAGACACATAATTTGGAAGGAATATTACTGACATGAATTTGAAGCAGGTGGTACACTTTCCACATCATTTTTTAAGAACATTACCAACATGAATTTGAATACCGTAAATGAATTAAATATGAAAAAATAGCAAAGTGCACCTAATTTTTGTATTCAGAAGGTGATATGCTATATAACATAAAAAATATTTGTAGAAGTAGCATCCCTGAATTCAACCCATGTTTAGCCAGATCAGCAGAGTAGAAGTATCATAAAGGATTTAGTTTTACTTGAGGTAGAGATAGTAGCCTACAAGTTAAGTAATTCTCATCAGACAACTACAAACATGTAGATTGTCGAAAATCGTAGAAAACACTATAATATAGCGTGGTATCTGGTATGTTACTATTACCAATTTAAATTAATCTTATTTACAATGCAGGGCAAAATATAAGGAAACAATACATGTACCTTCTTTACTAAGTTTGATTGAGGCTTCCAGTAAAACTTCTAATTCTCCTTTGGGTAAAACAGGTACCACCCATCTAGGTCGATTGATCATTTCATCTAATTTACTTAGTTCCACAAGGGGAAAATCAGCTTCTTGATCATCCCCAAGAGGTACGGGGGTATCCCCCTGACCGGCTTCGTCATGCTGAGTAGGTGATACACCTTGGTTACTAAAACCCTCAACTGTCTGTGGAGGGGGAGATAACTGAGGTGCAGGATTATTTTGTGGTACTTGAGCTTCAGGTGTATTTTGTTGGCCTACTTGATTTGCATTTTCTTGAGGTGAATCTCCACCTGCTGGACTCCCTTTCATTACTTTTGTCATTGTTTTGTCTACTTGTTACCTGAAAATAAAAAGTAATAGACAAATAAGTAAATATTTTCAAATGAGGAAACACACAGTGCATTCAACTTATTATAAAATCCATATAATGTACTTAGCATAACCTCCAACAACAAATTAATGCCTCTTCAATCTGATTAAAATCACCTGTCAATTGCATTTCATTTCGGGGATGACTACTACAGTGAAATATGAAATTGAAGAAAGTGTTCAAAACATGTAATCTTTTTGAGTTGACTCATCCCATTGTCTGTATTGGTGAATTATGGGAATTCCCCAACACAGGTGTATACCTTTTTTAAGTGTTGATTGGATGGGTTTAGGGTTATAGTATAAATAGGACTTCACTTGTAGAATAACTCACAATGACATGTATTGTAAATATCTGAATAAATAAACGAAACGAAACAAAACTGTAATCTTCTTTTAATTGGTTTTATCCCTCTGTTGATCCCTTGATAATTGCAATTTACAGGAACCATTACAAAATAATGCATCCTGCTGAATCAGAAGTAACTGCTATGTTATTTATAAATCATAGATAACAAATAATAAGACAAACTATTGTACATGGACATTTAATCAAAACTAGCACTCACATTATTGATAATCTTATCTTCAGTGTTCAGTCAGACATGTACAATACTTAAGATAACCAATTGTGTTTATAGATTTTATGTGGTTGTCTCTCCTTGCAGAATAAAATTGTCAGTACTAAGCACGCATTATGAAATGAAATGAAATGGGGTTTAACGTCCTACTGTTCTGCTCCTAACCTGGGCTAATGAAGACGGGCATACGCCATACAGTGTGCTATGAGGGAAATTTTGCCCGGGCAGCGGTGCTACGGCCTACTCTTATATCGAATTCCAACTGCCAAGGGATCTTTTACGTGCACATCAATGTGTACACAGGACCTCGGTTTTTCGTCCCATCCGAATGACTAGACAGCATCACTGACAAGGGGAAACCACGCCGGAAAATCTGGATGAACTTTCTCAGCAAATGCGCACGCATTATGTATTAAAGCTAACTGTTCTCAAGGTATCACACATCTATGCCATATTCAATAGTTATTTAAAAAATACATGTACTGAAAAAAACATCTGGTGTACATGTACAAGACAACATATCTAGACATAGTGTATAATGCAACTTGATCCCCTAGCCTGCATAATCACTTTAAAATGTCTGTGCATTTGGAAAATTGAATAAAAATTCACACTTTCACATAAACATGAAAAGCAAAATAAACAGTGGTCCAAAGGCATAAGGCTGATGTATGCAGTGGACAACCTTCAGACAGATATTCAAAGTTTTGCATGTATAATTTTTTCTATTTATAAATTTTATAGTCCTATCCTATATGATGTTATTCATGTTAGGAAAGTCGTTCTGAAATCTGACTTAAACTCTTACATAGTACATCATGAGCTTCAAACACTGTCAGGCTCACATGCATGTATACATGTATGTTGCGCCTGCACCAGAAAATGTTCTTCATTTAATGGGGAGGGGACAGAAATTGCCATTACAACAAGCTTACTTAATTCAGATTTGTTGCAAACTAAACCTATTGCTATTTGTCACTATAATAAGCTTACTCAGTTCAGATTTGTTCACAAGTAAATTATAAAAAAAAAACATATACAGTATTTATCACAGTTAGCACTATAAGAGTAAGAAATGAAATGAAATGGGGTTTAACGTCCTACTGTTCTAAAATAATTTAAATTTTACTGGACAATGCAAGAGTAACTGAGGTTATTTCATATCTTTAAATACAATATAATAACTAATGAAAGTTTTTTCTATTTCATGGACTTGGTGGAAAGTATTAATTTTTCTTTAAGGTCACTCTGTCAATACATCCCTGCTGTGCAAGCTTTCCTGCTAGAACTTGGTGCACTCACACATTACATAAGATAAGACCGTTTTACTACATGTGCTGAGACATTCCTGTGTCTGTGATTGTTGTGCAGATTTACTTTCTTCATCAACAAATAAAACAATCACTTCATAGCATTATATAATATTATATAAATTTATTGCACAAGCATTTATAGTTAATCTCCTTGATCAATATTAAATTGAAGCCTCACTCTTTCAAGACTTATCTTTTGCTGCAGTACTAATCATGTCCGATTATAATGGAAAGATACAGACTGACCCCATAAGTAATGCTCAATTTAATATGAAAATTTTCGACCTGTAGTTAAATATATTAAATGGAAAGCATTGTTTACCAAAATGAGTTGGTGTTTTTCCACAATTTTAAGCAATAAAATCTCTTTGAATTTTTACCATAAGAAACAATGTTACTCCCACTGGTCACTACTCTTCTCATAGGTCCCAGTGTTAACTTTCGTAAACATTTATCAACCTTTGTGAGACTTATTTGAATTGACATGAAATCTACATGTAATTGAAGTGTTGAAATTGTGGAAACCATTTGCAAATTATATCAGCTGCAAACTTTGTAAGTTTAAGTAATAATCTCACATGGTAAAACTACACATCTAAATATACAAACATGTTAGTTAACTACATTCTTGTATCTAATTCTCCATGCCCATATAGTTGAAGTCATTACTGTTGTGGTGGACACTATTGACTGTTGTGCAATTCATCACTGACAAAATGATTGGTACTCGGTACCAGGAGCCTTTGTGTCAAAAAGAACCCAAAACAATTTACCTGTATCAAACTCAAAGAAGAGTCCTACACATCTAAAGAGACTGACATAGGAAAATGAAAGAGAACTGATTGCTGCCAACGGATTAATAGGACTCTATGGTAAGATTCATGTCTGTCTGACACTGTGACAGTAGTGTCAATGGGTTTCTCATTTCTGTAGAATAATAATATGGCAGCATGCAAAATCCCATAAAATAAAATCTTTGCCCAGCATTGTGTGTATATACTCAACTGCTTAGAATGCTTTAGTCTTTGGCATATTCAGCAACATGTCTCAAATAATGTGTATGCATAAAACCAAATGTAACTCGTTAAAGTTATCGAGTATATTGTAAATAAATCAAATAAAATGGCCGACGACGTAGGAGTCTGTCGAAAGCACAATTGTAAACAAAACATCGACAAGAAAATCAAACCTCGAGTAATAGTCCGGTCTGGTCCAATGCGATAACCTTCCCAAGTTGTTGTTTATATTCATTTGTTTGCGATTTTATTTGATGTGGATTTCTAGGTCTTCAGATACAGTCCAATATCTTACGCCTTACGGACTTAGGTTAAAGAGGTATTCACATTGGTAAAATGCATGGACAGTGTAACATCATATTAACGGGTTATAGCGAAATATATATTTGGGGGCAAAAATATGTAAAGTGTGTAAATTGAGCCTATGTATTCTCTTATAGTGTATTTAGAAGTATATTTTGGAAAAATTAATTAAAAATATAATACTTTTCTCCATTCTCGCCCAAGCGAGATCTTGAGAACAAACGGCTCACCATGATAAGTAACAAGGGAATAACATTAAATACTGGGTTTGAAACACACTTCATCAAAAGCACAGTTTAAGTATGTGTTATCATGAAGAAGTATACATATTATAAACGTTAAGAACCAATGAATAAACCATTGTTGCCCATTGTTTTACTAGTCAAATGACTTTGTAACGAAATATCTTTCACTTTTGTAGCTATGTTACGAAACGTCTAGCAATATTAACGATGACTAGTATAGCGCTGCTAATCAAGTTAGGCATAGAGCGGTTTTTCTAAGATGACAATGTTACAAAAACAATAATATTATATTAAATCAATTTACAATCAATTAATTTACCTGAAATGGTTTCATTTTACAAGAAGTACGATCTGTTCTAAGACACATACTGACGCAGAATGAGTTCTGCAAGTAAGGTGAGTAGCCTATATCTGCACAGTTCATAGTGATCATAAGATTCTTTATTCTAACTAGATCTAAATTAAAATCTTTTTTTTTTTTAAATGTAACAAAAGAGTGGGAGGTTTTTTTTTTTAATAAACTAGGTCATTTTGATACTAACATAATGCTATGTCTTTTTATTTCATAATTTGCATACACACAGCGCTCTACAAGTTAATCTGAACTACTATTGATTAAAATTAACATAGGCCTACAATATGTATGAATGATAGTGTAGATGGCATTATTACCTGCTTTTTAAGATTAAGAAATTTTACTAAGAGTAAGATGGTGAGTGAGACCGGGAGAACTCACACAAAGTTAGGCAGGCGACTCTACTCCTGGAAACATTAAACTTGTCACTGGTAGATCGCAGATCATTTGATTCGTTATCAGTGGCTAGAGCATTGACTTAATGGACCAAACCGGATCAAATATCAGTTACAGAACGGTGCAAACTGATATTTTTAACATAGAATAATCCAATATACGTGTTGGCCTTTGTTAAGTAATGTAGTGTAAATAGTACAAATTAATAGATAATTAATGAAATTGATTAATAATTGTTGTCTTCTTTTTTCAGGTAGGTGAAATATTCACCGCAGCAGGTTCAGCCTTCAGCAAATTAGGTGAATTAACAATGCAGCTACATCCAACAGGAGAACCTAGTCCAAGCGGGTATGTTTAATAGGCCCTAGAATACATACATGATATCCTCATCGCCATTATAATGTTACTGGTTTCAAAAGAATTAATAATAGCTGCCACGTGTAAATTTGTATAGTTAAATGATATCTATCCTTAGCTAAAGTCATAACTTTTATTTTATGTGAAATGCAAAATGAATCATATACTCACTTTCTTCATTGTTACCCAGTCTGTAAGAGCTTCAATTGGGTTCCTTATACGCTGCCAGTATTTCATTTTTCTTCTTGGTAATAAATATAGTATACCAGCTAAATGATTAGTATTTTCAATTTGCAAGTGTTGCATTTAGGATAATAATTATATGCTTAATGATCAAAAAATCAAGCACTGATTTATATATTATATAATGTTTAATTGACATTTAGTAACTGAATGGGAATAACACATGGCAAAATTATATGGAATACAAGTTACTCAGAAGTTCCAACGTGGTTTCCCCTTGTCAGTGGTGCAGGACGGAGGACAGCTGTCTAGTCATTCAGATGGGATGAAAAACAAGATCCCATATATACATTGACGTGTACGTAAAAGATCCCTCGGCAGTTGGAATCCGATATAAGAGTAGGCAATAGTGCCATTGTCCGGACAAAATTTCCCTCATAGCACAGTGTATGGTATATGCCCGTCTTCATTAGCCCAGTTGGAGCAGAACAGGACATTAAACCCCATTTTATTTTATGGCGACATCCAACGAGGGTTCTCTCGTCTTTATCAAGCAAAGAATGTATATAGAGTAAGGTATTTTGCAAAAGCGTTCTTAAGGGCAACCACTTTAAAAGAATACTTATGACATGACTCATAATGAAGATGAACATATTTGTAAGGTATCTCAGATACTGCGTACAATCTAATTAAAACCTCGCTTATTTTAGTCAAATCACACTAAATGAATAATATTGTTTACCAGCTAGCAATGGCCTATAAAAAACTTATTGCTACGTAGTTAATAAATTAAAGATGTGAGTATTTGTTTTATTGAAGAGGAAAATGGACAGATGAAGAAGTAGAATTATTGAGGGCAACAGTGAAACAGTTTGGTGAAGATCTTAATAAAATAAGTGAAGTTATAAAAAATAGAACTATGTAAGTTCACCTTCATACTGTAACAGAGCACAGAAATTTTGATCTGATCAAATATTTTCAGGATCAACACATATTTATGCACCCCATCACAGCCCTTGCCTCCAAATGTACAGTTTTTCAGAAAGAGTTAACAATAAACTTGCACATTTTTGTGACAGGTTGACGACAATATATAGAGCGTATACAAAGTATGTGGTTAAAAGTAAGTTCACTTTAGGTTTCAATTTACCATTTCAGCTCACAAATCAAAAATAAATTAAAAAGAAAAGCATATGATGATGCTGGTTTACACCCACCTCCAGAAACTTCTGTTAGTTTGGTACAGAAAAATGTTACTCCAATAATTACAGAATCACAAAGTAAAAAACAAAAAACTTCAGGTAAGAGTCTTTTAAGAGAGTAAAAAAAATAGGGAGTGATTTAGTGCAAATGCTAGATAATCAATGTTGTGGACAATGCGTGGAACTATTAGAATGGGTCTGTCAGTCTGTTACACTTTTTAGGACATAATAACTCTTGGTGTTGGTTTTTATTAGGTGAATGTCTTGACAGAGTTTGAAGATGAATATTCTCTGCTTAAACAGTGATAACTTCACTCAGAATAAAGTAATTTGAATGAAATTTTCAATATATTCATTTTCTATTTTTGAACTAATATATACTATTCAAAGAAAGTAGGGGATATTTGATTTTGGGGGCATAATACTAAAATATGCAAATGACTACGAAAAAAGTCACTTAAGAGCCTAACAGAAGAAACATTTCCAGTTACATGTGACGCCCAAACGCACCAATAGCTACCGCATGGAATGCAGGTGATGCTTGGGATCATCATGGGGGTCCAACCCAAGATTTGCACGACTCTGACTTTGAATGTTACAGTCATTGTGGCATTGAATTCCAGGGTGGAAACATCAGTTTAATTGTTTTAGTGACCAGAAAACAAATTTTGATATGCGTCGGCTTACCCAAAATGAAAGGTTACGTGCCCTTGGCATGCTACAGATCGGCACAACACAGGCGGTTGTGGCGCGGACGATGAATGTTTCTCAGTCTGTCATAAGCAGGCTATGGTCCAGATACCGTGATACACAATCTGTACAGGACAGACCACGCTCAGGTCGACCAAGGGCGACAACTCAAGCCCAGGATCGATTTATCCGTACCTTGGCCTTGAGAAATCGTGTCATCACAGCAAATCAGATCAGCGCTCGTCTTCAAACAGACACTGGTGTGAGAGTGAGTGGCCAGACGATTCGTAATCGACTGCATAGGGGTCACCTTCGCGCCCGACGTCCTCGCGTGATCCCTTGTTTGAGAGATCATCACATTCAGGCAAGACGTCGTTGGTGTAGGGATCGTCAACACTGGGATAATCGACGCTGGAGCAATGTGATGTTTTCAGAGTCAAGGTTCACTGTTGATTTTTTGGACAGACGTAGGAGGGTGTGGCGTCGTCGAAACGAGCGCTTCCAAGACGTTAACGTCATCAGACATGATCGATTTGGGGGTGGTTCTGTTATGGTGTGGGGAGGCATCACTGTTGCTGGAAGAACGGCTTTACATGTTGTTGCAGGGCGTGTTACAGGCCAGTACTACCGGGACAACATCTTGGCAGTCCATGTTGTGCCGTTCGCACGACGTCATGGCCGCCGTTTCATCTTCCAGGATGACAACGCAAGGTGTCACAGGGCCAGGATCGTTACAGGTTACCTCCAACAACAGAACATCACCACATTACCTTGGCCAGCACTGAGTCCCGACCTCTCCCCCATCGAGCATGTCTGGGACATGCTTGGACAGAGGTTACGTCAACGTCAACAACGTCCTGCCAATGTCCAAGAACTTGCTGCTGCGTTGCAACAGGAATGGGACAATCTGGACCAAAATGACCTTAGACGTCTCATTAGGAGTATGCCACGTCGGATCAATGCTTGTTTGGCAAACAGAGGAGGATTTACCCGTTACTGACTTGGTTGTGATGCTGTGGTAACTTTGCTGTTTGACCCCGGGTATCATTTTACCCTTATAATGGTCAGTCTGTGCCTTACTTAGTCTAACGATCATTTGGAATATATCGATGAATGTGAACTTCATTTCATTTTGTCATTTGTTTCTTCGTCAGTTTCATTAGGTGACTTTAATAACACTTAAAAATCAAATATCCCCTACTTTTTTTGAATAGTATAGCAAGAACATCCAGCTCTGTATCTAAATCTTACATGATATATCTTTAAGCTATAGAAGAAACTAAATGTCTAACTTATTTCAAGAAAACCTTAAAGTAAATATACAAAATAAATGACATTTCACCAAACTATTCCACCAATGTAGTTTCTTTAGTGATTTTCCCAGAAGTTCTTCTATTACACAAAGTTTATCAAATCTATAGTCTTAATAAGAAGTAATGTCTCTTACTTAAGGATTAACTGTATATTGTTTGAGATCAGAAACATATTTAAAGGCATATTAAAAAAATAATTTCTATTAGATTTATTTGTATAACTATAAGTTATTTATTGTGTATTTATTGTAGATGTGACATTAAGTGCTTTAAATGCTCCAGAGAGTGATGTTGATATTGAAGGACTCGGAGAAGCATCTGCTTCCAAAAAATTAGACTTTGATTCAGGTAAAGTTTTTATATGTCCACATTTTCATGTGGACGGAATAGTGTCGTTGCCCCTGTCCGTCCGTCTGTCCACAATTTGTTTGTGGACACTCTACAGGTCACAGTTTTTATTTGATTTTGACGAAACTTAAAATATAGGTCTATCTCCCAAAGATCTTGGTTCCTTTCGATATTGGCATATATTGGACCATAAAATCATGGATTATGGCCCCTGATTGTATGAAAAATCACGTTTTTAGCTTGTGGACTCTAGAGGTCACAGTTTTCATCTGATTTTGATGAAACTTGAAATGCAAGTTTATAACCCAAAGATCTAGGTTCCTTTCGATATTTGCGCATATCGGATGGTAACTTCCTGAATTATGGCCCGTGATTGTACGAAAAAAACGCAATTTTAGCTTGTGGTCCCTCTAGAGGTTACAATTTTTATCCGATTTCAAAAACCATTTGAATATATCACCGTCACACCCTAATGATGGTTGAATTCGAATTTCTTGAAAATCGGATCAAAACTGCCAGACAAAATGGCCACCACCTCGTACGCAAATAGTGTATATATATATTATATGGTATATCAAGGTTGTGGACACTCTTAAGAGGCCACAATTTTGATCCGATTTTAATGAAATACATGTTTATAACCCAAAGATCTTGGTTCCGTTTGATATTCACACATATCAGATCGTAACTGCCTGAATTATGGTCCTTGATTGTACAAAAAATCGCGCGTTTTTAGCTTGTAGTCCCTCTAGAGGTCACAATTTTTATCCGATTGAAAAAAAGCGTGTGAATGTTTCACCGTTCGAATTTCGTGAAAATCGGACTAAAACTGCTGGACAAAATGGCCGCCCCTCGTACGCAGATAGCTTAAATATATGGTATATCAAGGTTGTGGACCCTCTAGAAGTCACAATTTTGATCCAATTTTGATGAAACTTGAAATATATCTTGATTGTACGAAAAATTGCTTTTTGTTTAGCTAGTTCTCTATCCATCTCTTCCAAATTGTGGGCGTATCCTGCCTGGCAGCCACTGTTTATTGGTATGCTGTGAGTATAAGGCAAATTGTAAAGCATATAAAACAAAAAACAAATTCATATTGACGCTTTGATATTTGTTTTACAATATTTCATTAAGAACCTATAATAATAGATATATAATTATAACAGCTACTCACAAATACATTTAAAGATTTCTTGATGCTGCTAAACAACCATCACCCTCAAATAAGACAAACAACTAAATGATACAGAATCTATCAAAAAACACTAATAATCATTTTAAGATATTTTCCTTAGTTAGGTTAATAAGGTTATCTAGTACAACCTGAAAACTTGTATCTAATTACAAATATGACATTTCTGTAGAAAAATAAATTACAATAAATGATATTAGAAGAAAATCCTTTTACGCCAACCTCTGATTACAAAACTACAGAAATAATTAAATAAAAAAAATTAACATCCTAAATAATCGGCATACTTGTTTTCAATTTGTAGAACAAACATGGCGATTGTAGGCATGGTCTGCCTGTTTTTGTACGTTGTACAATCGCCATGTTTGTTCTACAAATTGAAAACAAGTAGGCCCTTTGGTGATTATTTAGGATCTTAATTTTTTTATTTATTGATTTCTGTAGTTTTGTAATCGGAGTTCAGCTTTAACACATGTAGTGTAGAGCCATACACTACAAACACAATCCATATTGCTAAGGGACCACTTTACTGATAATGTATGTGAATTTTAGATTTGGAATTGAATAGCTGACAAGATATCATGTTTTTTCTAACAAATGCATTTTCTTGGAAGTTTAAATATATTCCAGTCAATTTACTATTTACATTGAGTCTTGAAAATATATTTAAACGACTGTTAAGAAAATATATTTTTAGATATGGCAATAGTAATAATGAGATGAGGAAACTATGCTTGACATCTAACTTCTGTGCCCATTCCCGTTTCACAGTAATACAATTAATTAAAATAATGTCATCTCATGAGTATTCATGAACTATATATTAGTTCTATTCTAATAACTTTTCATTTATTTACTTACAGATGTCGATTCCAGTATGTTGTGAGATATTCAAATGTTGTTGAAGATTTGAAATGAAAGACAATATTAATATTTGTTCATGTCAACATTAAAGTGTACTGTGAGCATAGGCGTACGGGCTCGATGACAGTTAGGGGGGCAGGAACCTGTATTGCCCGAAACAATTTCGGGTTTAGAGACAGCGGCGCGGTCTTCCTCGAGAGGCGAAGTATCGGAGCTTACCTTGTGTGGACCCCCCCCCCCCCCAAAGAAAATTTTGGAATATCTGACGGCTGCAAACACGTTTTCCTGCTATTTCAGCCTGTATCAAAAGATCAATTGTTTACAGTCCAAGGAGACGGGACCGTTGGGAGAAAATTTTGAAAATTTAACCACACAAATGCGTTTTCTGCTATTTTAGCCCGTGTAAGCAACTCCAAAAGTATTCAATGGTTTTGTAACCGAAATCCCATTCTGAATTCCAACCATCCAATCAGACTGTTGCAGCTGCATTCACAATAATAATCGATGCCTGAAAAATGTCGCACAAAGTGTTTTATTAGGACTCAATGACAGTTAGGGAAGCAAAACTAGAAATGGCCCAAAAAATTTCAGGGTTACAGACAGCGGCGCCGGTTTTCTTCGAGAGGCGAAGAAGCAGAGCTGACCTTGTATGGACCCCACCCCCTAAGAAAATTTTGGAAGATTTAACGGCCGCAAAAGCGTTTTACTGCTATTCCAGCCCATAAAATTAGTGTTTTATTAGATTTCGGGCACTTTATTTAACCAAGTAGATGAAATAAAAAATTTTTTCACTTTACCCGTCTGCCCGAAAAGTCAGCTTGCCCCCCTGGCTCGTACGCCTATGACTGTGAGATTAAAATTGAAGATTCATCCTAATCCTAAAACCATTTTTTTACATAATGATTTGTATGACCTTTAAATGCATCATCATAATCTATACTTGGGCTGTTGACAATATAAATGTACACACAGAGTCAAGTATTGGGCATTAAATACAATTGATTAACTTCAAAACCCATGGTTTGAATTTTGTTATGCGGGGAAAATATACATCATTGTAAATCCAAAACAGTATTTGAGATTTGTCAGACTGTCCAATTTATCTTCAAGAAACAGGAAACAATTTTTATTGCACATTGTCAGGTCTGTCTTGAGATATAAAAAATGATGTTATTTTAGATATAACAAAAATGATGTTATTTGAGGTCTAACAAAAATGATGCTATTAATCCTAACTAAAATCATCTTAGTTTGCCCTTACATTCAAAGTTGGGAAGTTAAAAATGTGAAGAAAAAAAAGCATAAAGGATTGTTTCTTGTGTGAATGATTAATTCTCTCCTTAATTAATAATTAAGAAAATGTTCATAAATTTCATTGTATCATTCATTATACTGTATTTATCATGCAACAAATGTATTTAGGTGTTGTAATGTTGTTAAAGAGATATTAATAGTATATTATATAGAATAGTTTCATTTTCAGTTTCATAAATATTGTTCTTTTTAATGTTTTCATATTATTTTTAAACATCACCCCAAAGTTGATAACATACATTTATATCATAAAATAATGATTTTAATAATGAATTGTACTTTAATTATTTGTAGACAAAAAATAAATAAGATTTAATTCTTGAAACAATATTTGTGTTGCTTTATGGAGGAGAGGATGAAGATATGAGACAGTGAGGGAAAATATCTACAATTCTTTCTGTCTAGTACTTTTATACGCCCACATTTAAATGTGGTCGTATATTGTCGTCGCCCCCCGTCCGTCCGTACGTCGTACCGGCGTCCACAATTGCTTGTGGACGCTCTAGAGGCTAAAGTTAATATCCGATTGACTTTAAATTTATACACAGTGTTTAAGGCCATGAGACAAAGAATCCTATTGATATTCAATGATTTCCGATAATTACTGCCAAAGTTATGGCCCTTGACCACTTTGCAAAATCTTGTGACGCTCTAAAGGCTAAAGTTATCATCCGATTGACTTCAGATTGATACATAGAGTTTAAGATCTTGAGAAGAACAAGTATATTGATTTCCAATGAATTTTTATGACTTGGAACAGCTAAATCCATGATATTAAAAGTTTTGTATACAAAACGTTAGCATGGGGCAGAACTTTATAAAAACCAAACAAATTCTAATGGTTTTCTGAGTTGTTGCTCTTAATCAGATTTTAGTGTATTATAAATGTTTCATTACCGAAAAAAGTAAAAATATGTGACAACTCTTGTTGACTGCCCGGACGATTTAGCTGTTGTGGGCGTATGTTTCGTTACCTGGCAACCTATCTTCAATATTTGTAGCACATATGAAAATGACTGAATTTTCTTTAATAGTTATTATTCTTCCAACTTCTAAAAGCAGATAGGAATATGAGGGATGTTGCATAGAATATTTTTTTCTGCAAAACAACTTGAAACCATATATTTGGAACAGCTGGGATAAATGAGTCGTGAAGATTGAGATGATTTATTAATTCATTTATAAGTATGGGCATAATTTTAATGAATTTCATAGATTATGATATTGGATCATTACAGTAAATTCCATTCCAATGACCTAATCAACAGTTTCGTTTTCCGGAAAAGATTTTCGCAATGTATTTAGACCTTTGCCGAAGATGCCCGAGTTACCATTATTATAATATGGGTGCAAATTGTAAAACAGGAAGAAGAAAAAAATGCCTAATAATTAAAGAGTTATAAACTTATTTCTCACCAACTTACAAATCTGAATACCAACACATATACGGATCTTTTAAATAATTCAGGCTTTAGCGACTGAGGTATGAGGTCAATGAATGTCCGCTTCCACCCAAGTGATATCGACGATAATGCCCGTTTGTTGGCGGGTAATTTCGTAACGCGGTGTTGAAGTACATTTTGTAAATTAGAAACAAGTAGAGCAAACTCTCAAATTCTATTTATAGCGGTCACGAGACTGTCATGGGATTTTAAGTGAATCAGAACGTAGAACAGAAAAAAAAGTTACTTTGTGCAGCTGATTTTCATCCAAGATGGGGACTGAAGAAGAAAAGAAACCATTACTTAATCATGAACCAAATGATGATGAAGAAGAAGAATTAAAAGGATGTGGTGGAAGTTTAGCTTGTAATCCAAGGAGGGGGCTGCACAGATATCTGGTTTTGATAATAATGTGTTTCCTCAGTTTTGGTAAATGATTTTCTTCACATACATGTACTAATACTTCACTTCATTTGATACCATTATTAACTATTAGATACATGTAGTCCAGCTGAATGCATTAAGACTTACAGACACAATTTATTTTTGCTTTTAAATCTGTATTAATCAAAATGAATGATATTTAAAAAGTAGACCTATGTATTTGATTTCAAATCGTGTACATTACATGTCGCTAAAATCCTTGATTCTTCAACGGAAAATCAAACACATCATCCTTTTTAGAGACTTCAACTGCCCAGATATTGATTGGAAGAATCATTGAGTGAATGCTGGGGCGTCAGATAGAGATGTACAACAATCCCGGGCTGTTGGATCTTTCCATAGAATATGGCCTCACACAGATCCAGACCAAACGTCTAGAAACAGCAATATTCTCGACTTAAAAATTGGTGTTTACATACAATCCCTCTCTTATTATATCATCAACCTCAGTTCCTGATATGAGGGACCATGCAATGATTGTTACAGCCATTAACGTTCTTACCTTATAAATTATATTAAAACAGAAACCAAGGAATATTTATATTTTCTCGAAGGCCAACTGGGACCGCATACATAAGGACACCAAAAAGCTCTCTCGGGACATCATCAACCTTAGAAACTCGGATGACACAAATGTAAACACCCTTTGAACAATCTGCAGAGATACTATAGTGGACTATAGGTACTAATATGCCAGATTACACAGCATGTCAGAATATAGGGGTGATGATTTTCCGTTTCAGAAAATAGCAAATTCCGTTTTAAGTATTTTTAATTCCGTTATTTTCCGTTTCAGAGCTGACCATATTCCGTTTTTTCGAGATAAAATGTTATTTTATGAATAAATGAATAAAACATCTTAAAATGCCTTTTATTACAAAACGGATCATTTTAAACCAATGATAACAAATGTTGAATTGTGAATGACTTGTAATGTTCAATGACTAGTTATTCTTTAAACCTGTGAATGACTTGTAATGTTCAATGACTAGTTATTCTTTAAACCTGTTTCCCGAATTAAATAACAGAAAATTACATCTTGTGAGCTCGTTTCATCTTTTTAGCAGACGAAGCCATTTTTCTCAGCTGCTAGGTGTAGTCGCGATTTATCCAGACATCTTCGTAGTTACTACCGTTTCTTCGAGAATAAGGGCTGGATTCACAAGGCTACGGTATATTTCTGATGTCACGTGGTTAATGCGGATAAACACGAGTCACGAGCCCGGCAGTAAAATAAGAAGTAAATGAAACGATTTTTACTTTTATGAAGTGACAGAAGTTTTTTTTAAGACATATATATACATTACAATGTTTAATTCAAGTTAAACTACAGAGTAATTTTATAATGGGATACATGAAAGACGGGTTTTCGTTTCGATTAAAATTATGATTCCTAAATGATGAAATGAAAGTAGCGAAATACTAAAATAGACAGTAACAAAACCACGCGATATCATTCAATATTTCCGATTTTTATGAATAAAAAGATGAAATACTTGGATAACTGCAAAATTATTTTGAGTTTGTGTTTAGTATCAGCAAATATCGGCTTTTCCGTCTTTTTCCGTGTGAGATTTCAAATTCCGTTTTGAGTGGACAATTCCGCGATTTCCGCGTTTTTTCCGCGATCACGGAAAATCATCACCCCTAAGAATACTCAATTGCCTCAATACCAGAAGTATTATTGTACCTTGTCCACACCCTTGAACCACTCGTGCGTCATTCTGGTGATGTCTTCAAATTTAGCGTTTGAGTAAAATCGTTTCATACAGCTGTTAAAGTTATCGGCAAACTTTGGTTTGAATTCATCTTTTCGCTTTAAAATGTTGGATACTGTAGTATGGCCAATTGAATACTTAAAGGGCTAATCCCGATAATTTTTTTGAGAATAAAACTGTTTAATTTTGTTTTAAAATCCCTTAAAATCCTCTACCTGAGGGCCGAGCAACTAACTCAATATTTGTGATAAGTTTTCAAATAACTGAAACCCGTCAGTCTCAATCTGGAAATGGAGACCGGTGTCCCAAGCTGTATTATGCAGTGTCTAGATAAAACCACCAGACATTTTTTGTATAAAAATAATGTGTAGGTGAAATTTACCTTTCATTATCAAGTACAGCATTTGGGTCATTCACTGTATAGACTTCTCAATGAACGGGAATCGATTATCAGGTCTCCCACCGAAAAAAATGACCCCAAATCTTAAAAGGGTTACGTGTCCGGATAAGCAGTTTTGACGGTCACATCCAAACGACTCAATATTTTGAGCTGAAATTTTGAGATACGGTCAATACACCATTCCTCTATATTTTTACGTTTAAATTTCATACATACTCAGACTTTTATTTTTGAGACTCTGTTCAAATAAGGGATAGTCCCTTTAATGGCTAATTTCTTCTGTGTAGGTCATGGAACTTTCTCAAAATCTGCTATAATGCCAAATCTGTACGGGCATGCTTGCAACAGCTTATTATACTATTCTGAAGACCTGTAGTAGTCAACTTGTTCCTGGCCTCCGTGAGATATTCCAATCATCAATCAACACCAGACAACTCCCAACAGAGTGGATTAATGCCAACATTGCACCAGTTTTTAAAAAAGGTGACTTCCATCTACCTGAAAACTATTGACTTGCAAACATCTAGAACACATCATTTGCAGTCACATCCTCACATATCTTGAAAGAAAGAAGATACTTACTACCCTTCAGCACGGATTCTGCTTGGGATACTCCTGCGAGACACAGCACCTAACTACTGTTCACGACCTCCTCTAGAAACACGATGCAAACAACCAAACTGACATGGCCATCCTAGATTTCTCGAAGGCCTTCGACACTGTCCCTCACAAGAAACTTCTTTAACTATTTGTAGTTGAAGTCTATTAAAGGGAATGGAAGCGCCATACACACATGTAACATTAGTAGTATATTTTGGTAGATATTATAGCCTTTATAGATCATTCAGTACAACACAATGAAACTTTACTTATTTAATATTCAATCAAGAGGAAATGCTAATCAATTTTCAGATTGATTAGCACTTTTTTTTCTTTTTTTTTAACCTCTTAACCCTTGTCAGTGCACGTTGTGAGAATCACATAGCAGGTATCAAGGGGTCCATATGAACCCCAGTTATAATTCAAAGTTTTTTCGTACAGATATATTTGAATCAAAAGGCAGCGGCTTAGTTTTTATTTGCATTCATATTTGACAACTGAAAAACAACTAAATTATTATACAAAAACATTTCTAGTCCTTCGGATGATACGAAAAACCGAGGTCCTGTGTATAAATTGGAATGCATGTAAAAGATCCCTTGGCAGTTGGAATTCGATATAAAAGTAGGCGATAGTGCCGCTGCCCGGGCAAAATTTCCCTCATAGCACACTGTATGGCTGCAAACTCTGACTACCCCCCCAACCCCGCTTCCAATAAAAAAAAAATATTACGAAAACAGTTTGTGTTTCAACCAAAGGTTTGAAACACGTAAAATGTGTCTGATATATGTTACCATATGTCAGTCAAAGCCCATATGGGATTCGTCCAAAGAATCCAAAAATGAAAACCCAATGAATATCTGTTGAGAAATAACCGAGATATGGGCATCCGTAAAACACTCCCTGTTTGTCAAAAATTACCTAATTTATATTTGATATATAGATCCACGGAGGCCAACCACATCTATTTTCAATACATTTTCTTCTAAATCCAGGAACAAATTTTTGCGTAGACAATGAACTGCGACATATGGATGTGACAGAGAAATTGAATAAAAATAAAATTGTGATTTGATTTAATTCTATACTTGTATTTCAGGAAGTTATTTTTGCTATGACAACCCAGCTGCTCTACAAGATACTATGATAAAAGATCTGTCTATTAATGAAAGTACTTTTATGGGCTTTTATTCCTGGTATTCCTGGCCAAATGTCATACTCTGTTTCTTTGGTGGATTTCTGATTGATAAATTATTTGGAGTACGGCTTGGTGCCATTATCTTCAGTTTATTTGTAACTGTTGGACAGGTAATGTTTATATAAGAATTAATAATACTGTCGTATCTGATCAAATGTTTGGATGTATGTTTATTAGACTACCAGTATTTATGTTTACAGACCTAATGGATCATATTACATTACATGTCAAGTTATTGTCATCATCTTTGATATTCATGTTATCAATATGTGTAGATTGGATATATATTGTCTCCCCCACATGGATTTTAAAACCTGATTTTGCTTATGCTCCCAAATATATGTCAAACAATCTTTATTGTCAAAACAACAACTACTTCACATATATTCCGATCTTTTGTGTTGTTGGTTTCATAAAATTCTTGGTGTAAATACACATATGCTAAAGACAGGACCATTTGAGGATGTGTGTTTTTTTGTACTTTGACTTTTATCACAACATACTCAGCTGCTCATGACTCCCCTTTTTTATATACCCACATTAAAATGTAGTTGTATATTATCGTCGCCCCCGTCAGTCTGGCGTCCACAATCTTTTGTGGACATTCTAGAGGCTAAAGGTTATATCTGATTGACTTTAGATTTATACACAGTTTTTAAGGTCATGAGATGAAAACACCTACATGTATATATTTTCAAGGACTTCCAATAATTCCTGCCAGAGTTATGACCCTTGATTATTTCGAAAAATCTTGCAGATGCTCTACAGGCCAAAGTGATCATTCGATTGCCTTTAGATTGATACAAGTTCTTTGGACCAACAAGTGTATTGATTTTCAATGATTTTTGAATAGCTAAATCCATGATATTAGATGTTTTGTATACAATCTGATTAAAATACAGATCTTTATTTTATGATCAGTAGTGGAATACCGCGTTTTATCAGTGAAATAAAAGTGTTATTCCAATGGCTAGAAGCGGACAAAGTAGTCCATGTTGCTTTTACCTAAAATGATTGTAAAATCATAAAATAAATAGAACATTTGTCGTTTTGTCGTGAATAACATATTTTATTTCATCTCTAAGCAATAAAACGTTTATATTAATTAGTTTTCTTGCTTCTCGATGAAATAAAATATGTTATTCACTCTAAAACGACAAATATCCTCTATATATTTCGTTTCGTTTTTTTATACTTTCGATGGCCTACACTACATGAAGATCTGACAAGTTGTAGCGATAGGTCGCGTCAGAGGTCATACGAGTGGCTTTTGACCTATGACGTCAGACATTTGATTACCCAATCAGCATTGATATTTCTAGTGGATTACCCACAGTTCCGTGTAAAATAGCCCAAAGCTCGCTGTAACAGACCGTTTCATTGGGTAATCCCTCACACTTTTTCAGATCCTAGTGTAGTAAAGACAAGTCAAACAAAATTTTGAACTATAAAAACAAACGGAATAGGATCAGATTGGTTTTGTATACTAAAAGTTAGCATGGAGAAGCCAAACAAATTACTTAATGAGTTGTTACTTTTAATAAGATTTTAGTGTATTATATTATATAAATGTTTCATTACCGTCAAAAAAAAAATATGCGACAACTCTTGTCGTCTTCCCAGAAGACTTGGCTTCTGTGTTTTGTTGCCTGGCAAACTATCTTTGGACATCATTGATGACAAGGATTTTAGTCCTTGTAATCATAATTGTATGACATGGCTATGTTTATTTTATATGTTTTATATTTCAGGTTATATTTGCAACTGGTGCTATGTTCAACAGTCCTATTGTTATGGATGCGGGTAGATTTGTCTTTGGGTGAGATTATCTTTTTAAATCCATACTGTCCTGAAAATTGAAAATGGGGTTAAACATCCTACTTTTCTGTATCCACTGGGCTAATGAAGGTAGTCATATGCCCTGTTGTGTGCTATGAGGGAAATTTTTCATGAACAACAGCACTACATTCAACTCTTTTTTTCCAATTCCATCTGTCAACGGTTCTTCACGTACACCCCAACATGTACATGAGACCTTGGTTTTCTGTCATTTCCGAACAACTAAACGCTGTTAATTGCCAGGTCATTCATCATGCAACATTGACATGGGGAACTTTTATGGCCAACAGTGGGGTCGCACACAATTACCTGGTTAGTGAGCCAGCACCATGCGCCTACTACTGCTCCCCCCCCCCCCAAAAAGAAAAATATATGATTGAGAAAATGTAACTTTTGATTAATATTACCTTAGATTCAAATTACTGTAATATGTTTGATTCTCAAAGTTAAAGTTAATTTTAAAGGAGCTAAATCGCTAATATTTTGGATCTAGAAATTGGCACAAATGGGTCGCAACACATATAATAATGTAATAAGAATTTATATAAACTGTTTTACATTCAATCGTGTCCGTTTTACTGTGAATTGTCATCAGTTATGTTCGGCGAAATACGCCAAAAGTCTCAACCGCAAGTCAGTTTCTAGCGTCTGGTTATTCCAGTCAACACCGATATTATTTATTGCGCATGCTCTCCAAATAAGAACATATCACCGTTTGACATGACTTGTGGAATATGTCTAGCCTCATTCTTTGAGCACCTTGTTACAAATGGCGCTGAAACGCATTATGGTACACGATTCGTGTACCAATGGTAAAATGTTTATTTTGTCTTAAATATTGGATATCAGAAGCCCATCTTTTCCAGGTAAGATCACAACACCAATGCTGATTTAAATTGCAAAAAACATTGTGTTTTCAATGTCGAAGATTTTGGATGATATTGAGTTACAGACTTAGCTACTTTAAATTTGATTTTTTTTCTTCTTTTTAGTATTGGGGGAGAATCTTTAGCTGTTGCTCAAAATACATATGCCGTGAAATGGTTCCAAGGAAGAGAACTTAACATGGTCTTTGGTCTACAACTGAGTTTTTCAAGAGTGGTAAGCTTAATTGTAATACAGTAATCTATATTTGGAATTATTACAACTATGAAAGCATTTTTGTTGGTGATCGATTTTTTAATTTTTTCTGAAATCAGAGAAATTTGTACTTGATTAAACATGCAGAAATATTGTAACTGAATTGATTTGTCTTCCATTTCCAAATATAAGAGATATCATTGTACAAATATTCACACTTAAGACTACCAAATCATGTAGTCATAAGTAGACTAAATTTTGTATTTGTCTTCTATTTCAAATGATATGGCACATCATGGCACAAATATTCATGCATGATGTAAGTCAGCCTAATGATGTAGGCATAAATAAACTTTAATTATTTGCTGTAAATGTATGGAAGAAAAGATCCTGTATAAAAGCTTACCCATTACAATTTATGTATTTTATTTATAGGGTAGTACAGTAAATATGAATGTGATGCATCCTATTTATAAGGCTATTAATACAGCTCTAGATGGTTATAAATGTTTAGGTGTGGCTCTTTATGTTGGTAAGTACACCCAGAACTATCAAATACCTTTGAATACATGTATGTCAAATCAGAAATCTGAAAAAAAGAATTGGGATATTACTGAACAAAACCCATCAGAATGGTTATTTGTCTATTTCACTGATTAGAAAAATAGATTCTAGACTATTTTATTTTATGATCAGTAGTGGAATACCTCGTTTTATCAGTGAAATAAAAGTGTTATTCCACTGGCTAGAAGCGGAAAAAGTAGTCCATGTTGTTTTTACCTAAAATGATTGTAAAATCATAAAATAAATAGAACATTTGTCGTTTTGTCGTGAATAACATATTTTATTTCATCTCTAAGCAAGAAAACGTTTATATTTTCACGAATGCGTAGCATTCGTGAAAATATAAGTTTTCTTACTTCTCGATGAAATAAAATATGTTATTCACTCTAAAACGACAAATATCCTCTATATATTCATGGAAATTGATCTGTTTAGAGACTTTAATGTACTGTGTTTATTATTGTAGGTGCTGGAATGTGTATATTTTCTTTGATCTGTGCTCTAAGTTTAGCATATTTTGATAAAAGAGCTGATAGAGTATTAAAGAGGAAGGTTTTAAGTTCAGGTATATATTTAAACATCTGTTTTCAAATCTCTAATTAAAGTGGTATTAGGTAAGATTAGATAAAGAGCTGACTGTGCTCGCTATGATAGTTAAAAAATAGATAATGAAAGGAGAATATTCTGAAAATTTCAATCAAATTACTTCATTCTGAGCCTAGATACCAGCCATACAATTATTGTATAGCCTTGATTGTCATTACCACTGTTGCTACAATAATTATTCATTGTTACGGTAACCGCAGCGACCACAAAAAGTATTTAAATCTACTTATATCATTATGGTCTTGGTAAGTTAATTAATGTCTAATTAATAATTTATATAACATGTAAGGCCTAAAGAAAGACCTACAATAGGCAGGTTTAGCTCTTGCATAATGTCTGTTTAAAGGAAATATTAGAATTTTGATATTTCTGTGCCACAACTTATTTTAAGAAATGTATTCATTAAAGCGATAATTTCATTTTTTCTAAGAAAGTCAAAACATAATTATTTCTATGTCTTTTGCTCAATAGGTTATCAACTCACTATTATACGACCATGGGCATTATTTCCCACCCTTAAAAATCATTGACACAGGAAATAATAACACAATTACCTCCCTTGTTTTCCTATTGCCTCCATGCATTAGCTACCTTCAAACGTTGGAATTTGAAGTTGAAAATGATATTTTTGCCAATTTCTCAGCTGGCAATAGTGACTTATAGGACTAATAGGATTATTATTTGCGCTAGCAGTAGGAGGGTAGTCAAGATTTTAGCCTCGCACAACTATAGTCAACACATTCAGCATACCACACACAAATCGGGTCACATTCTTGACTGGATTCTGACCCCAGAGCCATGTACTCTCATTCAAAGTGCATCAGTTACTGATATTCAAATATCAGATCACTATCTCGTTTCAACCCTATGGAATTTTGAAAAACCGAAGTTGCAGCCAGTTACCATTTCGTTTAGGAAGATTAAATCATTAGACAGGGAAGCTTTCAGCAACGACCTGAAGTCTTCAGATCTCCTATCAAATACACCTATAGAGCTTAACGAACTGTGCGGTAAATTTAATAGCACTTTACTTGCCCTACTTGATAAGCATGCCCCTATTGTGACTAAGAAGGTATATCTCCGGCCTGGCAGGTCTTGGTACAATAAAGATGTTCTCATAGCAAAAGAAGATCGTCGTAAAGCGGAACGAAAATATCGCCATTCTCTGCTAGAAGTCCATCGTCAAATCTACCGAAAAGCAAGAGGTGCATACTCAAAGACAATCAAAGATGCAAAATCCGCATACTGCGTCCAAAAGCTAACGGATGAATTTAAGTCTCCCAATCAGTGTCATAATTTTATGAAATCACTACTTGGTACTACAACTGAGATAATTCTACCAAAATCTGACGATGATGACAATCTTGCAAACTCTTTCTGTCAATTCTTTTCATCCAAAATAAATCAAATACGTGAACAATTAGATCACTCCAGTGAAAATGAAGAAGCTGAAGGCATTACACCTTTTTCAGCCACATGTGGAGATTATCTAACATATTTTGAGTCATTCTCTAACGATGAAATTGAAAAACTTATCAAATCATCTAAGAAGACAACTTGTCTACTCGATCCTCTTCCAACAAATATCCTTGTTGAATATCTTGATCTGCTTCTTCCAGTCATTACTCAGATTGTGAACACAAGTCTTAGTACAGGAGTATTTCCTTTAATATATAAAGATGCCGTTGTAAGACCCCTTATTAAGAAAACTTCTCTTGACCGGAATGTGCTTAAGAATTACAGACCCGTCTCAAATTTGTCATTCCTCTCCAAAATCATTGAAAAGGCAATAAACAATCGACTACAGTCCTTCGTAGTTTCTCGAAATCTTTTAGACAAATTTCAATCTGCTTACAGACCACATCATAGCACTGAGACAACTATCCTTTGTGTGCTAAATGATCTGCTGCGCTCCGTAGATAGTGGTAAACTTGTGTCCTTGACCCTGTTAGATTTGTCTGCCGCATTCGATACTGTCGATCATGAAATTCTCTTAAGAAGACTTTATCAAACTTTTCACATAACTGGTACGGCCTTACAATGGATTAAATCTTATCTTACTGACAGAAGACAGAAGATCATTATAAACAAATCTCATTCCGAGTTTGCAAACCTTAATTGTGGAGTGCCTCAAGGATCTGTTCTTGGACCGGTATTGTTTATACTGTACACACGATGTCTGGGGGATGTTATAGACCAGTTTGATATAAGCCATTTCTCCTACACTGATGATACACAGTTAATCAGTAAGTTTAAACAAGACAATGCTCATGATTCCTTTGAAAATACCACTCGCTGCTCCAAAGCTGTTAAATCCTGGATGAATAATAATAAATTGAAGTTAAACGATGAAAAAACAGAAGCAATACTTGTTGGAACACCACAGCGTCTCGCATCAACTCCTGATTCTCGTCTTGTAATTTGCGACTCTAGTATTGAATTTGCAACAAGGGTTAAAAATCTAGGTGTTATATTTGATCCGTCTTTAACAATGGAAAAACAGGTTGATCAGTTATGCCGTGTTTGTAATTTTCATCTCCGTAGTATAGGAAACATTCGTCATCTATTGACTACTGCTGCTTGTCATCTTTTGGTGCGGTCTCTAATTTTTTCAAGATTGGACTATTGTAATAGTGCCTTGGCTGGAATATCTCAACATTTATTAAAGCGACTTCAAATAATTCAGAACAACTGTGCCAGAATCATCACAAGAACAGCAAAACGTCAACATATAACATCTGTCCTTAAATCGCTTCACTGGTTACCAATAGAGGCTCGTATAAACTTTAAAATCTTAACACTGGTCTACAAGTCTCAGCATGATTCAGCTCCATCCTATATCACAGATCTTATGCAGCCTTATGTACCAAACCGACCACTCCGTTCACAGAATAATCTATCACTTGTTGTACCTTCAACTAAATTAAAATCTTTTGGTGATAAAGCCTTCAGTGTATATGGTCCACGACTATGGAATGACTTACCTGACAAAATAAAGTGTTCAGAAACAGTTGCTCAATTTCGATCTAGACTTAAGACGCATATGTTCACGATGTATTATCCACAGAAGCCATTAACTTACAGCGCTTAGAGCATGCTCATGGATGGATTAAGCGCTATATAAATGTACATTATTATTATTATTATTATTTAACAAGGTAGGACGGTTTATGGATACCATCTATTTTAAGGCTTTATTTTAATAAATTTTAAAAATATAACTTAAAAATATGAAATTGCAGCTTTAATATCGATACAAAAAACAGAATTTTAAATTTATTAGCACATTTCTGCTAATGCCTCTTTAATTTGTCATTTCAGATGAAAAAATAAGAATCACTGATGTAAAAGAATTCCCTCTGACATTTTGGTTAATAAGTGTTATATGTGTAGCTTATTATGTAGCTGTATTCCCATTTGTAGGACTTGGTTTGTAAGTATATATCATAACTTTAAGGGAAGTTTGGTGGCCAAATGATCTAACATGCACTTTAGTTACTTAGATCTGCTATTGATTTAAGTGTTATGGTGTCAATTCCAAGGAGTAGGGTTGTCTGTCTAAAATAATTGTTTTTTTTCCTGGTTTCCTTCCACTGCTAGAAATACACAAGCGAATTTGTTAAATATATGTTAGTCCCAAAAGGACCTAGTTTGTGTTGAGTGCATGTTACACCTTATTCCCTCTTTCATATTTGTATTGCTGATAAGTAGTCTAGGATTGCTAATTCTGTTTCACTGGAGTCACTGTTTCAGTAATTATGTGTGAACAGAAAGTCGGCTAAAGAATTGTTGTTATTTAGTCCCAAGGGGTCCCCACCCGCTTTGTTTACATTTGATAAAATCTTGTATAAGTAGAAGTTTTTAATTTTTTTTTAACAGGGTTTTCTTTGAGATGAAATTTGGTTTCAGCCCCACATTAGCTAACAGTGTTAATAGGTAAAGTCATCTATTTATTTATTATTGAATATTTATGAAATTCCTAGAAACTCTTTAAGCAAAAATAATTGCCAACCTAGGTGTAGACCACTATCAAATTCCACTGTTCTCCCATCATCTTTTTTGCAAGTTTATATAAGATTGCAATTATGTTGTACTATTGAGAAGTTTTATTTGTTGTTCATATTGTCTATAATCTTGCAACAAACTCTCTTCATTAATTTAAGAAAAACATTATATTGTGGACATTATTGTGTTCTAATATTAGAAATGTTATTTTATTTCAGTTTGGTATATATTATATCAGCAGGAGCCTCTCCATTATTTGGTTTCTTAATTGATAAATCAGGCAAAAATATATTCTGGGTAATAACTGGTATATTGTCTACACTGGGTTGTCATGCTGTATTAGCTTTCACCTTTATCAACCCTTTTGTTGCCATGGTGAGTAGATACAGTTGCCAAGTCTAAGACTGAAATTTTAAACATCTGAATTAAGCAACTTATCTCCTGTATTGGAGGTAAATTAAGCTTTTTGGTAATACATGCCAGCTTAATGTAATGAAGCAGTGTCGGCCATAACATAAGGGCACTTTTGAGTAAAAAATAGGTTACTTGCCCTTGTTTTGAAATTAGTCTTGCTTAACCAGTCTACCGACCATTCTATGTCTGATTTACAGGCTAGTATAATCAAGAAACACGCACGTTAGGCAACTCAGCAGTTGTTTTAAGAACCTTGAGTGTTTCAGAGATATTATTTGTACTAAACCAAAAGATGGCGCTCCTAACGGTATAGTTAATGATAAAGCAATTTAAAAAATAAAACAAATGTAATTTCTAAAGCTGCTGTAATAAACAAGAAGCTAAATATTACTGCTATTCAGAATAGTCAACAATAGATTTTTTACGGCTGTAATAGTTGATCGAGGTGTAGAGAATTTCACATGCTATGGCTATTTATAGACTCATAGACTCTTATGTTGAGTGTTATTGCACTGCGTGACTAGCCAGAAATCACTTCGAGACAAGCCACTGAAGCGTGCAAGTTCAACTTGCTGTAGGGAAAATTTTCACTGCACAGGGCACCCTAACTATATGTGGTCTAAGGGGAGATAATATTAAGTAATTATTGGCTTACCTCCCCTCACAAACCTTAAGATTTGATTGGTAAACAAATGTGTTAGTAAGTTAAGGGAGCTAGGTTCAGGTTGTTTTGAAAATTTGGGGAAGGGGAGGGGGGGGCAACAAAACATCAAAATTTCGATTTTATTTTGACTTTGGTGTACATCGATCAACTTTCGTGCATATGGCAACTAACCTCAAATCCTTCCTTCATGCCTTAAGAATGCCCCCATTACCCCCCTCAAAGATAAATCGAAGCAAACTTTTTTTTGATAGATAAATTAGTTTTAATATGCAGGAAGGCATCTTTAAAAGTTGAATTACCAATTATTTTTATTTTACAGAGTATAATGGGCTTAGCATATTCAATTTTAGCTAGTGCATTATGGCCAATGGTATCATTAGTCATTAAAAGTAATCAGTTAGGAACAGCATATGGCATGTAAGTATTTTGAGAGAATAAACTTAAGTAGTTGAATTGTGTTTGGTATAATATACAAAACTGGACAAACTGTATTGTTTGATTATCATAAGCTTGGAAAAACTAGAGCTTGGTTAGTGTAAGCAGTTAACCGAAACCACTGTAATTTGAAACATTAATAGTATCAGACTAATAAGGTTTATTTTGTGCATGCAGCTTTTCAGGATCTGGGTATGATAAGCTGTAGTGATATTAACTGTTACTGAGTAAACCTTTTTATACGCCCACATTTTCATGTGGACGTATATTGTCGTGACCTGCGTTCGTTTGTGTGTCCGTCTGTGCGTCCGTTCACAATATTGTCGTCGCCCCTGTCCGTCCATCCTTGTGTTTTTCCGTCTGTTCACAATTTGTTTGTGGACATTCTACAGGTCGCAATTTTTATCCGATTTTAACGAAACTGGAAATATAGGTGTATCACCCAAAGATCTCAGTTCCTTTCAAAATTGGCATGTATCAGACTGTAACTTCATGGGTTATGGACCCTGATTGTACGAAAAATCATGTTTTTAGCTTGTGGACACTCTAAGAGGTCACAATTTTTATCTGATTTTGATGAAATTTGAAATCAGGCTGTAACTTTCTGGATTATGACCCCAGATTGTACGAAAAATTGAGTTTTTAGCTTGTGATCCCTCTAGAGGTCACAATTTTTATCCGATTTATAAAAACGGTTAAATATTTCTTGAAAATCAGACCGAAACTGCTGGACAAAATGGCCGCTCCTCGAACGCAAATAGTGTAAATGTATGTCATATCAAGGTTGTGGACCCTCTAGAGATCACAATTTTGATCCGATTTTGATGAAAGTTTAAATTTATACATATTATATATCACAAAGATCTCGGTTCCTTTCGATAAGCACACATATTGGAACATTATGGCCCCTGATTATTCGAAAAATCACGTTTTTAGCTTGTGGACCCTCTAGAAGTAACAATTTGTATTCAATTTTATAAACCGTTTAAATATATCACCAAAACACCTCAGTGAAGGTTGAGTTCAAATTTCGTAAGAAACTGACCAAAACTGCTGGACAAAATGGATGCTCCTTGTACGCAAATTGTCTAAAAGTATGTTATACCAAGGTTATGGATCCTCTAGAATTAAGTCACAATTTTTATTCGATTTTGATAAAACTTGACATGCATGTTTATATCACAAAGATCTTGGTTCCTCTCGATAATCATGCATATGGGAAGGTAACTTCCTCCTGGATTATGGCCCCTGATTGTACAAAAAATCGTCTTTTTTAGCTTGTGGATTCTCTAGATTTCACAATTTTTATCCGATTTTAAAAACTGGTTAAATATATCACCATTCCACCATAATGATGGCTAAATTTGAATTTCGGGAAAATCAAAATGAAACTGCCCGACAAATTGGCCGACCTTTGTACACAAAATTGTGTAAAAGTATGTGATACGAAGTTTGTGGACCCTCTAGAGGTCATAATTTTTATCCGATATTGTTGAAATTTAAAAAGTATCTTTATATCCCAAAGATCTCAGTTCCTTTTGATGGTTGTGCATATCAGACCATAACTTTCTGGATTATGGCCCCAGATTGTACGAAAAATCATTTTTGTTTTTAGCTTGTTCTCTATCCATCTCTTGCAAAATGTGGGCATATCTTGCCTGGGAACCGCTGGTTGGTTTTAGTTTGATAATGAAACTTTTATGCTCTAGCACATATATCACCACGTCAGATAAATTAAACATTATGTTTGACAGAAAAGAATTGTTAATTATAATTTTAAATTGAATTGTTGTTTTTTTCAGCATGCAGGCTATACAGAATCTTGGTTTAGCTGTTATATCTCTAGTAGCTGGTATTATTGTTGATTCTAAAGGTTACCTTATTCTAGAAGTCTTCTTTCTCGCCTGGTTGTGTTGTAAGTTCTACTTGCTTATAATGTCCTGTTGGCCTCTCCTTTCAGTTCTTTTCTGTCCCTAGGACAGGAAATAGATTATTAAGATAGATCAATGACCACATGCTCACACATTTTCAAGTTGCCAATCTTTAAATTATGAAGTATTTTTTCTAGAAGGATAACACAATTTTTTTTTATCGTTTTATTATCAAAGGAAAGTATAATATAAATGTTGTAAATATTGTGATATTTTCGTGGGGTAGGAGGAGTATTTTGTGTTAAGTTAGAAAGATTAAAACATCTATGAAATGCTATATTATTCATTATTCATCTAGATTGTTTTATTTTTATTTTAGTGGCATTGATAGCTGCTGTAGTATTATATCTGGTTGATGCTTCAAGAGGTCTGTTATAGTTTCTGATTATTTATATAATAAAATGAAATGAACTGGGGTTTAACATTCTACTGTTCTGCTGGGCTAATGATGACAGGGACAGTACATGCCATACAGCCTTATCTTATATCAAATTTACACTGCCAAAGGTTCTTTTATGTGTATGCCAATGTACTTAATGGTACCTTGTTTTTCATACCATCCAAACGATTATGCATGGATAGGCTCTCTGTCTTGCACCACTGACAAGGGGGAGCCGCATGGAAAATCCAGATGAACTTTCTTGACAAACCCCGGGATCGAACAAAAAACCTCCAGGTTAGCTGGCCAACGTCTTACTCACGGAGTCACCACGGATCAATATAATAATTGCCAATATTGCTCAACAAGGTTTGATAACTGAGTTAGGGAATTATTGCACATTGTTTAAAGTTGAATTATGTAAGAGCCAAATCTGCCTATTGCAGGTCTTTATTTTGGCTCCAAATATTATATTATAAACTATTATTTAGACATTTATTCACATGAAAAGCCTATAATCAACTCTCCTGACCATCGGATGGCAGAGATTTAAATTAAATGGATAAGAACACCCGTGATATTTAAAAATTAATGGAAAAAATGTATATGTCAAGTTCTGTTGCTACGATAATAAACAATCTATGCTACATCTTCAAACACTCATAACTTTGCTCAGAATAAAGTAATTTGAATGAAATTTTCAAAATATTCCCTTTTCATTATCTATTTTTTTAACTTTTATTGCAAGAACAGCCAGCTCTTTATCTAAATCTTGTATAATGCATCTTTAATTGTTTGACCTAATAATGGAGGAAATAGAGGTGGTAAAACCAAACTAAGCTAGAACAGCCTATCATGCAAGTGGAAGAGGATGTTAAGCTCGATAAGAAGAAGAATAGCCTATTTAACTTCTGCAAGCTTATATTTATCCAGTCACAAATAGGTGTTTTATTATTTATAAGTTAAAATGAACTATTATCTGTGTTTACAGGTGGACTGTTGAATCTGTCATCAACACAAAGACATTCTAAACCTGAGTAAGTTTATAATTAGCTCCACAACAAACTATCAATTATTTTATAACTTTTATACATATGTTCTTATCTACAAATTTGGTCAAATAAATATAGGTCTAGAAAAAGATACATTAGCATATTGGAGGTCTAAGCCAGTACATTAAAAAATAATTTTATTATACATTTACATCAGAGATGTATTCATATTTTGGACATGTTGTCCAATGCTTCTTTATGACATAGACATTTTAATTTTCAGTTTACAAACTGTACAAATATCTTAGCGATATCTAAAAGACTGAACTACCCGCATAAAAAATGACATACTGTATTCTAAGTAGGTCATTGCTTTGATGAGTATTTATGGTTATTTGGAATATTTATTAAGAAATAGTTACCTTTATTTAATGATTGCTTCTTTAACGAATGCATTTGTTTTATGAAATTTAAATTTTATTTCAATGTAGCAATAATAATTTATTTAACGTATTTGTTATGTGTAAAAATGTTTATGTTTTTTTGGGTTTTTTTCAGTGAGCTTGCTGTCAATTAAACCAGATATAATAAACCAGAAATAGCAGTTTCATTTGAAAGTTTATTCACTTTTTATATACCAACCCCATTCAATTGTCTTCAAATTACTGTGCCTTAGATCTATAAACCAGCTTCGCTAGCTAATTGTGATCTAAAGCTATGATCTTTAGCATTCTATAAATTTCAGGCATACACTCTGAAGAACAATTAATATTGATCTAAACTGCTTTTTTAATATCTGTTGAGATTTGCATTTGAAAGGGCAAAGAATAAATGACTTCAGTTCTATGCAAAGACTGATTTGATCTTTCAATAACATTTTCTTTAGATTTCTGTTTGAGATTTAAGAAAAGGTTATATGCACATAAAGAAGAGATAAATCAAGTTGTTAAATGTTTATCTTTTTCATTTCAGTTAATCAAGCATATGTGTGCCAAATTTTTTATAGCCCCAAAAAACATAAAGTTTAAGTGGGTATTAATATACTTTAAAAATTTATTTGTTGAATATCACATGAGGAGTATTAAACTTTTTTTAAGAAAATATTAAATTTCTCACAGCTTATAAATAATCCATGCTGATGTACTCAGATTGATTATTTAACATTTAGTTAAGAAAACAAAATCAAATAAAGATGGCGACGGGCTTATTACAAACAGAGCAGCATAGTTTGATGGAAATTTCAATTTGTCATATATTATCTATGTAATTACTGAATGAAATTGAACCATTTTTCGGCTGTATAACCCTATTACTAAAGTCATTTAGTGATTAACTTTCACCTTATTTTAGTTTGCAAAGGATTGCTATTGTGCTAAAATCATGCTTAGAGTCTTTAACTGTATAGATGTGATGATATTTTACATGTTCCGAAATACTCTACCATGTAAAGACCATACTATCAAAGTTTACACCATATATTAAAGTTCCATATATTTGTTAATTGTTGGTTGTTATTTATTAGATAAAGAAATATTATTCACTCAGAAAAGAGCTGAACAATATTATTAAGTGTACATAACTAATCTGCTTCATGAAAACAAGCAGGTCCTAGAAAAATTATTTGTTTCATGTATTGTCAGTGTATGTTCAGAAAGGTAATTAGTTTAAATTTGTAAATATTTCATTCAATCAATTACCTTTTATCTCAGCCTTTAGCAGTTTGATAGTTAAATGTTACATTTATTAGATAATTATTTTTGTATTGAAAACGTGTATCATAATGTGCATATTATAATAGAAATAATGTGCATATTATAATAGAAATAATGTGCATATTATAATAGAAATAATGTGCATATTATAATAAAAAAAAGTGCATATTTTAATCTTCGCTTTAGTTACTGTAAACACTAAATTAAGGTAATGCATCATAAAAGTAATGTGACCTGAAGGGAGTAAGCATCAATGTGTACTGCTACTACAATTAATGCGATCCACCATGTCATCATTTCTAAAATTAGGACAAAAATTATAACTGGGTGGCTTCTTCTTAGTTCAATGATAAACCAACGAGGTTTGACAGGCGACCCTACTCCTTGTAACGTACAGGTCTGGAATCGAAACCATGCCGCTTGATTCCGACCTTGTGATTTCATGCGCACGCGTTAAACCACTAGACCATCCCCCCACCCCCTGCTGTTTTAAGATGCATTATGCAAGAGCTAAATCTGCCTATAGCAGGTCTTTCTTTTGGCCTTAAATGTTATATAAATTATTAATTAGACATTAATTAACTTATCCAGACCATAATCAACTCTCGATGCCAATGGATGCTTTATCTTTTCAACGGATTTAAGCATGGATAATCGAGACTCCAAACAGCCTTAACATCGCTCAGAATAGAGTAATTTGACTGAAATTTTCAAGACATTCCCTTTTCATTATCTAGTTTTTAACTATTATTATTATAGCAAGAATTGTCAGCTCTTTATCTAAATCTTACATGATGCATCTTTACACCATTGTTGTGTTTTTATCAACCTCTAACTAATTAATTATTGCTGATTATTTTTTATTTTTTTGAGTGCTATTGGTTTACTCTTGGAACTTCTCAAATAAATAGAAAATACATATCATATATATGCAGTAAAAAATTGTAGGACAAATATGTAGACAGTTTTTCAGATTTTATTTGTGTTCAAATTAATAATGGTCTTGTCTGTATACTACATATATTTGTTAATATAGTATTGGGTAAATACACTTTGTAAAGGAGTTTCCTTTTGTTACCACACAGCCCTTCATAATGTAGAATGGCAACATTAAAATGTACTAAATTTATGATGGAAAAGATTTTTGGCAATAATACTTTGTATTGTTTTTTTTTATATTTATTATTAGAATTTCATTTTGAAAATAAAATATATGTGTATGTACATATTATATTGATTGTAAATATTTCTAGCATAGATCTTTTTATAAAGAAAATAAATCAGATTCTAATTTAAATTAATTATCATACTATGTTTCATTTTCTTACACATTACCTTTTTAGTTCATCATTTAACACATAAAGATATAGAAAAATGTATTTAAAAACCATTGTGCAATATTGATTCATTGATAGCAATTATTAAAATTTATTTATCGCCAATCCTTGAAAAATGGGGCTTTTATCACCAATTAAAACAATATTGGTTTGCTCAGGGACATTTCTAACTCTACCCATTTAAACCTTGTGGGTTATCTCCGATTTTCTCCCATTGCTAAAGTACCATTCATGCAAGCAAATCATTAAAATAAGGCATATTAGATGCTGTTTATTGCCAGACCATGCAAACTGCACATCTTACAAGGGATACAGAGGATATTTCTCTGCCAACACTCGGATCAAATTCAGGACCTATGCCTGGCTTTCACGTGGGCTACGTATACCAGTACCACGAAACGCCCCGATAAGTGCCGGATCGAAATTCATGGCGGCAAAAAAAATAAACCAGCGGCTGCTAGGCAAGATAGCCTACTCCCACATTTTGCAAGACATAATACAGGAAGTTATGATCTGAAATGTGTGAATATCGAAAGGGACTGAGATCTTTGGGAAATAAAGATATATTTTAAGTTTCATCAAAATTGTGACCTCTAGGGGGTCTACAACCTTCGTATCACATACTTTTACACTATTTGCGTACAAGGAGCGGCCATTTTGTTGGGCAGTTTCATTTCCATTTTTCAGAAATTCAAACTCCACCTTCATTATTGTTTTTAAAACCGGATAAAATTGTGACCTAGAGGATCCACAAACTAAAAATGTGATTTTTCGTACAATCAGTGGCCATAATCCAGGAAGTTATGGTCTGTTATGTGCGAATATCAAAAGGAACTGAGATCTTTGGGAAATAAACATATATTTTAAGTTTCATCAAAATCTGACAAAAATATCAAAAGTTAAACAAGGGCGACAAACAATATACTTCCACACGGAATTGTGGGCGTATAAAATTCCATGAAGAATCTTGAGTAGCTGCGACGCAGTTACATAGTGTATGAAGGAGTTATGATAATTTGTGGGTAATCGGGTGATAAATATGTCGAATGTCAAGATAGGGTTTCGATAAATGTACAAAATGAAAGAATCAGTAGCGATTCAGTTAAAAATAAGCCAAATTCTTTAAAAATATATGAAATTCAACTACGAATACACTACGATCTAGCTCGGAAAAGTTTACAATATTCGGTGCTATTCGTGGCAATTTGGGTCCTAACATACTATAAAAAATAACAGATCGCTGCCAAACCCGTAATTTGTCGTAGTCCTGGTAGATATTGTCACTTCGGCTCCATTATGTCGGTAACGGATCAGTGCCGCTTATTTTGCTGTTTTAGTGTGGGAACGATTGCAGCGAATCGTGCCAAATCCAAACCTTTTCCGATTCGCAGATAAATTGTAGACCGTTCTTGAAGTTCATAAATGCTTCTTTTTTGGTACTTTCACATTCGTATTGTCCGTTTTCCATGAAATACATTTGTGGCCGATCTATAAATTTAAATTATAAACACGTTGTAATCCTTTCTTTTCGTCCCCAACATCAGCTTCCTATTTGATTCTGTGAAATTCGTGTTCATTCGTGGCTCCCTAAAATTCATGGAATGTCGTTAAAACTGCCCCAAATAGGCACGAATATCCCAGGTCCGCTAAGAATCAACTACGAATAAAGCCCCTCCACCCACCCATCCTAACACAAATTGCTGCCGAATGTGCTGAACAAATCACAAATCCTCCACAAATTCAAAACCTCACGCGCCCAACATGGCGTAGTTGTGACTGAATTTGGCGTATTCGTTAAAAATTCAACATATTCATAAACAATTTGGCATAATCGTAACTGAACCGCTACTATAATTTATAGATTATTCTTTTATTTCTTACCTATCGTAACCCTATCTTGGCATTCGGCATATTTTTCTCCCAATTGCCCAGAAATTATCGTAACTCATTCGTAAGCTATTCGTAACTGCTTTGTAGCTACTGCCAATTCTCCAAGATTTTTTCAGTCGATTCGACACGAATATTGATTAATTTCTATTCGCCATTTATATAGCTGAGAAAATCGTTGCTGATCTGTAGTTGATTTGGGATAGTTTGAATCGGCTTCACGAATTTTGGAGAGCCACAATGACCACGAATGTCAAAGAACTGATCGGCACGCTGTTATGGACGACATGAAAGGGTTACAACGAGTTTACAATATATCTACACATCCCAAAATTCGAAGACCGGACACAAAAGTTTTTGACAAGCAAAAATGTTCGTGGTGGAGCTACAAACAATACGAATGTAAAAACCAAATAAGAATCATTCAAAAACTTCAAGAACCATCTACGATTTATCTACGGATCAGAAAAGGTTTGGATTCAGGACAATTCATAGCCCACGTGAAAGCCAGGCATAAGTGAGCAAACATCTTCCTCACTGAGCTACAGTGGCTCTCTCCAGAAAAGAAACCTACCTCCAGATAGATATAGACTAAGTTCACTTGTATCCATGGAAATGAAAATAATTTTTTTTTTTAACACTACTAAAAGGCACCACATCAGTACTCTGTTCTTGTGTGTAGAAAGTTTTCCAAAGAAATACAGGATGGTTCATAAGATATGCCGATCTAGTGATCTGGGTATCTGGGTATCGGGTTTGTCTTGGCTTACTGATAATAAATACAAACAAATTCTCTCATTCCTAAAAAATCATTTTATTATTTAAATAAGATGCATATTGATAATTACAGTTATGCATAACACTTGGTTAAAAACAAATAAAGCTCATATTATGATATATAATAAATATTACACCTGTATGTCTTATAAATAAATTAAAAGAATAAATTGAGACGTAGGCAATATTTGTAGAGAACACAAAAGAAATATTTTAGATGATATTTAATATTTCATACAATGAAACATAACTCTACCAACTTTCATAATGAAACTTTATTTTATACTTAAAGATGCATTATGTAAGATTTAGACATAGAGCAGATCGTTCTCAGTATAATAGCTCAAAAACAGATAATGAAAAATGATTATATTGAAAATTTCATTCAAATTACTTTATTCTGAGCGAAGTCATCACTGTTTTAAGTTTTGACATTGATTGTTTATTATCGCGGCAACTTTACTCGTTAATGGCGATTGTATTTTAATCTGTTTACATCTGTGCCATCAGATGTCCTAGAGAGTTGATTATAGGCTGGTTATGTGAATAAATGTCTAAATAATAATTCATATAACATCTGAAGTAAAAAAAACCTGTAATAGGCAGATTTTGCTCTTACAAAATGCATCATTAACACAATTTTATCCAATACCCCTACTTGGCTTTTATGCAACTGTTATTCACAAGATTCAGCAGAGAAGACAGACTCCTGTGAGTTGCGCTTGTAAGTGAGTTGCTATTTTCAATGCAGTATAATCATTATTAATAACAAAATAGCCTATGTAATGACTAGAAAAAATATGCTTTCACTTTTAAAATTTTTTGGGAAAAGCCATCCTACTGTTGAATTTTATATATAGCATGAAGTCATTACGTACAATGCTGGCATATCAAAAAGAAGCCAGTTAAGGTCTTATTATTCACATACCTACATTGGAAGGCAACACATCAAACATTTCCCTATAAAATACATCAAGGCAGCATTTCCCACATTTTGTTATCATGTCTACATGTAAACATTATACTGATGCATTTACATTTATTTATAGCAACTAGCACTAAAATTTTAAATATAAGTTAGTAAATACAGTATCAAGCATGTCCATTGAGTAACTTAAAGAGGTATAAAATAAAATGTAATTAATAACATCATATTTATCGAAAATTCTTTCTTAGGGTAAAATATTTTCCATTAAACCATTAAAAACAATATACATGAAACATAAATCATCTCTGTGTCATCAATAAATTGACAGAATCGTCTCATATTTTGAATATATAGTTTCATACATATTTAATACTATTATACATTTTTATCTTATATAATAAAGAGTCACCTAAATATTTATATTTTATAGGAATTGTAAATTTGTTATTAAGAATTTGAACAAAATTATGAATAAAAACACGTTAAACAGTTCTTTTTTTAAGGAAATGCTAATAATATGATATGGAATAAATGAAAAGCTGGACGTCAGTATACAAAAACAATCATATTTACAATAACATTATCAACAATAACATTATCAACAGACAATTCATTGTTTTCTAGAATACGTAATTAATAATATGTAAGAAAAACATATTTAATTAAACAATTGCAATTCATAACAATTTAACTTTGTTAAATATGGTCAATAAATATAATGCTTGTCAATTATGAATGACTTATTATATTAGTAAAATATTAAGATATAGCACAAACATATTTTGCAAACTATTTAATTTAAAGCTTAAAATATATTTAATTAATATTTTTTCTTCCTAATAGCATAGCTTTTGAGATGTATTAAAAATCCCTTATGAAAAATAAATAAGGTCACAATTGCACTACCTTCTTCAACACATTTTTCAAACTGAAATGCGAATAAAATTTGTGTTTAAATACCAGTATCTTTATAAATGCAAAGAACAGACAAAACTACATGCATTTACAATAACATGTAGATGTTATAAACCATATTAGCACTATATATGGGCTCCTAGAGAATAAAATTCAATTTGTAGAGGGAAAAAAGAGAAGTGACTACAGACTCGGATTTGAATATAGTGGTTTGGTATTAATGGAGTTATATTAAATCCAAAGCTGACAAAACTGATGGATGTCCTGAATGTTAACCATTTCAATTAAAGTAGCTAAGTCTCTAACTCAATATCATCCAAAGTCTTTGACATTGAAAACACAAATTATTTCTCAATTTAAATCAACATTGATGTTGTGATCTTACCAGGACATGATGGGCTTCTGATATCCAATATTTAAGACAAAATAAAGATTTTACTATTGGTACATGAATCATGTACAATAATGTGTTTCAGCGGCATTTGTAACAAGGGATTCCAAGAACAAGGTTAGACATATTCCACAAGTCATGTCAAACGGTGACCCCATATCCTTATCTAGAGAGCGTACACAATAAATACTATCAGTGTAGACTGGAATAACCAGACGCTAGAGATTGCCATTCGATTGAGACTTCTGGTGTATTTCGCCAAACATAACTGATTAAAAATTATAGTAAAAACAGAAACGATTGAATGTAAATCAGTTTATATACATTCAGATTACATTATTATATGCGTTGCGACCCATTTGTGTCAATTTCTAGGTCCAAAATATTTGCGATTTAGCTCCTTTAAAGTTTACTTGGTTCTCTTCTTATAATTTTCGTACATTAGAGATTTGAAATTTTTAAGTATTATAGTGTTAAAACATTTTACACAAAGGAAAATATATCTGGTAGATAAATTTACAGTGAGAGTGACATACATGCATTTTAAAGATGTTCAGTCTAATTAAATTTAGATCATAGCCTACTTGGGTCTTTTCAGTTTTATGTTGTTTATATCTATATACTGTAGAGTAGACTAATAGTACTGACATTCACCTTGGAACAAAATATTGGTTGGTCAAGATCTAACTTCAATCTCATTGAAAGATATTTGATAGGTTAACATAATCAGTCTGAGACTTGAAACAAGCAGTTTTCACAAAATAAATTCCTGAGCAAAATTCAAATAAAAAAGCCTAAGTGAAGGTGTTCCATATCTTTCATATTCATAAAATAAAAAAACCACATTGTATTTATTTGTGTCCCTTCTGATAAGCTTGCATTAATAAATAATAAAGTTGTAGATAATATTGAATTAATTCAGATAAGCTATGAATTAAATCAATTTAGTTCCCAGGAAAATTGATTCAGACAACAATTATTTTTATCAACCGGATATGACAATTGTCTGTGTTTACACTGATTTATCCATTTTAAAGTTTGTGATCAATAAATAATTGGGTCAGATTTGAGAATCCAACTTCAGGCATCCGATAAAGTTCGATAAATGGCCAAATTGATTTCAATTCAAATTGCTCTAAATTAACTGCTGAATTGAATTGGATCATTTGGCTCTTCACCTGAACGAATTCACTTGAATTATCTATTATCATTTTTCAAGATATTGCCTGGGAACTGTATATTTTGATTCAAGTCTTCCATCCACTAGCAGCAATATCACAGTTTGTGCTTCTTTCATTATATTTCTAGTCCATTCTATATCTGTACGATAGCAAATGTACAATTATGGTCAACTTTCTTTAGTAATATCACAACCAATATAAAACATTTCACCCATAGTTTTTTATTACACAAATTTCATTACTATTTCTCTACCTCAGCTTCTTGTTAAAGATTTCTATGTATTTTCAGTATGGAGATATAATTTGGTTATGGTCTGAAAAAAATATATATAGAATTAGTCAAAGATAGGTTGCCTGGAAACAAATCTTACATTTAATAGCTTTGATGCCTGATCATTAATGATAATTATCAGAATAACATTGTGAACTCTATTAATTTTGTCATTAGATGCTGATTATCTTACAAGGTTCAGCTCTATATATCGAAAGCTAAAAACCCAACAAGTTTGGTCTCTAGAGTTGATTACGGGTTTGTCATATGAATAAATGTCTAAATAATAATTCATATAACATTTAAAGACAGAAAAAAACCTGCAAGAGGCAGATTTAGCTTTTGCATGATGTATCTTTAATGTTTAATATTATTTATGGCCAATAAATCTGGATGTAACTATACTTTGAGAAATTACTGAGATTGACATGCTTCACTGTCTCACACTAAATGAATACAAATTTCAAGTAGACTGGATGACAATTGTTTTGTTTTTTTTTGGTTTTTTTTTACAATAGGAACCTCAAACTGATCGAGAACTTGATTATCAGGGGTGATGACTACAATATACCCTTATGAAACTACCCTCACCCCCATGCATTTCCCACGGTGTCCTATGAGATTTGCTAGGGGTCCCACTGGTAACAAGGTGGTTATAATCAACAACTATAACCATGTTTCTAAGGAAAGATCAATCAGCCTAGCAGATACAATATGTGTAGGAAGATTATATTGAATATGAATGTTTTATTTTGTCCCTAACTCTGAACTGGTTACTGTTTCAAGGGCAACAACATGAAATCTCCATGGACAATTGATCCATGGGTTTAACTATAAACCGTTTCTAATTTATTTTTGGTTTAAATGTGACACAAAAATAAATTGCGGACTATCTGTTTTCAAAATTACTGGTAAAATGTTGGATTGGCCATACAAGTCACCTTCTATTTCTCAGGTGATTCAAACCTAAATTTGCCATCCTATATTTTTTTTAATACCTACCTGCCTTATACAAAAAAAAAAGAGATAGAGTCTGTCAGCATAGGGAGCCACGTACACATGACAATTTTGAAATTAATGAACACATATTTGCAAATTATTTTGGGGTGGTTGTGTGGGGGAGCTGAAGCCTGTCCTGATGCATATAAAATTTATAAAGATGGGACAGAAATTGCTGTGGTCCCCAGTCAACAAATGGACGTACATGTATGTTATTTGATAATGTAGGGCCCATCTGTACAGTTCTTACTTTAGGTTACATTACTATAATCATAATTAAATGTCAAACTACAGTATCATGTGTAAACTGAAAACAAAACCTTATAAATAATTCTTAAATATCTATAATTATGGTGAATAACTAAATTCTAAAATATAAATATTTACACACAAACATGAAGCATTACGAATAAGAAGTGGTGAATACAATAATATAATATTACCATTTAGCTGGTGAAACATATCGTGTTAAATCTTCTACATCAACTAACATAGAATCTTGTTCCATATGTAAATCATCTCTTTCTATCAATAAATGTACTAATTCTTCATTTAAATCTAGAGACAAAAAATACAGTGATAACTCATTCAGCTATATGCAAGTTAATTTATATTAATGCAGTACATTCGAATTTGCTAAATGGCCATGTCTGATAATACAAAACAATAGTTAATAATTCACATATTTATCCTTATTCCTTGTATCCAAAATTTTGTATACTGTTAATGTTGAGTCTTTAAATGAAACAGTCTTTTTATATTTTGGTTACATTATTTATTTTTCTGAGAAACTGTGAATATCTTTTCAACCTTCAGCAACATATGACATCAAACAGACATCTATAAACTGCTTATTATTTTGTCATATTTTCATTATTTGAGAAACTAGTTTGACACAATACAGAATATACATTTCAAATGTCAAAGATCGTATTAAAAAGCAGCAGCTAAGGTTATATAAAAGCTGATTAGATGAGATTCAAATGGTTTATCATTACCAGTAGGCTAAGCCTTTATATATCTACAGAATATATCCTTAAGCTATGGGTAAAGTGTAGGCTAAATAAATATTATGCTTTAAAATATCTTATTTTGTTGTTTTGTCTTACAATGGGACTATTAAAATGGATACAGCTGTCTGTCTGTCTGTCTGTACGGCTTGTTTACATAGCATTTACTTTTATGTTCAGATTCTATATTTTATTGAGGTTTCAATTGATTAAAATGAATCCAAGTTTTGATTGTTTTAAGATGAAAAAAAAAACCAATCTTTTTACATGCCAATGACCAGATCACTTGAATCTAAAGAAATGCAGATTCAGACATTCACTAACCCAGTTTGTGATACGGAAATCTGTCCAAAATATCCTGAATGGATTCTCAATATGAAAAGATTCTAGACTTGGATTTGCTGCTGAGTTGTTTGGAAACTAATATTTCTTTCACACTGGAATAGTTGGTCTCATTTTTTCGTACAACACTGTTCTTCCCTATACTGCTGATGTATTTAACTCTACTGGCTACACTTTGGTTTAACCAAACCCACCCAACCTAACCTGATACCTGGGGGGGTAGATGGCTGAATGGTTAGTGTGTGCGCGTTGTATCATAACGTCTGTCACTGAGTCAACTGGGGTGGTTTCGATTCCCCGGTTGTACATGACAAAGAGTAGGGTCACCTGTCCAACCTCGTGGGTTTTCTCCGGGTCCTCCAATTTCCTCCCACTGCTAAAGACCCCTACGCGCAAGCGAATTATTGAAATAAAATTAAACCACATCCATTTCTCTCTCTCTCACTTGAGATACTGAACTGCTTATATTTATTGTGAGGTACTATATGGGATGGTTAATGCTTATGACTGACATGAGACACAGTATTGATTGGTTGGTGCCCATTACATATAAGCACAAGGGTCATTTATAATTAGTATCTCCATTCCACTCTTACTCACTTTCTATTTGAGAATGAACATCGTTGACTAGAATTTGAAGCTGAGCTAGATTCATTTCCTCCAGAAGTTTGCGGTTGAATTTCTTCCGTCTCCCATCTCCTAGACTGGGTATTCCAACCTGAAAATTCCAGTAAATACCATGCCTTCAAAATGTTATTTATTTTTTTACTTCTACATTTACAAAACTTAGATCAATATATACTTGAATATTGATTAGGGTAAATTTTTAATAAAGACTAAGCAGTAAGAAGCCATTGAGAGTATTGTTATCTCAATCATTGACTGAAAATTGAGAAGAATAACTTTTCAATTTTAAACAAATGACATTTTCAGATGATTCATTTTCCTTGCAAAACATTATACTTGACATTTTGTGCATCCTCTAGACTGTCATTGAAATAACTTGTCAATATCTTAGTTCTCTGCTTTCATGAAAAGAAGTAGTTATTTATTTTATCAATTTTGTTCAAATTACAAAAAGATATTAGAGAAAATTTAATCTAGCAGTATGGGAAGTAGCTTGTTTGGGAGGGTTGTGGAAAAAGAATTTATCCTTTTTTCCAAATCCTATGGCTGTATGGACATAGAATGATTATTAATTGATAATGTGTACAGGCTGATATAATCCTAGAAGTGTGGAAATACAAATCTCCTTATGCTAAAAAAACAGCCAATATGGAAAATCTGTCAAAAGAGCACTTCTCTAACATCATTATGTATTAGATAGAATGTGTACTTAATAAATTCACACATACCATATCAGCTATTGGAGATTTCTTCTTTAATTGTTTTTCAACTTCTAACTGCATATGTGCCATAGTACTAGCCTATGTAATATAAAACAACAAATTTATAATGATAATCGTGAGAAATATAAAATGGTCTTTGTTTAAATACAAGTACCAACTGTGTAAAACCTAGATTTCTTCCAGTTCAATAAACCAACATTTTCATTAGTCTGCTAATCAGCATCATAATTTATAATTCAAAAATTTTAACAATATTGAGGGATATTTCAAACTTAAAGTAGAAGAGATAGTATTGGGATTTTCAGAAAGAATATTGACTGGCAACCAGTAATGACAAACTCTTATACTAATACTAATAGGTCAAATGACAGATAGGCTGTCAAATAAAAACTATTCTCCCCAAACTGTATCTGGCAACACATTAAAGATGCATTATGTAAGATTTCAGATAAACAGCTGGACACTCTTGCTATAATAGTTCAAGAATAGATAATGAAAAATGAATATATTGAAAACTTCATTAAAATTACTTTGTTCTGGAAAAAGTTATGACTGTTTGACAATATAGCATAGATCATTTATTATCCTAGCAGCGGTACTTGACAAACATGACTAAGCTTTCATCGTCCATTTTATTGTTAAAATTTTAAATCTATTTTAATCTTCGCCCTCCGATGTTCAAAAGAGTTGATTATAGGCTTTTCATGTGAATAAATGTCTAAATAATAGTTTATATAACATTTGGAGTAAAAAAGAAGGACCTGCTATAGGCAGATTTACCATAGCTCTTACATATTGCATCTTTAATACAACCTATCATTCTGATTGGTCACATGACATTCAGGCTGTGGAATCAAAACCTATAACCCCAAAGTTTATCTAATTGAAACAAATATTCAGATTTAGAAGTGCTTAAAAGCATAATGAATTAATGAAATCCACTGGATACTTCTGTGACATTAAGAACCTGTCAATGCTTTTGTTACATACAATTCTTCATTAGCAATCTAATGAGTGACAGCAAACTAGTGTATTCTCGGATTGAATCAAAAATCCTCTTAGCACATATTTTGTTTATTTAAATCAGATGTGGTTTTTATCAATATATTAACACATATGTTTTAGATATATACATGTAGTTATGCACATAAAACTGAAATTTTGCATGAAAGACTTGTCTCGGTCCCATGTAACTATTTGAAATTTCGAAGACAGGCATACTATCATTCTTTTTGTCTGATAGACAACAAATTCTACTCTAGGGTGTCTGAAACCAGTTTTATAACCATGCCCTAGAATGATGGTTGCCTTCATCAAGTCACTTATTAGAAGTACATATTTGTACAAATACCTTTCCGAAGTTGCATCACCAGGTTAATCATTTTCGAACAACTCAATATTTTGTGTTGAAACTTTTAGACAAAATAAACAAATTTACCCAGAGGGATTGAATACTACTTGAATATTCAAATATAATTGTGTTTTATCAAACCTACCTGGGCTAAAGCTATTTTTGCTTCTTCTTTTAATCTGGAAGGATGATAGGTAGGTGTATCTTTGTCATCAATATTGCGTTTGTTGACTGGAATTCTTTCTTTATTAGCTGGCTTAGACTACAAAAAAAATTTGTAGAAAAACAAATTTGTTCCTAAAACTTGTGGCTGAGAATGGATAACTGAGAAAAAATTGTCAAACCATACAGCTACATGTATAGAATCAGAAAACTTGTTGTAAAGATTACATCCACAATGCAAAAATTGATCACCCTTTCAATTGAGAAAACTAAATAAGTTTTATAAGATTAATAAAAAGACTAAAATAAACCAACCTCTATTTGTTGTGTTTTTGATTGTATTTGTGTTTTATTATTGTCTTTTATATTATCTTTATTTGCTGTCTGTTCTTGATGACCAGCTTCATTCATAGCTTCATTCATAAAACATATTTGTAGATTCATACCACTCTGTAATCGAGTTTGAAAATTTGGTTTTTTAAACGCTCTCTCATTGTAATAGTACTCTTCATCGGTTCCCATTGCAAGCTTCTGTCGTATTGTTTCGCGATCATTTTGATGAGTCTGTAATAAAAATTGAGTTATATTATGTCTGCTGAATCTGAAAACATTTTCTGATATTGGAATGTTTATGGAAACCAGACTTTTAATTACAATAAAGCAAATAAAAGGCAGGGATTGTCAGTTTGGGATTGTTAGTAAATATGTAGTCTTGTTTATTCAATGAAATCAAAATGGGTTTAGAGTAAAATTGTTTCAGTACATGTAGCATGAAATTGGAACCATTCGTTATTTTCCTGTCTCTTGGGGCCTTAACCATAATCTTAGCAGTCATATTTCAGACTGGCTATATATTCATGCTTAACTATTTTCCAAGATAGGGATGATGATGATTTTACATGTCAGAAAATGTGTAAATTCTGTAAACTAATACTTAACAAAGGCTTAGAATACACATGTGTGAAAATACACATTAATTGGTGCAAAATGACATCTAATCTCTAAAAGCCCTCTTTCCCTGCTGCCTCCAGGTCATTTTGAAATTTGATTGCCCTATCCCTCTATAAATTCTGTTAAGTTCTGTCGAGTTTCGATTTTATTCTAAATTGTTGTCGGGGCAGATGAAGACTACTCGTAGATAAATCACAAAACAATTGATGACAGTGAAACAGTTTGATGAATTGTTGTATATTAGGTTGAAATTTGTTAGATATCAACTTACTATGGAAGGAAAATGCCAATTCATTTTTATAGACAAATAAACCATTTTATTGACATATAGTAGTTACAATAAGCTATTAGTTATACATTTAGTCCAAGAGCCAATACCAAAAATTGGTCCACTATAAGGAGGGCAATTATAAATAGCCTCTAGATCATTCACAATATTTTTCAAGGTGATCAAGGGCCATAATTCTGGCAGTAATTATCGGAAATCGTTAAAGAAAGGATTAGGCTTCCTCATATCTCATGACCTTAAACACTGTGTATCAATTTAAAGTCAATCGGATATTAAGATATTTCAAAGTGATCAAGGGTCATAAATCTGGCAGTAATTATCAGAAATCGTTGAAAATCATTATGCTTCTTCATCTCATGACCTTAAACACTGTGTATAAATGTTATGTCAATCGGATATTTCGAAGCGATCAAGGGCCATAACTCTGGCAGTAATAATCTGAAATCATTGAAAAAAAGTAGGCCTCTTTGACTCATGACCTTAAACTTAAGCACCGTGTATAAATCTAGAGCGTCCATAAGATATTTCAATGTGATCAAAGGCCATAACTCTGGTAGTAATTATCAGAAATAGTTGAAAATCAATAGGCTTCTTGGTCTTATGACCTTAAACACTGTGTATAAATTTGAAGTCAATCAGATACTAACTGTAGCCTCTAGAGCGTCCACTCTATATAACCACTTTTCAATGTGGGTATATAAAAAGTCACTGTTTAATCCTTGGTGTAAAGAGTTGCGTCAATATCAAGAGTTAACCTTAAACTGACGTTCAAATTATTAAAAAAAATTACCTTTTTAAAAAATCAATAAATTCTACAACTGAAACTTATACTAGTTGTAGTCAATTTTATGAATTAGTTTGTTCTATTTTACATAGTAGTTTACATTATATTCTATAACTATATGCAAATACAAGCAAATATCATTGTGAATACACCCATTGAATACAGACATTGAATAACCTATGGTTGTATTCAATGGCTGGAAAAACGTACTACTTTTGTCCAGAATGGCGATACTTTCAGAATTGCCTTAAACAGTAATGACTTCAACACTAGAAAAAAGGGCGGAACCTATGATGAATTCTAACGTTATTGGTGATGACAGTGTATTTTGAGATTTGCATGTAGTTAGAACCCAATGACCATTGAACACCACTCGGGTTATTCAATGGTTCACTCAAGTGTATCCCTGCCGCATTCCACTTGCACAGGGATACACTCTCTATATATTAAATATTTACTAGGGAATTATATGATTCAAACCAGTTCCAATAACCATGTTGCCTTTGGGTTATGAACTACTTAACTCAAGGTGACTTTTACACAAAATATGATCTAAAAGTGCTATCCTGCATGATTTGAGCCATAGGCTTTAATCCTGACATTGACAACTTGTGATTTCTTCTCATTTATTATGTTATGAACCTTGATAATAACTATTTAAGACAATCGCCTTGGTAACCTTTCTAGCTTATCATTTATTTATAATAGAACTTTAAAGATACTTTCCCAATAAAATATTGGAATTTTGGTATATATGGAAAGTAGGCACACCCAATCTTACTAGAAAAATAATGGATTCCTTGAAATACATCCATGGAGCACGCACAGTTAAGGGCTGTCTGCTTGAGTATCCGACCTCTTGGTGTTGGGGAGCATTCGATGTATATGTTTATAAACTGGAGGGTGAGCAGAAGTGGAAAAAGTGAGAGACTGAAACGTACAACAGTTTCTCAGATAAAAAAAAAACATGGAAAAAGACGTATGCAGGGAATATGTGAAAATTTACTTAGGCTTCGATATTTTTGATAAATGGACAGCGATTAAAGACATCATTTTTTATATGCTAGGAAATCTCCTCTGGCTTCGCAACTGTTGCTACTAGGTACCGCAATAGCCAAGTCACGTGACACAGACATGACTTCTTTTAATAGCTTTTTTATAGCTTGGGGTATTTCCTTGCGAATACAATGTCTTGAGAGGGATTTGAAGCAAATTTTTGATAGATTAATTAATTATATCATCAAACCACCCAGTTCATACCCAGGAAAGTATCTTTAAATTCTGTTGATTATAACAAGACAGTATACAGGTCACAATTCTGTGGAGAGAGAGAGAGAGAGAAATGGGGTTTAACGTCCACTCGACACAAACTAGGTCATTTCGGGACTAACATATGGTTTAATTTTATTTCAATAATTCGCTTGCGCGTAGGGGTCTTTAGCAGTGGGAGGAAACCGGAGGACCCGGAGAAAACCCACGAGGTTGGACAGGCGACCCTACTCCTTGTCACGTACAACCGGGGATTCGAAACCACGCCAGTATGATACAGGCCGTATGATACAGCGCGCGCGTGCTAACCATTCGGCTATCCAACCCCCCCACAATTCTGTGGAATACATTTACTGCTTATTACTGAGCGACGTTTTGACTAGGCTTCTCTAGTCATTATCAAGCAATGATAAAATATGAAAGAGAGAGAGAGAAATGGGGTTTAACGTCCACTCAACACAAACTAGGTCATTTCGGGACTAGATAAAATATGAAATGTAACAAGACATTAATATACATGTAAGAAGCAATACTTGGTTAATGCTGACCAACCAGAGACACCCTTCTAATTACATGTACCACGAATAAGGAAATCTAATTTAAAAGTGTAATGCTAATAACAACATCCAATACCACATATAGACCACTTTACCTGAAAACAAAACAAATTGATTAATGGATAACTTGTTGTGGGGTATTTACAATGATTTGATCAGGTTTTAATAATCACAACACCCTGAAAGAAGATGAAATGAAATTTGATTAATATTATCAATGAAAAGTGTTGATACATGCATGTAGTAGATGTAAGTGATTTCACTTAAATACAAAACCCATACGCAAACCATCAAAGTCCCCTGAAGGCCAAGTAATTAAATTTGTGGGTAGTATTTACACCGGATGCTATTGTGATTCCTTCAGATTCAAATCATATCATCCATCTATTATAAAAAGGAATGGGGGCTTCTATTAATTAAGCTTAAAAAAAAAAGATTTTTTATTAAGGCAGGATTTTTACTATTTAAGTGCATTAAATTTCAATAACAACAACCATTCTACAGACCTATGAATAATGGCCTGAAAAGGAAAATAAAATCCAATTATTAAATATCAATTTAAAAAGAGATTATTGTAATCATGTACATAATTTAGATTATTAATCTTGTATAGTGATGAGACTATTATTGAATGTTAATTATTGATTAAATAGAAAGTATTTTATGCTTAGCCTAGTTGCAAATAATTATGTAATAAGATTGTCATAAGCCCTGGGGAGGAATAACCCTTGATCTCTGTTCATCGTTGGTTTGTGTCTTTGTATTTGAATGGCTTCATGTAGTAAGCATATCCTCTTGTTGCTGATATTTCTGCATTGCATATTGACATTTGACCAATGATGAACAGAGATCCGGATTGTTTATGATAGGATCCAAACTTTTTCAGGTGTCACCTGGTCCAGCTATCTTTGTTACAAATCTGTTTTATATGTACAGCAACACTATAAGGGAAAGTGTTAAAGGTGTGTTTGGGATGACAACTTGATGGTGGAAGATAATGATGTCATTCTGTTTTCTTGCAATATGTGACCGGCCGCATCTAAATGAGTCGAAATGCGGGAGAATCAATAATGAGATAAAGACAAAATAAGAGAAAATATTGATTTTGAACGAAATTGAGATTTTCACAAAAATGAGTCTATAAATATACTATCTATCGGCACAGAAGATCAAAATAGCAATAAAACATTTTAAAACACCTGTATTTGAACGTTTTGTAAGAGTACCGTATTCTTAAACCTGTCCTATTTCTCAAAATTCTTGGCGAAATTAGTTATTTTTCTTCGCTCACAGTGGGACGACCGGTCATTCCTCTTGCATAACAATTGGCATCGTTGTAAAGCGGAGAATCTCTAGTTTATAAATATGATCAAAATATTGTCGATGAATTGATTTTGAACGGATACAATCGAGTTTTACCCCCCCCCCCCAAAAAAAAAATAAAATAAACCCCACCTGTTGCCATGCTGTCCACACAACTCCTTTGCTGATTGGCCCGGACACCGCGTGCAAGACATTATCGATTAATTATTGGTTTTGGCAATGTTTTTGGGTACCTATATGCGATTCACTCTGATAAGTGGCAGAAAAAAAAATTAATTCTGATCGTATAGATTGCCGTTGAGTGTTAATCGAAACCACATGGCTGATGATGTAAATTAATCGACAAGCGGGTGTGTGTCATTGAGTAATACTATTACTAATTAACTGTCAC